CTGCCTCCTGAGGGAGTCGTTGTTATTTTATTATTTATATTATTATTATTTAAATTTTTATGCATTTTTTTTAAAAAAATCACAAAATACATAAAAAGCAAGAACAAAAACAAACCAATAATTCAATTCCCCCTCCCACAACGCCTAAAAAAGTGTACAGGACAGAGCTTTCCAAATTTTTCATCTGGCTGACACACTTTGTAGACATGCATCAATTCGTGACACAGTAAAACAGTTTTACTAGCAAACCAGAGGTTAAACTAACTCTTTTCGTATTTCGTATACGAAAGTTTGTTTGTGCTTAGACTAACCTTGTGAAGAATATAGAGAACATAAAGATCTGACAGATTATGAAAGAACCTAAGGAAGGGAAATGATTGAAGAACAGATGTAAAGGTGAGCAAGATAACTAACAGACGTGCGGTGGAAGACTTTTATAATATTTTAACTAGGATTTATATATTGTAATGTTTGAAGCATGAATTTGGTAATATTATTGATTATGAAAAGTATTTTTTGCTTTTGTCTTTTCTATTTTTTTTTAGTTTGCATTTTGGAAAACATGTACCGTATTTTTCGCACCATAGGGCGCACCGGACCATAGGGCGCACCCAGTTTTTAGGGGGGGGAATCAAGAAAAAAATATTTTCCCCCCCAGCCCCAAAGAGCAGCGTACAGGCTGCACACAACCTCTCCCTGCCAGAGGGGTTGCGTGCAGCTATGGAAGAAGGCAAGGCAGTGAGCGGGATGGATCCCGCTCGCTGTTTTGGCTTCCCCTTTAGCCCCGTGCAGCCTCTACCTCCTGGGAGAGGCTGCGTGGGGCTAAAAAATCCATAGCCCTGTGCAGCCTCTCCTTGCCGGAGGGGTTGTGCGCAGCTATGGAAGAAGGCAAGGCAGCGAGTGGGATGGATCCCGCTCGCTGTTTTGGCTTCCCCTTTAGCCCCGTGCAGCCTCTCCCTGCCGGAGGGGTTGCGCGTGGCTATGGCACAAGCCTGCATTCGCTTCATAGGACGCACACACATTTCCCCTCAATTTTTGGAGGGGAAAAACTGCGTCCAATAGAGCGAAAAATACGGTATATAAATGTGTTTACAGTGTTATGTATTGTTCTTTGTTTCTCTTTTTCTTTTCTTGTAAAATTATATAAAAATTAATAATTAAAAAAACCACACCCTTTTCCAGCCCCGGAAGGAGCACACGGAGCATTTGTATGACACACCTACACACTGCAGCAGACACACTGCTAGTTTGGAGAGCTCTGGTTCAGGATCATGTTAATCAGACCAAAGCCTGCTTTTTCACCTGATGCCTAAGGGTATATGATAAAGACACTAGCCAAACCTCCCTGGGGAGAGCATTGCACAAACAGGGGACCACTGTTTAAAAGGCCCATTCTCAAGTTGCCATGCTCCAGAGCTTTTGTGGAGGGAGGATCACACGAACTAAGGGCCTCAGGTGATGATTGCAGGGTCCAGGTGAGTTCACATGGGGAGAGGCCTCAGCCGTTTAAGGCATTATAGGTCAAAACCAGCACTTTGCACTGGGCCTGGAAACTAACTGATAGCCTGAGCTGTTGGGCCAGGATAGGCGAAAGATGCTCAGACTGTCTTGCCCCGGTGAGTCACCAAATTCTGCACCAGCTGAAGTTTCCAAACTGTCTTCAGGGGCAGGCCTATGAATAATGTGTTGCAATAATGTAACCTAGAGGTTATTAGAGTACACAGGCTGAGACCCTACCTGCCCGCAGACTGTCTTGCCAGAGTAGTGCATGCTCTGCTTATCTCTCGCTTGGATTACTGCAATGTGCTCTATGTGGGGCTACCTTTGAAGGTGACCCAGAAACTACAACTAATCCAGAATGTGGCAGCTAGACTGGTGACTGGGAGCGGCCGCCAAGACCACATAACACCGGTCCTGAAAGACCTCCATTGGCTCCCAGTACGTTTCCGAGCACAATTCAAAGTGTTGGTGCTGACCTTTAAACCCCTAAATGGCCTCGGCCCAGGATACCTGAAGGAGCGTCTCCACCTCCATCATTCTGCCCGGACACTGACGTCTAACGTTGAGTTACAGGGAACCAGGCAGAGGGGCTTCTCGGTAGTGGCACCCGCCCTGTGGAATGCCCTCCCACCAGATGTCAAAGAGAACAACAACTACCAGACTTTTAGAAGGCATCTGAAGGCAGCCCTGTTTAGGGAAGCTTTTAATGTTTGATGCATCACTGTACAGTGGTACCTTGGGTTACATACGCTTCAGGTTACAGATGCTTCAGGTTACAGACTCCGCTAACCCAGAAATAGTACCTTGGGTTAAGAACTTTGCTTCAGGATGAGAACAGAAATCGTGCAGCTGCGGCGCGGCGGCAGCGGGAGGCCCCATTAGCTAAAGTGGTGCTTCAGGTTAAGAACAGTTTCAGGTTAAGAACAGACCACCAGAATGAATTAAGTTCTTAACCCGAGGTACCACTGTATTTTAATATTTTGTTGGAAGCTGCCCAGAGTGGCTGGGGAAGCCCAGCTACATGGGTGGAGTATAAATAAATTATTATTATTATTATTATTATTATTATTATTATTATTATTATTGTTATTAGCAGCAGTAGTTAGGCCAGTGTTTCCCAACCTTGGGCCTCCAGCTGTTTTTGGACTACAACTCCCATCATCCCTAGCTAGCAAGACCAGTGGTCAGGGATGATGGGAATTGTAGTTCAAAAAAAAGATGGAGGCCCAAGGTTGGGAAACACTGAGTTAGGCTATCCTTGTCCAGATGGGGGTACAGCTGGGCCACCAGCCAAAGCTGATGGAAGGCACTCTGAGCCACTGAGGCCACCTGACCCTCAAACAACCCTCCTTTAGATGGTGTAGAATCCCATCAAGAGCAGGCAATCTCCCACCCATCTGGTCTAGGGAACCGCCCACTAACAGTGCCTCTGTCTTATCTGGATTGAGTTTCAGTTTGTTGGCTCTCATCCAGTCCATTACGGAGGCAAGACACTGGTCCAGCACTTCCATTTCCTCACCTGCAGATGTCAAGGAGAAATAGAGCTGAGTGTCATCAGCATATTGCTGACAACGCACTCCACAACTCCACTCAGTGGTTTTATGTCGATGTTCAACTGCATGGGGGATAAAACTGAAGCCCGAGGAAACTCGCATTGAAGGCTCCATGGGGCCAAAGAACACCCTCTAAGCTACGCTCACCCCTAACTAGGACAGCCGCTCCAGAAGGACACCATTGTCAATAGTATGAAAAGCTGCTGAGAAATTGAGGAGAATTGACAGGAACACATTCCCCCTCTTTCTCTCCTGACAGAAGTCATCAAACAAGGTGACCGAAGTAGTTTCTGTGCCAAAACCGGGCCTAAACGCAGAAAACAATAATAATAATAATAATAATAATAATAATAATAATAATAATAATAAATAAATAATAATAATAATTTATTATTTATACCCCGCCCATATGGCTAGGCTTCCCCAGCCACGCTGGGCGGCTTCCAACAAAATATTAAAATACCATAATGCATCAAACATTAAAAGCTTCTCTAAACAGGGCTGCCTTTAGATGTCTTCTAAAAGTCTGGTAGTTGTTGTTCTCTTTGACATCTGGTGGGAGGGTGTTCCACAGGGCGGGTGCCACTACCGAGAAGGCCCTCTGCCTGGTTCCCTGTAACTTGGCTTCTTGCAGCGAGGGAACCGCCAGAAGGCCCTCGGCGCTGGACCTCAGTGTCCGGGCAGAACGATGGTGGTGGAGACGCTCCTTCAGATATTCTGGAGTTTTAGAGCTTTAAAGGTCAGCACCAACACTTTGAATTGTGCTCGGAAACGTACTGGGAGCCAATGGAGGTCTTTCAAGACCGGTGTTAGGTGGTCTCAGCGGCCGCCCCCAGTCACCAGTCTAGCTGCCGCATTCTGGATTCTGGATTAGTTGTAGTTTCTGGGTCACCTTCAAAGGTAGCCCCATGTAGAGCACATTGCAGTAGTCCAAGCGGGAGATAACCAGAGCATGCACCATTCTGGTGAGACAGTCTGCAGGCAGGGAGGGTCTCATCCTGCGTACCAGATGGAGCTGGTAGACAGCTGCCCTGGACACAGAATTGACCTGCACCTCCATGGACAGCTGTGAGTCCAAAATGACTCCCAGGCTGCGCACCTGGTCCTTCAGGGGCACAGTTGCCCCATTCAGGACCAGGGAGTCCTCCAGACAGATTGAAACAGATCTAGAACTAGTTCAACCTTGAATGCACTGACTTTGCTGGCATTCCGCTTCATAGGATGTCCTCCGGTTCTTGTATTATGAGGGAGAAAAACTTTTCTCATCCATCCAAGATGGATGGAAACTTGTCCTGTTGAATCCTGACAATTTATTGAAGGTGGCGGGGGGGGGGGGGGGAGGAAGAGGAACCCTTGCAACTGCCTACCGATAAGCTTTTGCAAGAAGCTTCCGCCCCGCACCCTTCCTCACCGTGCAATATTTAAATGCATATTTTAACCACGGACGTTCCCCCCCCCCAACGCTTTCCCACGGTGCCGTTTCATTGCGTCTTTTAATCCAGACTGCGCAAACGCCATGCGCGCAAATCGCTTAGAAACCTAAATCTGGCACGGAACTGGTTCACCAACGAACCAATAACTTTGCCTACTCAGAGGTAAGGCCCTTTGAGCTCAATGGGGCTTACTCTCGGGTAAAGAGGGGGTGAGGGCCGCCGATTTCCGCTTCACGTCCCAGCCTGCCTGCCCGCCCTGCCCTCGGGGCCTGGCAAACTCCTGGCTGCGCCTGCCAACCCTCCTGCAACCGGAGCAACGCCAAAGCGGCTGGGGAGGGAAGAGGGAGCACCGCGGGAGGGGCGGCAGCCAGTCCGGAGCCCGATCCCGCCCCGCTTCCCCATTCCAGGGCTGCGCTGCTCCGCCCGCCCCTTCGGGCAAGAAAACTTCCCTGTCCAGCGATTAGGAGGCGGGGTCCCGGGGCTAACAGGCGTCCGCCTCGGCCAATGGCAGCCTATAAAAAGAGGGGCGGGGGCGGGCCTTGGCTCTTTCCGGGAAAGATCCTCGAAGCGCCTTTGCGCAGCACCGAACCCCGAAAAGAGAGGGGACACCATCCTCCGACGCCCCGGGATCCAGCGCAGGTAAATGCTTCGCGATGGGCGACGCCCGTCGGCGCGCTTGTCCTGCTTGGCGTAGGTCCCTGGGGGGCAGGAAGGAAGGGAAAGTCCTGCAGGACACGCCCCAGGGGAGAAAGTTTGGGGGGCATTTGGGGGCGGGGAGGGTGTCCCCCCTTCCTTCCCTGCCTCCGACCCCTCGCAAGTAAGCGCGCAAGAAGGGGGAGCGGTCCGGGTGGGCGCTGCTGCAAACGGTGCGTAAAAGCGCACAGGGTAGAAGCGAGGTAAGCGGGTGGCTCTGAACTTTCTCGGGTGCAAGGAGGCACTTCCTTGGGGTGGAGGGGGACCCCCCACTCATGCGCACACCTCGAATCTTCCAGCCTTCTGAGGGGGGGGGCAACTTTCTTCAAGGATGTTTTGCTCCCCTCCCACGGAAGAGTGGAAGGGAAGAGTGCAGGCGGTTCTGTGTAAGTGATTTACCTTGCCTGCCAGGCAAAAAAGCCACAGTTCACACGTGACTCTGAAAGAGGCGTGTTGCACTTCTGAGGTCCGCAAGAGGAGTGTGAACGCTTCCGTCGGATGCGCGTTCTCTGGGGGGAAAGAGCCCCTCATCCGCTTTAAAGGTCTCAATCTTTTCCCCATAGAGACAGCTCAGAAGTGACGCTGCGCTTCCGTGCACGCACTTACTTGCTGGAAAGTAAGCCGCATAGAACGCAGCGGGAGTTAATTCGGAGTAAGCGTGCTTACATTTGGGCAACACAGTGCAATCCCAAGTATGCTTACTCGCGAGCAAGTGAGGTCTCCTTCTGAGTAAAAATGCTCTGCATAGGGTGTCATTTCTGCCACTGACCCTCTCTGACCCACAAGTGGGGCTTTCCCCAGGAACAGTTAAACTCATTGATTTTGGACCTTCTCAAACCTAAGGCCTGAATTGCTTTTGGGATCTCTACATGGGTGTCTTGTCCCACTGATCAAGGTCTTTAGGTTGGAAAGGGTCTGAATTTGACTTTTCTGCATCAAGAGGCAGTGTGGTGTAGTGGTTAGACTAGGACCTGGGAGAGACCGGGGTTCAGATCCCCACCCAGCCATGAAGCTCACTGGGTGACCTTGGGCCAGACCTTTCAGCCTAGCCTACCCCACAGGGCTATTGCAAGGATTAAATGAGGAGGGGGGTGCACTGCCGCGAGCTCCTTAGAGAGAATAGATTTATTTATTCACCAGTCTGATGGGAGTTGTAGTCCAAAAATCTGGCAGGCTACTTTGTTATGTTCTTGTGTAACTCTATTTGCAAATGGGGTTGTTTGGCACCCTGGACTCCTTTGGGACGAAGGGCAAGATATAGATTGCAATAACCAAAGCAAAAATAAAATATTTGCACTGGGATAGCATGAGACTCTTCGAGTCCCACAGTGGGCAAAAGTCTCCTGCATTGCAGGGGGTTGGAATGGATGCCCTCAGGGTCCCTTTCAACTCCAGGATTCTGTGAACTGACCAAAGTCCAAAGCGGTTTGGAGAGAGACGTAGCCCATTGTGCTGCAACCAATTTATCTGGGCTTTCATGAAAGCCCAAACGGGGATCCAGGACTCGTGTGCAAAAAGGAAGGAGGAAATTGAGGTTCTTTTCTTGCTGCCTGGCAACTTCCCCTCTTTCTCAGGCAGAAAAGGTTTTCTCTGTCGTTGTGACTGGCCTGGTTAGCAAAATAATACTCTTCTAGACCCCCTTCTGCCTGACGTGAGACTAGGGCCCTGCAGGACTTGATCTCCTCCCACAGGGCCTGCAAGACAGAGCTATTCCGCCTGGCCTTCAATTTGAATTAGCCTGATCCTCTGTTCCCTTTTCCCTTTCCTCTTCTGTGAAGAAACCCTTTCTGGGACCCCACATTTAAATTCTTCCCTGGTCTCCTTGCTGGCCCTAGTGGGACCAACTTGGCCAGTTAGCCCTGGTGGTCACTTGATGTCTACTGACTGGGTTCCCCTCCCCCAATGACCCCTGAATTTTTGAATTTTATTGATATTGATGCTGCATTTTATGTTGTGTTTTATGCTGTTTTTAAGTTGTATTTTAATCAATGTTTTATATTTGCTGTTAGCCGTCCTGAGCCCGGTTTTTAAACCGGGAAGGGCGGGGTATAAATTAAAAAAATATTTTTATTATTATATGACTTGCTAGCTGCCTAGTTACAGGGTGAATGGGTGTTTATTTGTAAGAGTATTCCATCATGTAAGCCTGCATTTGCAATCTGAGGTGGTGCACCCCAAGCTCTGATTTCCCACTTTTGCAAACCCGGTTGCCAATGCAGTGTTTGCAATAACTGACGTCGGCTCCCTCCCCCGGTTTCCAGACCCCCCCCCCAATCTCCTGCACCTCTCATAGAAGTGCGCCACTCAACCTGAACCCGCAGGATGCCCCCCCCCAAAAAAGGTGAAACTTACGTAATTTTGTAATTTAAGTTTAGGAACTTAATTGGAGAGTTAACATCGAGATGTGGAAATATCGACGAAAGGCAGGATTGAGACTTGGACCTGCTTCAAGGTTCAGACTGTGGGAAGTCGTACAATTAATAATTACAATTCGGAAGATAATTTGACCTTTTTTATTTTTTATTCTTATTGGATTATGATTTGATATGTTAATTGGACGTCTTTTATTTGGAAAATTAATAAAAATGATCTAACAAAAAAGAAAGAAAGAAAGAAGGAATTTAAACGCCAGCCCAAACCCCTAATTCCACTTGTGTCCAGGAAAGGGGCAGTCTCCCAGCTGCTTCTTTCAGAGCCGAGCTCACTTTTAAACCAGACTCCTCCTGCTCTTCCTCCCTTCATTCAGTCGCTTCTCAGCCCCACAGAGGGAAGCAGAACAGGAGGGAGGCTGGCCTGAACAGGAAAGGGCTGTGCCCGGTCACTGGCCGGGAGCTCCACAGGTCAGTGCCTTCCCGGCCGCGCTCTCTCCCTTGGCGGCTGGGCTGTATTGTGTGAAGGGCACCCAGCGCTGTCGTCTCCTTCCTCCGACAGCCATGTCTCGCCCTCTGACGGACCAGGAGAAGCGCAAGCAGATCAGCATCCGTGGCATCGTCGGCGTGGAGAACGTGGCGGAGCTGAAGAAAGGCTTCAACCGGCACCTCCACTTCACCCTGGTCAAGGACCGCAATGTGGCCACTCATCGCGACTACTACTTTGCCCTGGCCCACACCGTCCGCGATCACCTGGTGGGCAGGTGGATTCGCACACAGCAGTACTACTACGAGAAGGACCCCAAGGTGAGACATGCGGGGCAAGCCAGAAAGCGGCTCTTATTGCTGTTTTGACACAGTTGGGCTGTGGAACTCCTTGCCACAGTAGGCAGTGATGACCACCAACCTGAACTAACGTTGGCCTGGTGTCCAGCAGCCTCTTGCTTAGCTGGTCCATCGGGACTCAGATTTCTATTTATGATTTGGTTAAATTGTGGATCGTTCCATAGTTTATATAACATGCTTTTGATTGCTAGCAGGCCTCTGTTTCTTGAACAGGTGGGATACATATTTTCAAAATAAGCAGGGGCAAAGTTCCCATGCTGAAAAATCAAGGAGTTCCAGGACCTAACTTCTTTAAATTATTGTACATGGAAATTGCCTTGGCACGGTGATTTAGAAGGTGATTAATAAATCGTCAGTGGGTCTGTACAAGTGTGTAAATCACCCCTTGACTGCTTCTTGGAGACTCTCGCCTGGCGGTGTTAGGTGTGGTCCTTGGAAAAACAGACCTGCTTGAGGTGGTGATGGATGTGCAGTCCTTGGTTGAATTGCAAGAGCCACGTGCCTTTGCATGGCGCCGCTCCTCAAGGGAGAAATGCGATGTTCCCAGGTGAAACCAGTGCCATTGTTCCAGCAAGGGTGAGGTCCGAGATCAGGGTGTTCTGCTTGGCAATGTGTGTGGCAGGACAAAAAACAGCAGCTCAGGTACCCTGCAAGGCTGTCCTCCTGTTGCTTTTGGGGACCTGGCTATATATGCACACATGACACAGTTGTGCAACATGTGCCTTGTGTAATGTCTCTAACACAAATAAGTGGGATGTCTTCAGCACCCTGGTCTCTCTCCCTACTCGGACACTGACAGTCTCTTAGGCAGGGAACTTGAGTCCTTGACCCAGGCCTCTTTATCACTCACCTTTCAGGCTAGTTTCCACATTTTTGTTGTTGTTTAGTCATTTAGTCGTGTCCGATTCTTCGTGACCCCCTGGACCAGAGCACGCCAGGCACTCCTGTCTTCCACTGCCTCCCGCAGTTTGGCCAAACTCATGTCCGTAGCTTCGAGAACACTATCCAACCATCTCATCCTCTTTCATCTCCTTCGCCTTATGCCCTCCATCTTTCCCAGCATCAGGGTCTTTTCCAGGAAGTCTTCTCTTCTCATGAGATGGCCAAAGTCTTGGAGCCTCACCTTCACGATCTGTCCTTCCAGTGAGCACTCAGGGCTGATTTCCTTCAGAATGGAGAGGTTGGATCTTCTTGCAGTCCATGGGACTCTCAAGAGTCTCCTCCAGCACCACAATTCAAAAGCATCAATTCTTTGGCGATCAGCCTTCTTTATGGTCCAGCTCTCACTTCCATACATCACTACTGGGAAAACCAGAGCTTTAACTAGACGGACCTTTGTCGGCAAGGTGATGTCTCTGCTTTTTAAGATGCTGTCTAGGTTTGCACACTTTTTGTGAATGCCTCCATATTTGAGGGTGCTGGTTGGAGGGCTGCCTCACAAAATGCGGATTTTGAAGGATGGCTGGGTTTAAGTTGGAGGCTTGGAGGCAGCAGTGCTTCTGAATCTCAGTTGCTGGAAATCCCAGGAGTGGAGAACTGTTCTTGTGCCTTGCTGGTTTCTGTCAGGAGACTGCCATCTGAATGGGGAGAGAGGCAGGGTGGATACTCCACTGATTCTGAGAAGCAGCTCCTTGTCTGGCAGTAGGGAAGGCCACACCTCCAGCGGAGCAGAGGGGGAAAGAGGTAGCCGGGTGGAGGGAAGGCTCGAAGATGCTACAGAGATCCTAAGCGCCTCACCTGGCACGGCCGGCCAGGAGGCACACACGCTTCCGTCACCCTGCTTGCGCAGAGGGGTGAAACGGAAGGAGGGGAGGCGGAGATTTGGGGTGTCCAAGTTCTTATGTTGGGGGGGGGAGCCGGAAGGGGCACTCCCGGAATCTGCAAGTGACTGAGACAGACATGAACTTTGTGGTCCTGCACTGTAAATAGTTTGCACAAATAAAAACCTGCAAAAGACAGGTCGGAGTCCTGCCTGGTTACTCGTGAGCAACCACCTCACCGCCTGACAGTTTCCCCTGGGGGCATCTGGTTGGCACCAATATCAGGAATATTCTCATATTCCTATCAGAATAGGATGCTGGACTAGATGGGCCGCTAGAAGTGCAAATTAGGTGGTTTCTCTTTAAATTGCAAACAGAATTGCAGAAGTCTACTTTATTTATTTCTCTTTTCATTCTATTATTATTATTCCTCCCTCCCTTTGCTTTTGCTCTGTTTAGTTTTGCTCTGTTTTCCTTTTCCACCTAGATAGCTCAGTTGGATAGAGCTTAGTGCAGGTTTGATCCCTGTAAGGGACAGCTGCATATTCCTGCATTGCAGGGGGGATGGACTAGATCAGGTAGATCCCCGGCTGATCCTGGCAGATCGTGGGATCCTTATTGTGTACAAAAAGTTATGGGGGGGTGGAGCTAAAAAAACCCTCTGTGCAATCTTCCCCCTAAAAAGCTCAACAACTCTGGGCAATCCACCCGCCCCACGCACGCTCCTCCTCCCTCCAATGGGTAGATCACTGCCAGTTTTTAAATACTGGGAGCAGATCAGAGTCTCTTGGGAGTTGGACATGTCTAGATTAGATGATCCTCAGGGTACCTTCTGAAATAAAAAAATTAAGGTCTTATATATATATATATATATATATATATATATATATATATATATATGCTTTCGTAGATTTTCACGGGTACAGGAATGCAGGTTTTGGTGTCCTCGGGTGTCTTCCCGTGTAAAAGTTGGGGTGTCTAGGCGACGTTTCGACGAGGTCTCACTCGTCATCTTCAGGCTGGTGCTTTCGGCTTCTTGTTACTGGAACAGAGCAGGATCTCAGTGTTTGAGTTCCTATAAATACTGTTGAGGAGGTGTGGTGTATAGCCTCCATTGTTCTGGGCAGAGAGGAAGTTCCCAGGCTAGTGTGCCTTTTCTTCTTTTGTTCCTTAATTACTTGAGGGATATCTGGAGTGATTTCTTGAGTGATATCCTGAGTACCACTTGGGTGGGTCATTAGGTGTGGATTAGTTGCTAAAGCCTTCGTGTCTTGACCTCTTGAACTTGGCTTGAACTTGGCTCTGGCTTGGCTTCGTGTATAGGGGCGAGCTGTGGTTTTGTGGCCTGTGCCAGCCAGATCTGTGTAGGGATTGCAGGGGGGTGCAGCATCCGGAGGTGCCACCATGGTTTGGCTACTGGATGGTGTCTGTAATTTATCTGTGGAGAGGGTCTGGGTTTGGGTCTGGTGTGGTTGATTGGTGATGGCGTTCTGTGTGCCTCTGGATCTGGTGTCGGTTTTTGTGGGGAGGGCTAATTTCCAGATGTCTGGCAAGCGGGATGTGTCGTCACGCTTGTTCATGTTGTGAGGGTGTTTCTCTATCTGGATGGCTTCCATGATTATTCTCTTGTGGTGATGTTCCATGTTAAAGAGCAATTTGGAATCTGCAAAATTAATTTCGTGTCCTGTTTCTTTCATGTGTTGGAAAAGAGAGGAAGTTTTTTCCTCTTTTTTGACGGCATTCTTGTGTTCTGCGATACGTGCATTTATTCGTCTGTTTGTTTGTCCAATGTACGTGGCTGGGCAGACTTTGCAGGGTATTTCATAGACCCCTTGGTTTTCCAACTGGATTCTATCCTTGGGGTTTCTGAGGATATTGGCTATTTTTTGGTTGGTGCAAAAGGCTGTTTTGATATTGTGTTTATGGAGGATTTTGCTAATTTTATCTGTAGTGCCCTTGATATAAGGAAGGAGGGCCATGCCATTGTTTTCTTCTGTGTCTTGGTTTTTGGGGGGTGTTTCTTTTTGGATTAGCTTCGTAACCCTGTTTTGCTGGTATCCATTGGCGATTAACACATTTGAGAGATTCTGTCCAATGTACGTATTATTATATATATATATAATATATATATATAATTATATAATTGTATTATATATAATTATATAATTGTATTATATATAATTGTATTATATATATATATAATAAATGTACCAACCAAGCACGTACATAGATATGTGGACCACATGTCTGGAGCAGCACAGGAAGACCCGTCCTGAAACCATTTTGACTCCCAAACTGACCAAATGTTTTCTCCGCAAGGAGGGGGGTGAGGGAACCTTCCCATTCTCTCAGGAATTGAGGAATCACCATCTCAAAGGAATGGGCAGACAACCAGGAAAGGCGATCAGATAAGGCATTATCAGATAACCTGGCAGACAGGAGATAAACAACGCACTCAGATTTCTGTTGTAGACCGCCTTTTCTGTGACATAGGTATGATGTTTGTGGGGGGTGGTCTTAGGTTACACCTCTTCTGGGATGTATGTATGATGTATGGAGGGGTGATCTTGAGCTCCAGGGCAGCCACACCTTGGTTCTGGGTCCTCCTCTGTCCTCCTGCATGTGAGGGGAGCACCCTTTTGCAACAGATCAATAAAGATCAGGCTTACTAGCTGCTTTGCTTCTCAATATTCTCTGGTTGGCCTCTGTTATTTTCTCCTACCGACGGAGAACCTACAAAGGACTCTATAAGGGCTCTTGTGTCCCCCATAAGGGAAGAAGGGCAGATTTTGTTTACAACTCTTCCAGCCCTACAATTCTCCTTGCATTTGATGCCCTCTACTCTGGGTCAAAAGGGACGCGGGTGGCGCTGTGGGTTAAACCACAGAGCCTAGGACTTGCCGATCAGAAGGTTGGCGGTTCGAATCCCCGCGACGGGGTGAGCTCCCGTTGCTCGATCCCTGCTCCTGCCAACCTAGCAGTTCGAAAGCACGTCAAAGTGCAAGTAGAGAAATAGGTACCGCTCTGGCGGGAAGGTAAACGGCATTTCTATGCGCTGCTCTGGTTCGCCAGAAGCGGCTTAGTCCTGCTGGCCACATGACCCAGAAGCTGTACGCTGGCTCCCTCGGCCAATAAAGCGAGATGAGCGCTGCAACCCCAGAGTCGGTCACGACTGGACCAAATGGTCAGGGGTCCCTTTACCTTTTACTATGAGTCAATGAGGGTAGGCACATGAAGGTGACAGATGGTTGAAGGAAGACTGTATGAGAGGCAGAAGGGAAGATCTCCGAGGGTGGGAGGCTGGGAGAAGAAAGGGAAGCTTCCAGGTGAGCTACCTTTGAGTGAGACCTTGCTTTTCTCTTTCTGCTTCTCTTTTTGTTTAGATTACCTTGTTTTCACGGTATCTCAATATGACAAAGCCTTAATGAAAATGCTATGCCCAAAAAAAGCACAAAAAGTGAAAACGGAATAGAATTTCTTCTCCCTCCCAACTTGTGGATTTCAGGTTGGTGAGGACTGAGCCTGGCTTATTGGCAGAATCCATGCCTTGCGTCCAAAAGGTCTCAAGTTCAGTCCCTGCCTTCTCCAGCTTTGAAAGATACGCTTCTTAATAGGGCTGGAAGAGACCTTGTCACTGCCAATCCTGAAAAGCGAGAGGCTGAAAGGCAGATCTAAATCCAGCGTAGAATAGCTGGTTACCCTCCTGGAATTGGATTGACTTAACCATCTCTTCAGTCAGGTTTTGGACTGTTAACGGCCTTTAATGTAGAGCTTTAGCCTGGTAGATTAAGGAGTAATCCCATTTGTGACATCAGTCGGAAGTCCTTTCTCAAGTGAGGTGGACAGGCTCTCTGCTGAGACAGCTTTGCTCCTAATCTGCCCTTTCTCCAGCTCCCATCTTTGATTCGGTGCTTCATCCTAGAGACTTCCAGAACCGCCTTCCACCCTGCCTCCCATTTTAACTTTAGAAAAGTCCAGTCTTGCCTCATCAGTTGGGACCCAGAGGTGACCCCTGAGCCACCATTTATCAGTGGCGTAGCGTGGGTTGTCAGCACCCGGGGCAAGGCAAGTAATTTGCGCCCCCTAACCCGGTAGGGACAGAGAGCTGCGAGTGCGAGTGCGCCCCCCCAGATGTTGCGCCCGGTGCGGCTGGCTACGCCACTGCCATTTATAGCTCACATCAGGTGCCAGGGTGTGTAATAATAATTTTTTTTATTTATACCCCGCCCTTCCCGGTTCAAAAACCGGGCTCAGGGCGGCTAACAGCAAATTTAAAACAATTATAAAAGCAGCATAAAATACACTATAAAAACATGAATAACCATAAAAATCAAAAATCAAAATCAATTTAGGGGAAATAAGCATTAGATAACCCCCAGGGCTAGCTGGCTGAATTGGTCCTACTTGGGCCAGTGAGGAGGCCAGGGGAGAATTAGCTGTGGGGTCTCAGAGCGGGTGATCTTCGTAAAAGGGGAGGGGGAGGGAAGATCAGGCTGGATTCAAATTAAAGGCCAGGTGGAATAGCTCTGTCTTACAGGCCTGACAGAAGGAGGTTAAATCCTGCAGGGCCCTGGTCTCATGGGACAGAGCATTCCACCAGGTCGGAGCCATCACTGAGAAGGCCCTGGCCCTGGTGGAGGATAGTCTGACTTCCTTAGGGCCTGGGACCTCTAAACTATGGTTATTCATTGACCTTAAGGTCCTCTGCGGGGCAGACTAGGAGAGGCGGTCCCGTAGATACGAGGGCCCTAAGCAAGGTTTGTTGAGGTTTTAGTGCTGTGAGCCACTCTTATCTTGCACTCAAGTTGCATATGCAAATTGCCCCAAACCATAAGCGTTGGAGAAGTGACGATCATATATATATTCCCTCCTGACTTGAATAGGGATGCGTGTGGCGCTGTGGGTTAAACTACAGCCCCTAGGACTTGCCAATCAGAAGGTCGGTGGTTCGAATCCCCGGGACGGGGTGAGCTCCCGTTGCTCGGTCCCTGCTCCTGCCAACCTAGCAGTTCGAAAGCACGTCAAAGTGCAAGTAGATAAATAGGTACCACTCTGGCGGGAAGGTAAACGGCGTTTCCGTCCGCTGCTCTGGTTCGCCAGAAGCGGCTTAGTCATGCTGGCCACATGACCCGGAAGCTGTACGCCGGCTCCCTAGGCCAGTAAAGCGAGATGAGCGCCGCAACCCCAGAGTCGGCCACGACTGGACCTAATGGTCAGGGGTCCCTTTACCTTTACCTATGTTTGCTCCTGACTTGAATACCAGTGATTTATGTGGACTCTCCCCCTAATTTTCTGAGCAGTGGATGTTCCAGGGGGTTTAGACATAGGGTGCCTTCTAAGATTTGTTCTTATTTACGACTATCCAAGCAGAGCAAATAAATCACCCCTACGGCAGGCAGAAAAACTACCTGCATCAAGGCAGGTTTATTTGTGTATGGCTTTTTTGTGGTTACTGTACACAGAGCGGGTTCATACCAGATAAAAACACAGAATTCAGGTCTCCCAGGGGACCTGCGTGTCTCAGATCACGTCACCTGCAACTTCCTTCCCTCCCCAGATGGCAGACCTGGCCCTGGATTGATCCCCGGCCCCTGTCTCCCAGAGCTGTCATTTTCTTCCTTTTCTCTCCCCCCCTTTAAAATATTATGTTTATTGCAAAACATACAACACAGACAAAAACAATACCACAATGACAACTAAACATTAATTGACTACACATCATCTAGCATCACACATATTTTTGACTTCCGAATCACCTTGTCGTGCTTTCTAAATAATCTTAACCTATACGCCCTTCCTGTTATATCTATTACATATCACGTAATTTTTTACCTTTATGATTTTTTTTAATATTCAAGATTCAATCTATACCTGTCAGGAGATTTGCAATTTCACAATATTGTTTTAAATATTCTTTCAGTATTGTTCATACTTGCGCACTTTCTGATTTGAGTTTCCTCTTACTCTCCTGGTCATTTCCACAAGTTCCAGGTATTCTATCATCTTCACCTGTCAGTCAAGCTTTATAGAAATTAAGTCGCCTTTCCAATTTTTTGCTACCAGAATTCTGGCCGCCGTGGTTGCAAACATAAAGATGGCTCTAAAACTTTTTTGGATTTCAGTGGACATAATGCCTAACAGAAAGGCTTCTGGTCTTGTTTTGTTTTTTTGAAAGGAGAGCTTTCATTTTCTTAAGGCTTCAGTCATTTTGATTTTGTTAAAGGTGGCTGATGGTCGTTTGCACCAATCGTGCTGGGGCCAAACTCAAAACGGTGCAATCCTAACCCGGCCATTTGGCTCTGGAGACGGTTGCTGCATGTTGGGCAACAAGATTGTTTGCTCACCGATGTACAAACCCTGACGTAGTGGAGTAAGTTTGGTGGGGGAAATGTTCCTGGAATGCGAAGCACATGTCTGGCAGAGAATGAATTGCATCGAATTGATCCTTTCTGGTGGCTTGTGATTTGTCTAGGTCTGCCAGCTCTTCTCTTCTCTTTCCCTTTATAATACAGTCCCCATGGTTTGTTGAATGTAGCGTTCCCAAAGCAAAGGAAAGATTGGACTCTGATTAATAGAATACACACAAGGCTTGACCAGCAAGACTCTGGGAGGAGTGCCAATAATAATCCCTGTCCATCTCTTGGCCCAGGTCGTTTTATTCACAAAACTTTTTACACAGTGTTCGTAAGAACCAATCAGATTTCCTCTGAGCATTTCAAAAACCCCACGTGGGACAAAGTTAAAGTTAAAACTGTTGTTGTTTAGTCGTATCCGACTCTTCGTGACCCCATGGACCAGAGCACGCCAGGCCCTCCTGTCCTCCACTGCCTCCCCCAGTTTGGTCAAACTCATGCTGGCAGCTTCGAGAACACTGTCCCACCATCTTGTCCTCTGTCGTCCCCTTCTCCTTGTGCCCTCCATCTTTCCCAACATCAGGGTCTTTTCCAGGGAGTCTTCTCTTCTCATGAGGAGGCCAAAGTCTTGGAGCCTCAGCTTCAGGATCTGTCCTTCCAGTGAGCACTCAGGGCTGATTTCCTTCAGAATGGATAGGTTGGATCTTCTTGCAGTCCATGGGACTCTCAAGAGTCTCCTCCAGCACCAGAATTCAAAAGCACCCATTCTTCGGCGATCAGCCTTCTTGATGGTCCAGCTCTCACTTCCATACATCACAACTTCTCCAATCCTAGCAGGTTGCAATGACCATTTCTTCTTCCTTTCCAGAGAGTTTACTACCTTTCCTTGGAGTTCTACATGGGCCGGACTCTGCAGAACACCATGATAAACCTGGGATTGCAGAACGCCTGCGATGAGGCAATTTATCAGGTAAGGGGGGGGAGAGGGGGGACTACTGCAATGCGCTCTACGTGGGGCTACCTTTGAAGGTGACCCGGGTCAGAATTGAGAGGAGAAACAGTATTTTGAAACCATTGAGAAGTGAAATAAATTCATCACTTTATGGATCTGGTCATGGGATGGAGTCAAGCAAGTCTGAGCCTCTTCCCAGAAGCTCCTGGTTTTGCAAATCCGTTGGCAAGTCGGATCTGCCTCTGAACACCCATTCACACAATGTTTCCCCCCTTGTGTGTGCACACACAGAAGTGATTCCTCCCCACCTTTTAAAAATAAAACTAATTCTGGAAGCAACAGCCGGTAGTACAAGACTCTGAATACTTGCAAGCGTCAGGCGGGGGAACTTGGCTGAATTTCGCAGAGGCTTGGTTGCCACCTCTTCGCCGTTAGATTTATTTCCGTTAATTGCCCACGGCTGATCTAAACGGTGCTTGAATCACTTGCACCCTCCCAGAACAAATTGTGCAGTTGTGTTGTGTAACAGGCCTCAGCCTGCCTGCTGCAAAAAACGGCAGATTTTGACAGTATGGCTGCCTTCCGTTCCCATTTTTGCAGGGGTGTGTGTATTGTGGGGCTTCGCTGATGCTTGAAACACAACTCTTGGGAGCGTTTTGCACAGAGGCAGCGTGGTTTAGTGGTTAGAGTTTTGGGCCGGGACCTGGGAGACCCGGGTTCAAATCTGCCACTTGGGGATGAAGCTCCTTGTTGTGACCTTGGGGGCAATCACTACCTCTCAGCCTGACCTACCTCGCATAGTTGTTGTGGGGGTTAAATGAGATGGGGGGGGAAACCGTGTACGCTGCCTTCAGCACCTTGGAGTAAAATGTGGGCTATAACTGAAATAAACAAATCTCTATATGTGGCTCTTTAGCTGGGGCTGGACATTGAAGAACTGGAGGAGATTGAAGAAGATGCCGGCCTGGGCAATGGAGGCCTTGGCAGACTTGCAGGTAAGTGAGGAATCATAGAAGTTGTAGAGTTGGAAGGGACTCCCCAGCGGTCATCTAGTCCAACCCCCTGCTATGCCGGAATGTTAGCTGAAAGAATCCCTGAGAGTTTGACATCCAAGCTCCATTGAAAGCATTATGCTACCACTTTAAGCAGTCAGGACCCCTCCCCACAAGGAATTCTGGGAACTGTAGTTCATTAAGGGCGCTGAGAGTTGCTAAGAGATCCATAGTCCCCTCAGAGAGCCGCAATTCCCAGTGTTCCCTCTTCGGAGGGATTGATTGCTAAACCACTCTGGGAATTGTAGTTCTGGGAGAGGCGTACAAGTTTCCTCTCGGCAGCCTCCACAAACGACAGTTTCCAGAATTATTTGAGGGGAGCCGTGATAGTTTGAAGTGGTATCGTGGTGATTTCAATGTGTGTTGTGAACGTGGCCAGCCGTAACTTCTCAAACCTCATCTCTGCTTCAGCTAGTGTGCGCCTTGAAGCCCGGGTTCAAATGAGAAAACACGGGTGTGAATCACGAGGCCATTTCCAATCTTGCATAGGAAACTAATCTGAGCAAAAATGAACCGTCTTGCTTGGTTCAGAAATACCAAATTTACTTGGCGCCAGTTCACAAGGACTCTGTTAATTTATGAAAAATATTTATTTATTTTATATGTTTCGTAAAATTTATATTTAGGGGGGGGGCCTCAAAGCGGTTCCCAAAAAATATAAAACAATAAGATGATAACTTTTTGAAAAATCAAAACCATAGTTTAAAACATGCAAAAAGTTCAAGCCACAATAGACTAAAAGAAATTAAAATTCCTATAAGTTTTCTGAACATTTGAGTAAGGAAAGGTAAAGGGGCCCCGGACCATTAGGTCCAGTCGTGACCGACTCGGGTTGTGGCGCTCATCTCACTTTATTGGCCGAGGGAGCCGGCGTTTGTCCGCAGACAGCTTCTGGATCATGTGGCCAGCAGGACTAAGCCGCTTCTGGCGAACCAGAGCAGCGCACGGAAACGCCGTTTACCTTCCCGTCGGAGTGGTACTTATTTATCTAATTGCACTTTGACGTGCTTTTGAACTGCTAGGTGGGCAGGAGCTGGGACCGAGCAACGGGAGCTCACCCTGTCATGGGGATTCAAACCGCCAACCTTCTGATCGGCAAGTCCTAGGCTCTGTGGTTTAACCCACAGCGCCACCCACGTCCCTTAAACATTTGAGTAGGCCTGTCTAAATAAGAATGTCTTCACTGAAAAAAATACAGCGAATGGGGCTGCAGGATATCAGTAGGCAGGGAGTTCCGAAGTGTCGATGCTGCCACACTGAATGACCAGGTTCTTACAAATGAGTTGGGAATATTATGTGGCACCTATAAAATGCCAATTCCGTTGATCGAAGCAGTCGAGTGGGCACATATGGGGTAGGCGATCTGGTAAGTAAACTGGTCCCAAGCTGTTAAGGGACTAATCGCAACACTGAGATGCTTTCAGAAGATCTGTGTGCAGAGATCTGTTCCCCAACCTGGTGCCTTCAGTCGTGCTTGGACTGCACTCTCATCAGAGCTGCGCTGGTCTTGGCTGCTGTAGCGGATCATGGGCTGAGCATATCTCTGGGGCTGCGCCAGTCGTCTTTCCCTGTGGCTACATCATTAGGTGGAGCCATCCCTGTACAGAAATTGGTGGGGTTCCTGTAGGCCACACAGTGAAGCCAGATTTCCTGCATCTCCAGAATCCCAACTCCAGTTTCCCTATTGATCCTTTTTAAGAGCAGCTTATACAGCTTATACCTGCAGAGAAGGGATGCAGGTGGCACTGTGGGTTAAACCACAGAGCCTAGAACTTGCCGATCAGAAGGTCGGCGGTTCGAATCCCCGTGACGGGGTGAGCTCCCGTTGCTCAGTCCCTGCTCCTGCCAACCTAGCAGTTCAAAAGCACGCCAAAGTGCAAGTAGATAAATAGGTACCGCTCTGGCGGGAAGGTAAACGGCGTTTCCGTCCGCTGCTCTGGTTCGCCAGAAGCGGCTTAGTCCTGCTGGCCACATGACCCGGAAGCTGTACGCCTGCTCCCTCAGCCAATAAAGCGAGATGAGCGCCGCAACCCCAGAGTTGGTCACGACTGGACCTAATGGTCAGGGGTCCCTTTACCTTTTATACCTGCAGAGAAGGTGAGTAAAGCTCTTGAACTGTGCTCATAGCTGTCAACTTTCAGATTTGAAAATAAGGGATCAGCAGCCTCGAAAATAAGGGATCAGCAGCCTCACCTGTCCCGGGGACAGTCTATGGAATATATAACAATCCGGGATAGCAGCGGGAAGCAGCGGGAAATGGCGCAGTAATAAGGGAATTTCCCACCAAAAAAAGGGAAGGTTGACAGCTAGGACTGTGCTGGGTTGTGGTACCACTGCGCCTCTTGGGCTTGCTGATCGGAAGGTTGGCAGTTCGAATCCGCACAACGGGGTGAGCTTCCATTGCTCTGGTCCAGCTCCTGCCAACCTAGCAGTTCAAAAGCACACCAGCGCAAGTAGATAAATAGGTACCACTGTGGTGGGAAGGTAAACGGCGTTTCCGTGCGGTCTGGTTTCCGTCACGGTGTCCTGTTGCGCCAGAAGCGGTTTAGTCCGGCTGGCCACATGACCCGGAAAGCTGTCTGTGGACAAACACTGGCTCCCTTGGCCTGAAAGCGAGATGAGCGCCGCAACCCCAGAGTTGCCTTTGACTGGACTAAACTTTCCAGGGGTCCTTTACCTTTACCTTTTTGTGGGTGGGACTGAGCACATCCCTGCCTCTCCTTCCACAGCCTGCTTCCTTGATTCGATGGCCACTCTCGGGCTCGCAGCCTACGGTTATGGGATACGCTATGAGTACGGCATATTCAATCAGAAGATCAGAGACGGATGGCAGGTAACCTAAATGTGTATGATATGAAGCACGGCACAGTTTATACCACTGTATTGTGCAAGAAAAGAGAGCCTACATTGTTACGGGTGAAGTAAGTGCACAATATATTTTATTGTGTGTACATATCTCAGAGTTTACTCACAAGCTTCCTAGCTTGCATTGTGGCAAAATGCATTCATGAGCTTTGCGCATAAGTGGGCATGGGTGCGCATGAGCAATCCCCAGCCCGGCACGTTCCAGAAGTTTTGGATTTTGGCTCCTGTCAGTCTTAGCCAACATGGCTGAGTTATAGAATCATCATCGTCATCATAAATTTTATTTATACCCCAACCTCCCCGGCCAGAGCTGGGCTCAGGGCGGCTAACACCAGTAAAATTACAGTAAAAACATAATAGAACAAAAAGCCAATTTCAAATACAGGTTAAAATGTGATTTAAAATGCAGCCTCATTTTAAAAGTAGCCCACAGATCATGACTATAAGGGGAGGGAAACATAAGGATCAGACTGAGTCCAAACCAAAGGCCAGGCGGAACAGCTCTGTCTTGCAGGCCCTGCGGAAAGATGTCAAGTCCTGCAGGGCCCTAGTCTCTTGTGACAGAGCGTTCCACCAAGTCGGGGCCAGTGCTGAAAAGGCCCTGGCCCTAGTTGAGACCAATCTAACCACCTCACGACTTGAGACCTCCAGATTATTGTCATTTGTGGACCTTAAGGTCCTCCGTGGGTCATACCAGGAGAGGCGGTCCCGTAGGTACGTGGGTCCTAGGCCGCATAGAGCTTTAATGGTCAAAACCAGCACCTTAAACCTGACCCTGTACTCCACCGGGAGCCAGTGCAGCTGGTAGAGCACTGGGTGAATGTGATCCTGTGGCAAGGACCCTGTAAGGAGCCTCACCGGAGCATTCTGCACCCACTGGAGTTTCTGGGTCAGCTTCGAGGGCAGCCCCACATAGAGCGAGTTGCAATAATCAAGCCTGGAGGTGACTGTCACATGGATCACTGTGGCAAGGTCGGGGTGAGAAAGGTTAATACGGCGGAGATGGAAAAATGCCACCTTTGCTGTGGCTGCAACCACAGACCCAGAAGGGACCCCAAGGGTCATCCAATCCGACCCGCTGCAATGCAGGAATATGCAGCTGTACCTTACGGGCATCAAACCTGCAACCTTGGAGTTATCAATCTCTAACCAGCTGAGCTATCCAGGCTGTAGTCCAAAACAAGTGGAGGCCACCAGGTTTATTTATTTTGGAGGATTACTAAGCCATTTGATGTGGGACACGGGTGGCGCTGTGGGTTAAACCACAAAGCCTAGGGCTTGCTGATCAGAAGGTTGGCGGTTCGAATCCCCGCGACGGGATGAGCTCCAGTTGCTCTGTCCCTCCTCCTGCCAAGCTAGCAGTTCGAAAGCACGTCAAAGTGCAAGTAGATAAATAGGTACCACTCCAGCGGGAAGGTAAACAGCGTTTCTGTGCGCTGCTCTGGTTCGCCAGAAGTGGCTTAGTCATGCTGGCCACATGACCCGGAAGCTGTACGCCGGTTCCCTCGGCCAATAAAGCGAGATGAGCGCCGCAACCCCAGAGTTGGTCACGACTGGACCTAATGGTCAGGGGTCCCTTTACCTTTACCTTTAAGCCATTTGATATTATAAGAGCAGAAGAAGAGACTGCTGGATCAGACCAACGGCCCATCTAGTCCAGCCTCCTGTTCTCACAGTGGCCAACCAGATGCCTGTGGGAAACCTTCGAGCAGGATTCGAACACAAGCCCTCTCCCCTCCTGCGGTTTCCAGCAGCTGCTGTTCAGAGACATTTACTGCCTCTGACCATGGACGCAGAGCCTAGCCTTTGCGGCTAGTAGCCACCAACCGCCCTCTCCTCCTCCCTGAATTCGTCTAATCCTCTCTTAAAGCCATTCAAGTTGGTGGCCATCACTTTCTCCTGTGGCAATGAGTTCCATAGTTCAACGATGTGCTGCATGAAGGACTTTTATATGCCCTGAATCTTCCAATGTTCACCTGTATAGTTTCATCAGCTTCTACCGTGTCGCCGTTTAATCGTTTCTTTTCTAAGATCAAAAGTCCCGAATGCTGAAACCCTTCCTCTCTCTTCCCTTGATAATTTTGGTCTCCCTTTCCTGAAAAACCTTCCCAACCTCTATATCATCCTTTTTAGGCTGTGAACTGTGTGTGTGTGTGTGTGTGTGTGTGTGTGTGTGTGTGTTTGGTAAATAGTTGTGGGGGCCCCTCCTGTTTCTTTCAAAGGCTTCCAGGGAGTAGGCTGGGACAATGATTAACAGAATAATCTGGCAGACGATAACTGGAGTTCAGGGAGATCACAGACTAGATGTGCATAGGATAATTTACCTTGGATTGATAAGAGCGACTAGGTCCCTAGGCTAGGTCTCAAAGGGGGGGGGGCAGAGAGGAGAGAGGGGCCCATTGCATCACCTCCAAACACGCTCAAGGGAATCTTCGGTGCAAAGGGCAATCAGCTCTAATTGGGCCCCAGGACAGAGGAAAGAGTTCTGGGATTCTTCCTTTAGGTGTAAATTTCTGCCTTTTCATGTGCTGGGAAGTCCCAGCAAGTTCAGGGATCTGAGCCAACTTTTCTTGGCAGGATTTTGGCGCACGGTTACTCCCTTCTGGGAGACTCTGTGACGCCCTGAGCATGGGTATAACAGGGTTCAGGAAAAGCCTTAGATGACTTCAGTTCTGGCCAGCAGAAGGAGAGAACTCCAGGTTCTTCTGTAATAATAATAATAATAATAATAATAATAATAATAATAATAATAAAAATAAAAATAAAAATAAAAATAAAAATAAAAATAAAAATAAAATAAATAATTTATACAGCTAACAACAAATTTAAAACACTTAATTATAAAAACAGCATAAAAGACAGTATAAAAACATGAATAACAATAAAAATCAAAAATCAAAAATCAATTAGATAATCCCCAGGGCTAGCTGGCTGAATTGGTCCTACTTGGGCCAGCGAGGAGGCCAGGGGAGAATTAGCTGTGGGGTTCAGAGCGGGTGATCTTCATAAAAGGGGGAGGGAAGAGAAGGGAAATAAAAGATCAGGCTGAATTCATATTAAAGGCCGGGCGGAATAGCTCTGTCTTACAGGCCCGATGGAAGGAGGTTAAATCCTGCAGGGCCCTTGGTCTCCTGGGACAGACCATTCCACCAGGTTGGAGCCATTACTAAGAAGGCTCTGGCCCTGGTGGAGGATAGTCCTTCTTCCTTAGGGCCCGGGACCTCTAAACTATGGTTATTCATGGACCTTAAGGTCCTCTGCGGGGCAGACTAGGAGAGGTGGTCCCGTAGATACGAGGGCCCTAAGCAAGGTTTGTTGAGGTTTTAGTGCTGTGAGCCACTCTTATCTTGCACTCAAGTTGCATATGCGCATAGAATAAAACCCACTATCCTAAAGATGCCACAGTTTCCGCTAACCCTCATTCCAAGGAAACAAAACCTGGGGGAGCACTTGCAACCTCTTGCGTGCTTCACTTTCGCTTCCCACCCACCCCTTTCACCCTTCGCACAGCACCCCATCCATAGCTGTCAACTTACAGATTTGAAAATAAGGGACCAGCAGCCTCGAAAATAAGGGATCAGTAGCCAAAATAAGGGATTTTCCCAGACACATGTGTATGGCTTCTGAGCCCTCCGAGCCAAAGGCAGAAAGCCCAGCCAACAGCCAAACGAAGCCTCAAGCGGTGGTTCCCACAGCGCAGCAACCCGGCAAAGGGGATGCAGCAAGGAAAACCACCATCACCTCTCCGCTGGGAAGCGCTGAGCAAAAGCGAGTCCCCAGGCAGACGGGCCGATTTGAGCGGCACAAGGCATGCAAGCTCCACCCCCCCAGTCGTTCTTCAGTCTCCTTATTGGGTGAGCAACGCAGCCAAGCAACACAGTTGGAGCCTCCCTCCTCCCTGGCCGCCGGCCGGAGGGAGGGAGGAGCTGCTTCCTTTGAAACCTGGGAAATTTAAGGGACATCATCAATAAGGGACAGCAGCGGGACACAGCGCTGGGATAAGGGACTTTCCCGTCAAATAAGGGACGGTTGACAGCTATGACCCCATCCCTTTGGGTCTTCTGTTCTCCTTGTCACCCTCTGCTTATGGGCAAAAGCTGCATGTATGAAATGAGACCGGTCTGAACTGTTTACCAGCATTGCCAAACATGTAGTCCTCAGTTCCTTGCCAATTCCCCCCCCATTTTTTTTACATACTTGTTGTACAAATTGCTAGAAAACTAGAGTTTTAAGGGGGTGGTGAAGATGAATGAAGAATAGGTTGGAACTCCAAGCAAAACCAAATCAGCAGGGAGCCTTTTTCTTGAAACTTGTCTTGCGATAGTTATTAACCTGCTAGTTTTAAAGGGAAGGTGGGATATATTTCGGGAGGATAAGAATGGCGGTCATGATTTGAAAAATGCTTGATTATTCACATGTTGTTATCAATCCTCTTACTGTATAAAATGTTATGAGAACATTTCTTTAAACTCCAAGCTTAACCAAACACTGGATGTGAATTTAGGGGCTATATAACACTAACTATAAAGGAGTCCGTTCCATATGTGTTTTCGTGCACAACTGTTCCTCTGTACTGTATTGTCATTTCTGTGAATGACACTGATTGTGACATGGTATTGTCTGGTTCCTCCTTCTCATGCTCACCCTGACAGTTTTCTCATTCTAGGTGGAGGAAGCTGACGATTGGCTAAGACACGGGAACCCCTGGGAGAAAGCCCGCCCAGAATACATGCTACCCATTCATTTTTATGGAAGAGTGGAGCACACCCAGACCGGCGTGAGATGGATCGACACCCAGGTACTGGGAGAGGGGGCACCTCCATGGTCTTGTTTGTGGGGAGGGAGGAAGTTCAACTCCCCACAGCCAAGAGGGTTACTGGGTGGCCTAATATGCCTCACCCAGTAGGGAAGGGAGATAGAGTGGATTCCGTTTCCGTTTTAATGGGAAACAACCCATCAAGTTCCAAAGATATCAGTAGCCCCGATCAGTGTGGCTGCACTTGTTCTGGGGAACAGCAGTCCTATTGAGATGTAACAGATGCCCACTGTCTGCTCTTTCTGGAAGCAACTGGAGACACTTTTGTTCTGTGTGAGGGGTGATGGGAAGCACCCACCAGAACAAAAGTGTCTTCGGTTGCTTCCAGAAAGAGCAGACTGGACCCCAAAATGTAGGTCTACCACTGCTCATATTATCACTCTCCGAACCTCTTGTGGAGGGCACCAGGTTGAGAAATATATATGTAATTGGACTACAACTCCCAACATCCCAAGCTCTGCTACCATCATCTGAGGCCCTTCTTCGTGTGCCTCCTCCACAAGAGGGCAACCAAAATGGTCAAAGGCCTGGAAACGATGCCTTATGAGGAACGGCTAAGGGAGCTGGGCATGTTTAGCCTGGAGAAGAGGAGGTTAAGGGTGATATGATAGCCATGTTCAAATATATAAAAGGATGTCATATAGAGGAGGGAGAAAGGTTGTTTTCTGCTGCTCCAGAGAAGCGGACACAGAGCAATGGATCCAAACTACAAGAAAGAAGATTCCCCCTAAACATTAGGAAGAACTTCCTGACAGTAAGAGCTGTTCGACAGTGGAATTTGCTGCCAAGGAGTGTGGTGGAGTCTCCTTCTTTGGAGGTCTTTAAGCAGAGGCTTGACAACCACATGTCAGGAGTGCTCTGATGGTGTTTCCTGCTTGGCAGGGGGTTGGACTCGATGGCCCTTGTGGTCTATTCCAACTCTATGATTCTATAACCTGATTTGCCTCTTCTTGAACCAATACAGTGGTACCTCAGGTTACATACGCTTCAGGTTACAGACTCCGCTAAGCTAGAAATAGTGCTTCAGGTTAAGAACTTTGCTTCAGGATGAGAACAGAAATCGTGCTCCGGCAGCGCAGCAGCAGCAGGGAGGCCCCATTAGCTAAAGTGGTGCTTCCGGTTAAGAACAGTTTCAGGTTAAGAACGGACCTCTGGAACGAATTAAGTACTTAACCCAATTCCCAAACACCTTGGTTCCCAAACGCCGAAAACCCGGAAGTAAGTGTTCTGGTTTTCAAATGTCCAATGCGGCTGCCGGCTATGGTTTCCAGGGCGCCCTGCCCCAATCAGAAGCTGCGCCTTGGTTTTGGAACATTTTGGAAGTCAAACGGACTTCCAAAACAGATTAAGTTTGGCGGTTTTGTTTTTGCTATTTTGCATTTTTGTTTTTGAGGCTTTTTCGGTTAATTTGTTTTTGTGACTGTATGGAACCCAGTTCAGCTACTGATTGATTGATTGATTGATTGATTGTGTGACTGCGGAAATGGATAAAACCCCCCTCATCCAAACAATGACTATCATCAGTACAGATAAGAAAAAATAATATCATCTACAATACCATCTTATTTATTTTATAATACAGTACATTGATTATTGCTTTCATTTTATGGATCAATGGTCTCATTAGATTGTAAAATTCAGGTTAAATTGCTGTTTGAGGGGTTGTTTTTAAAAGTCTGGAACGGATTAATCCATTTTGCATTACTTTCTATGAGGAAAGTGTGCCTTGGTTTTGGAACGCTTTGGTTTTGGAATGGACTTCCGGAACGGATTAATTTTGAGAACCAAGGTACCACTGTAATGTGATTTTCATTTGAAATTTGCCCTGAATTTTGCAGTGCCACTGTTTAACCAAGTAATGTGTGCAAAAGCTTGCATAGATCAGTGAAAGTAACACATAAACACACATTATACAGTGGTACCTTAGGTTACAGACACTTCAAGTTACAGACGCTTCAGGTTACAGACTTCGCTAACCCAGAAATAGTGCCTCGGGTTAAGAACTTTGCTTCAGGATGAGAACAGAAATTGCGTGGAGGCGGCGGGAGGCCCCATTAGCTAAAGTGGTGCTCCAGGTTAAGAACAGTTTCAGGTTAAGAACAGACCTCCAGAATGAATTAAGTACCACTTTGCAAATGTGTGTGTGTAGGGAGAAATTCATACTAAAATTGCCTCATGGGTTTCCATGAGGACTTTAAAAAAAATTAAAACTGGAGATATGAGAAAATGCCACATTTGATCAATTAGATGGCCTTGGTTGGGCTCACCTCCAGAATCTGCTTCCTGTGATAGGGGTGCCCTGCAAGATGTTGACCTCTCCTATGAAGGAGCACCTGTGTCTGAAAGGATGGGGGCAGTGGTGGTGGTGGGGTCCCTTGGCCAGCCCCTCCCTGGGAGGGCACCATGCAGCACAGCTGATGCCCCTGGGCCTTTTCTCTCCCCAGGTGGTCCTGGCTTTGCCCTACGACACCCCAATTCCTGGCTACATGAACAACACGGTCAACACCATGAGATTGTGGTCAGCTCGGGCTCCCAACGATTTCAACCTCCGCGACTGTAAGTGTTTTCGTTCTGTTTGCAAGAATATTTATATACTGCTTTTCTTAAAACCATATACAGTGGTACCTCGGGTTACATACGCTTCAGGTTACAGACCCTGCTAACCCAGAAATGGTGCTTCAGGTTAAGAACTTTGCTTTAGGATGAGAACAGAAATCGTGCTCCGGCGGCATGGCAGCAGCGGGAGGCCCCATTAGCTAATGTGGTGCTTCAGGTTAAGAACAGTTTCAAGTTAAGAACAGGCCTCCGGAACGAATTAAGTACTTAACCCGAGGTACCAGTGTGCAGTCATACCTCATGTTACATTTGCCTTCATGATACGTTTTTCAGGTTGCGTCCCGCAGTGACCTGGAAGCACCAGAAAGGGTTACTTCCGGGTTTCGCTGCTCGTGCATGCGCAGAAGTGCTAAATTGCACTTTGCGCATGTGCACAAGTGCCCAATCACGCTGCGCACCTGCGCAGATACTGCGCTTCAGGTTGCGGGCTTTTCATGTTGCGAACAGGCCTCTGGAATGGACCCCGTTTGCAACCAGAGGTACCACTGTACAACAATTATACACAAAACTGGGCAATACACAAAGCATATACAAGAAGTTAAAATCAGAAAACAACTAGGAGCTATTCTTAAATGCCTGCGTAGGCCTGGAAAGTGTGGGAATGTTGAGGTGGCAGGAGAGGATATATTGATTATTAATATCCTTCCTAACTTGCACCAGCAAGTTTCTTTATATAGCAGAGTTACATTCCCCTTCTTATTCAGCAGAAAGCTGGTTGCAAACTCGTGTGAGCCTCTTAAGACAACAGGCAATTCAATCTGGCTTGCCCAGGTTGAGATATGTTCTATTGTTCCTGGTAAGTCACATTTGATACCTCCTAAAAGAATAAAGAGGGATGTGGGTGGCGCTGTGGGTAAAAGCCTCAGCGCCTAGGGCTTCCTGATCGAAAGGTTGGCGGTTCGAATCCCCGCGGCGGGGTGCGCTCCCGTTGCTCGGTCCCAGCGCCTGCCAACCTAGCAGTTCGAAAGCACCCCCGGGTGCAAGTAGATAAATAGGGACCGCTTACTGGCGGGAAGGTAAACGGCGTTTCCGTGTGCTGCGCTGGCTCGCCAGATGCAGCTTTGTCACGCTGGCCACGTGACCCGGAAAGTGTCTCCGGACAGCGCTGGCCCCCGGCCTCTTAAGTGAGATGGGCGCACAACCCTAGAGTCTGTCAAGACTGGCCCGTACGGGCAGGGGTACCTTTAAAGGTAAAGGTAAAGGTACCCCCGCCCGTACAGGCCAGTCTTGACAGACTCTAGGGTTGTGCGCCCATCTCACTCTATAGGCCAGGGGCCAGCGCTGTCCGAAGACACTTCCGGGTCACGTGGCCAGCGTGACAAGCTACATCTGGCGAGCCAGCGCAGCACACGGAAACGCCGTTTACCTTCCCGCCGGAGTGGTACCTATTTATCTACTTGCACTTTGACGTGCTTTTGAACTGCTAGGTTGGCAGGCGCTGGGACCGAACAATGGGAGCGCACCCCGCCGCGGGGATTTGAACCGCCGACCTTTCGATCGGCAAGCCCTAGGCGCTGAGGCTTTTACCCACAGCGCCACCCATGTGGGTACCTTTACCTTTTACCTAAAAGAATAAAGACACAACAGTCTTATTCATAAGTAACAAAAAGTAGTTTTACTCATGATCAGGCAGAGCAGTGTGTGATCCCTGAAGGCAGGCGTTCGGCTTAAAGTTACAAATATGTACAGGTTTACCCCATATGGGAGATAACCTGGGGACTGCTGGCCACCAGAACAGTCCAGGTGAATCAGGAAGTTCGCGGGACGAAAAAGAAGATGAAGAGAGGGAGGTGCTTGCGTGACTTGGCCTTTTACCAGGTCTAGAAAGGTCACGCCCACCTACTAGTCACATGCAAGGAAGGATGTTCCAGCCAGGTGTAACAGGAAGTTCAACTGACTGGGCCAACATCCCCTGCATGGCCACTCTAGCAAAACAAGGAATGTTGTACTTGACTGCTCCCAGTGGATTACATCCCACAGAAAGGTTTTCAGCAGGTGTTTAAAAGGTGGCCCAGAAGTTCTAGTGGGAGAGAGTTCCACAGGGCTGTTGGCGCTAAAGGTTCGGTTTTCTGTTGTTGTCAAACGAGCCTCAGCAATTTGGGGAATGACCAGCCACACTGCTGCCAATCTCACTCATCGAGCTCGGATGTTTGAGATAGGGATAAATTGCCTCTTTTTTGGCTGTAGTCACAGAGTGTCTAGAAATAGCCACCTTGTTTCCTTTCCCTTTTCACTGTCTTGCTCTGCCTAGCTGTTGTCAGATAGCTGATTGGAAAATTCTCATTAGCTTCCTCCTTGCTCCCTGCCCCCACCCCACCGCCAGCCACATCTCTGACCAACTGGTTCCTGGATTCACTTTTCAAAGAAGTCAGCTGTTGGGCCACAGTTAAATTTCTATAACATTTTGGCCGCCTTTCAGCTGCCTGAGGTTTTAGTCACCAAATGCTTCCAAGAAAATTGTCACCGTTACAAAGGACTAGAAACTTGAGGTGGATGAATGACAGAATATTATGAATTAAGGAAAGGATTTGCTGAGATTCTTATTAATCAGGATACAAGAAAAGGGAGGAGGAGGAGGTCAAAGAAAGAAGGTATTGAAAGTGGAGAATTTGAGAAATGGTGGTTTTATTTTTTATTTTTCTGTCTTGTTTTTTTTTGTTTTTTTGTGTGTGTAATTTAAAAAAACTTTTTTTCAATAAATATCATTAAAAAAAAAAAAGAAACTTGAGGTGGATGGATGGGAGGGGAACAAGAAGGAAGCTGAGACTGCACGCTCCCTGCCACACACCCTGTATTTCTTAAGTTGACAGCTTGTTTTTTCCTCCCCAAACCCTTTTCCTAGTCAACGTTGGCGATTACATTCAGGCTGTGCTGGACAGAAACTTGGCTGAGAACATTTCCCGAGTCCTTTACCCAAATGATAACGTAAGTCCCTGGGTGCAGAAATGCAGCCTCCCTCTTGCAGATGTGTGAGAGGGGTTGCTTGGGAGAGAGGGAGGGAGTGTGTCAACCTTTCAGAACCAAACAAGGAAATGATTTGAACCTTCTTGCAGGCTCATAACTCTGGATGCACGAAGCGTCCTCATAAAAGATCTGGGAATGGGCTTTGTCACCGAGTTCTTGGCTGCGAGTCTGCCTCAAGCAGGCTTCAAAATATGTTCATCTGGAGTCTTCTATAAGAGCAGCTCTCAGTGCCAGACCTCCAAATCTCACCTCTCCCACAGAAGCGACAATTTAATTCCCTGTGTCTTTAGCTGCAGACAGGAACAGGTCTTCACTAAAGCATCATCTGTCTCTTGTTCCCGATTGTGCTTTGGACTTCAATTGGTCTTCTCCAACCTGGTGCTCTCCAGATGTTTTGGGACTGGTGGGCATTGTGATCTGCAACATCTGGAGGGCACCGGATTGGAGAAGGCTGCCTTACACAAATGTGCCTGGTGCTCATCTCGTCTTTGCCCATCCAAGTTTAGTCAGTTACTTCTGCAAATATCACATAAACCACAAGTTGCTGCCGCATCAAACTGTGGTTTGTGCAATGCCACCAAACCAGGAATGCAAAGCATGTTTTAGGTAAAGGTAAAGGGACCCCTGACCATTAGGTCCAGTCGTGGCCGACTCTGGGGTTGTGGCGCTCATCTCGCTTTCTTGGCCGAGGGAGCCGGCGTAAAGCTTCCGGGTCATGTGGCCAGCATGACTAAGCCGCTTCTGGCGAACCAGAGCAGTGCATGGAAACGCCATTTACCTTCCCGTCAGAGCGGGACCTATTAATCTACTTGCACTTTGATGTGCTTTTGAACTGCTAGGTTGGCAGGAGCAGGGACCGAGCAACGGGAGCTCACCCCGTCGCGGGGATTCAAACCGCCGACCTTCTGATCGGCAAGCCCTAGGCTCTGTGGTTTAACCCACAGCGCCACCTGCGTCCCTAAAGCATGTGTTATATAATAATAATAATTTATTATTTATACCCCACCCAACTGGCTGGGTTTCCCCAGCCACTCTGGGCAACTTCCAACAAAAGATTCAAATACAATAGTCTGTTAAACATTAAAAGCTTCCCTAAACAGGGCTGCCTTCAGATGTCTTCTAAAAGTCTGGTAGTTGTTTTTCTCTTTGACATTTGGTGGGAGGGCGTTCCACAGGGCGGGCGCCACCAACGAGAAGGCCCTCTGCCTGGTTCCCTGTAGGTTTGCTTCTCACAACGAGGGAACCGCCAGAAGGCCCTCGGCGCTGGACCTCAGCGTCCGGGCAGAATGATGAGGGTGAAGACGCACCTTCAGGGATACTGGGCCGAGGCCATGTTGGCAGACCATGTTGGTTTTGAGGGACCACCTGAGCAACAGTCTCTCGGGTCAGATGTGACAACCAACGGTGTGTGAATCGGTTACTTACCATGTTCACAGAAACCAGGGCTCACAAGGGGCACATCTCAAGGCTCAGCTTATATAATGGCAAACCATTGTTGGGGTTTATATGTGCACCAAAGTATGTGGAACATTTAATAGGTCCCGCCAACCTTTTCATTCTTAAGGACTTAGGCGTAGGTCTAATCCCCTAAACTTAAGGCATCTCACAAGATTAATAAACAAGGTGACAGTCCTTTGCCCTCCTGACTTCTGTTCCTCTGAGACATCACCAGTGCCGGATTTACGTATAAGCTAAACAAGCTCTAGCTTAGAGCCCCACTCTCTTGGGGGGTCCCAAAAAATTTAAAGGAAAACAAACAATGAACATTTCCAAAATATAAGATAAAAAACAAATAAAATAAAACCTACATACAGTAATAGTGTTTTGTGTTGTGTAGGCTCCTGTGATGTAAGTCATGGGCCCCGCCTGCTAGTCTGCTCCCCAAAATATCACTGGTTTGCTCCTTTCTATATATACGGTGCCTACACAGAGCCTAGGACTTGCCGATCAGAAGGTCGGCGGTTCGAATCCCCTCGACAGGGTGAGCTCCCGTTGTTCAGTCCCTGCTCCTGCCAACCTAGCAGTTTGAAAGCACGTCAAAGTGCAAGTAGATAAATAGGTACCGCTCTGGCGGGAAGGTAAACGGCATTTCTGTGCTCTGCTCTGGTTTGCCAGAAGTGGCTTAGTCATGCTGGCCACATGACCCAGAAGCTGTACGCCGGCTCCCTCGGCCAATAAAGCGAGATGAGCGCCGCAACCCCAGAGTCGGTCACAACTGGACCTAATGGTCAGGGGTCCCTTTACCTTTACATTCTGCATGGACTGGTTGCATGGCAACATGGGCAAATGGTTTTAGATACCTATCAGGTCCATTAATTACCATATAACTTATATTCAACACAAAAAACAGCGAGAATTTGTTGTTGCCAAAGGACAGCTGGACATATCAAGGGCCCCATTACCTTCAGTAGCTGAGGGCCTCATCAAACCTAAATCCGGCCCTGGACGTGACCACGAGGACTGGAAACAAAACACTCAGACTCTCAAGCAGCAAATAGTTGTTGGGAAATACTGTAGTTACTGGCTTGCTCTAAGAGGAGGGTGCCGGGTTGTTTTTCAAAGACAAAGTGGGGGGCTTTCGTGTGCGAATGTTTTCCTGTTGCTTTCTCAGCCCTTGAGCTGTTTCAGGCATTTGACATTGTCTTGTTCACCCCTCGCTGCCGCAGCCGGCACATCTGGTGAGGAGAGCTCTGTGTAGATCTGTAACTTTGGCGTGGCAGATTCGTTGGCATCGCTCCCTGACCACCCCAACCTTCGCCTGTGACGTATTTCTGTGCTTCTCCCTGCTCTTGAATTCTCACTGAGGTGGCAAACCTGTCTCCAGATTGTGCCCCCGAATGTGGAGGGAGCGTTGCGGGTGGGATCCTCCTCCAAACCTTAAAAGTCCCCGCCTTTAGAAAGCTAGCCTCTCAAGGAAAGGGAATCTTACCCTCACTGTTATGCTATTTGTCGACATGGAAGGGTGTGGGTGTGTGTGGGTGTGGGTGGGTGTGGGTGTGTGTTTATATGGAGGAGTATCTGAAATGTTTGCTGCCTACACAAGTTTACTTCCTCCGTGAGAACGAGCCTAGAATTCCTTTTTGTGTCTTGATTTTTCACACCTGTGCCATTGCTTAGCCTAGCTTCTTTGCTGTTAATGGGGGAGGGGGGAAATCTGATGGAAATAATACTGAGTTTTTTTCTTTAAACTTCCAAATGCTTTTAGGGCAGTCATGTGTGATCCCACTTAACTATACTGCTTAGGCCTGAGAATGATTTGGGATGGTCAAACTGCTTCACTTCCCATTGGTAATATCCTGTAACTCCTTGCTAAAACCCAGCAACTTTTCACGCCACAAATGTTCAGGGTGGGGGTGGGTGGGATTCTGCATAGTTTTGCTATAATAGCCCCCAATGTGGTAGCATCGGGGAAGTATCACAGATTAACTAATAAAGCAGAATAAATCTGCCACTGATCCACTAATATTGTGTTAATATGACCATTGTAAAGCACTAAAGCAGGAATGTCTAACCGGTTAATCACAATCTACTGGTTCATGGTCGATCCTTGTCGATCATGGGATCCTGGTCGATCGCCAGTCAGAAATGGGGGAAAAAACAGGAAAAAAACATCAACAACTTTGATGACGCCTCCCCCCAAAAAACTCAACAACTCTGTGCAATCCTGGATAGATCAGTGCCAGTTTTGTCATACTGGGAGTAGATCAGTCTCTTGGGAGTTGGACGTGCCTCTCTCTCCATGAATTTGGAATATTCTTTTTAGGTTGGGGGGGGAGCGTTGAATCAAGAAGAAGGTACCGTATTTTTTGCTCTATAAGACTCACTTTTTCCCTCCTAAAAAGTAAGGGGAAATGTGTGTGCATCTTATGGAGCGAATGCAGGCTGCGCAGGTATCACTGAAGCCAGAACAGCAAGAGAGATTGCTGCTTTCACTGCGCAGCGATCCCTCTTGCTGTTCTGGCTTCTGAGATTTAGAACATTTTTTTTCTTGTTTTCCTCCTCCAAAAACTAGGTGCGTCTTGTGGTCTGGTGCGTCTTATAGAGCAAAAAATACGGTAATTTCCATTCATGCGGTATACATTTCTAGGGACTGGAAATCCAAATTTCGTTTCTTTGAACAGCTTTCACCAGGAACATACAGTTGCTTACCTTGTGGCAACAGCAATTCTTTCCTTAAAAAATAATTTAAAAAAAAATCAGGCAACCAGGTTTGAAAATGGAAACCGATTCATTGGCTGTTAGATTGTGCTAGATCCCTGCAATGCCTTAACTAGTGCCGGAACACTTAAGCCTGCCGCCGTTCAACGAATCTCTCGCATTTCAAAATTGCAGTCCACGCCTTGGGGGTCAGGATATGGAGTGAAGTGGCCAGCTTCTCTGCGAACCCCAAAATTTTTGCTCAGTCCCTCATTTAATTTCCCCAGAAGATTTTTAGATTATTTTTTTTAAAAAAAAAATCTCGCCCACTTCATACAGTTTGTGTTCATCATTTCAACAACTGTTTGTTTTCGCTCTAGTTATCCCCTCCCCTTGATGCTAAATTCTACAAGTGCCATGGGAATGCAGACTTAACACTTTTGATATGCAGTTAAAGAGATGCTTGACTAATAAAGTTTAATTCGCCGCCATGTGTCATTTGCGTGCCCTCTGATTCCAAAGACCCTTCTTTTGCTTCTCATCACCAAACTTCTTTCGGTTATCAGCCCATCTCAAATATTATTATTATTATTATTATTATTATTATTATTTATTTCATTTCTATACCGCTTTATATTTTTAAGAAAAATCTCAAAGTGGTTTACAACATATTAAAACATCAATAAAACAATCCGGAATCAAACATTTCTGAAGAAAGTCAAATGTGGCGTATGCAGCCAAAGCAACATAATTAACAGAAAACTAAAATATTATCTTAAAGATTTCGAAATAAAACATTACAGAGGAGGTCAGCTGTGGAATACATATTTAACACAAAAAAATGTTGACCAAAAAACCACAGAAACTTTCAGAAAACAAGTAAAAACAAGAACCATTACTAAATGAAGTCAAATATAAAATATCTCGTCCATCCCCAAAATTCCCTTTGGATTATTCACGGAATAGTAAAGGTTAAAGTGCTTTGGGAAATGAAAGGTATATTTTTTTAACATTTCTACAGTCGTTTTTATACACAAAGTGATTTGCAGTCCTCCCCCCATGTTGCCCTGTGCAATGAATTCACAGTTGCTCCCATTCTACTCCCCAGTTGTGATGGGAGTTGGAGCCCAAACATCTGGAGGGGGGGACCAGCTTATGGCAAAGACTGCACTAGGACACGCCACACTGTTCAACAGATAAGTACCTTGCCTGATGTGTCTTATTATCAATGTTCCCAATGGGACGTTCCTCTCCATTTTTGCAGTTTTTCGAAGGAAAGGAGCTGCGCTTGAAGCAAGAATACTTTGTGGTGGCTGCAACCCTACAGGACATCATTCGGCGGTTCAAAGCCTCCAAATTTGGGAGCACCGAAAGCGTCCGGACAGCTTTTGATTCCTTTCCAGACCAGGTAGTTTTGTGTTTGCGTGTGTGTATGTTGGCTTTCACACAAAATTATTCTTCTTCTCTGGCCATCCCTCGTAGCCGAGTAAGATTGTCTTCCATAAACACAGTTTTAACAAGGAATCCGTAAGTGACTGTGGAGGCCAATTCTGGATCCACATGTCCTTCCACAGTGGGGACGTTGGTTCCCAGGCGGGAGTTGATCACGGTGAGGGTTTGCCAAGCATGCCTTCCTCCTAGCACATTTCTCCCTTGCGTCCTGAGTTCAGAACATATCTAGCAAGGGTTTTAGCTCTGGAAGATGTAGTGAAGCCGGCTGCGTACACGACATAGAATTGTAGAGCCCGAAGAGTCCAACCCTCCAATGCAGGAATTTAAAGCACCTGGCTTCCCCCAAAGATCCCTGTAGTTTACCTCTCACAGAGCCACAGTTCCCAGCACCCTTAAGGTAAAGGTAAAGGGACCCCTGACCGTTAGGTCCAGTTGTGGCCGACTCTGGGGTTGCGGCGCTCCTCTCGCTTTATTGGCCGAGGGAGCCAGCGTACAGCTTCCGGGTCATGTGGCAAGCATGACTAAGCCGCTTCTGGAGAACCAGAGCAGCGCATGGAAACGCTGCTTACCTTCCCGCCAGAGCGGTACCTATTTATCTACTTGCACTTTGACGTGCTTTCAAACTGCTAGGTTGGCAGGAGCAGGGACCGAGTAACGGGAGCTCACCCTGTCGCGGGGATTCGAACTGCTGACCTTCTGATCAGCAAGTCCTAGGCTCTGTGGTGTAACCCACAGCGCCACCCGTGTCCCTCCCAGCACCCTTAGCACACCTCAGTTCCCAGGATGCATTTGGGGGAAGCCAGGTTCTTTTAAGGTGCTTTAAATTTGTGGTATGTATGCAGCCATATTTATATAATTCATTATATGCATCTGCACTGAAACGACTCAAATAAAAACCAAACGGTATTAGTTCTGTAGTACGGTCACAATACATTTGAAAGTATGGTGTCACTTCATCATAATGCTAAATAAAAATCAGCAATTAACTCACCTCAAATTTTTTAGTGAGCATAAAGCTCCCCAAAAGCTCATGTAACAATATCCAGACATGGTTACAGCTCATGTAACACTATCGCATCAGTGGCTAGGGAGAGGGAGCGAGCCATCAATCTCCTGATGACAAATATATGTCATTGAATTCAACTCAGTATTGATCCAGAGTAGATTCCAACGCAGGCATAGGCAAACTTGGCCCTCCAGATGTTTTGGGACTACAACTCCCACCATCCCTAGCTAACAGGACCAGTGGTCAGGGATGATGGGAGTTGTAGTCCCAAAACATCTGGAGGGTCGAGTTTGCCTATGCCTGCTCCAACGTGTAGTTAGCAGAGTAAGAACTTAAACATGTTGCAGAATTCCCAGAAAATAGACCAGAGGCAATTGTATTTCATCCAGCAGAGCTTTACTGCTACTGAAGGCAAATTAGCATAATTAGTCCCAAATCCAGTGCATTCAGGATTGGCATTTTCTATAAGAAATCTAGTTGCAGCAGATTTAACTTAAACTTACAATGTTGTTGTTGTTTAGTCATTTAGTCGTGTCCGACTCTTCGTGACCCCATGGACCAGAGCACGCCAGGCACTCCTGTCTTCCACCGCCTCCCGCTCATGTTTGTAGCTTCGAGAACACTATCCAACCATCTCATCCTCTGTCGTCCCCTTTTCCTTGTGCCCTCCATCTTTCCCAACATCAGGGTCTTTTCCAGGGAGTCTTCTCTTCTCATGAGATGGCCAAAGTATTGGAGCCTCAACTTCACGATCTGTCCTTCCAGTGAGCACTCAGGTCTGATTTCCTTAAGAATGGATGCGTTTGATCTTCTTGCAGTCCATGGGACTCTCAAGAGTCTCCTCCAGCACCATAATTCAAAAGCATCAATTCTTCGGCGATCAGCCTTCTTTATGGTCCAGCTCTCACTTCCATACATCACTACTGGGAAAACCATGGCTTTAACTATACGGACCTTTGTTGGCAAGGTGATGTCTCTACTTTTTAAGATGTTGTCTAGATTTGCCATCGCCTTTCTCCCAAGGAGCAGGCGTCTTTTAATTTCGTGACTGCTGTCACCATCTGCAGTGATTATGGAGCCCAAGAAAATAAAATCTCTCACTGCCTCCATTTCTTCCCCTTCTATTTGCCAGGAGGTGATGGGACCAGTGGCCATGATCTTCGTTTTTTTGATGTTGAGCTTCAGACCATATTTTGCGCTCTCCTCTTTCACCCTCATTAAAAGGTTCTTTAATTCCTCCTCACTTTCTGCCATCAAGGTTGTGTCATCTGCATATCTGAGGTTGTTGATATTTCTTCCGGAGATCTTAATTCCGGCTTGGGATTCATCCAGCCCAGCCTTTCGCATGATGAATTCTGCATATAAGTTAAATAAGCAGGGGGACAATATACAGCCTTGTCGTACTCCTTTCCCAATTTTGAACCAATCAGTTGTTCCATATCCAGTTCTAACTGTAGCTTCTTGTCCCACATAGAGATTTCTCAGGAGACAGATGAGGTGATCAGGCACTCCCATTTCTTTAAGAACTTGCCATAGTTTGCTGTGGTCGACACAGTCAAAGGCTTTTGCATAGTCAATGAAGCAGAAGTAGATGTCTTTCTGGAACTCTCTAGCTTTCTCCATAATCCAGCGCATGTTTGCAATTTGGTCTCTGGTTCCTCTGCTTCTTCTAAATCCAGCTTGCACTTCTGGGAGTTCTCGGTCCACATACTGCTTAAGCCTGCCTTGTAGAATTTTAAGCATAACCTTGCTGGCGTGTGAAATAAGTGCAATTGTGCGGTAGTTGGAGCATTCTTTGGCACTTCCCTTCTTTGGGATTGGGATGTAGACTGATCTTCTCCAATCCTCTGGCCACTGCTGAGTTTTCCAAATTTGCTGGCATATTGAGTGTAGCACCTTAACAGCATCATCTTTTAAAATTTTAAATAATTCAGCTGGAATATCATCACTTCCACTGGCCTTGTTATTAGCGATGCTTTCTAAGGCCCATTTGACTTCACTTTCCAGGATGTCTGGCTCAAGGTCAGCAACCACACTACCTGGGGTATACGAGACTTCAATTTCTTTCTGGTATAGTTCCTCTGTGTATTCTTGCCACCTCTTCTTGATGTCTTCTGCTTCTGTTAGGTCATTTCCACTTTTGTCTTTTATTATGGAAATCTTTGCACAAAATGTTCCTTTCATATCTCCAATTTTCTTGAACAGATCTCTGGTTTTTCCCATTCTATTGTTTTCCTCTATTTCTTTGCATTGCTCGTTTAAGAAGGCCTTCTTGTCTCTCCTTGCTATTTTTTGGAAATCTGCATTCAATTTCCTGTATCTTTCACTATCTCCCTCACATTTTGCTTGCCTTCTCTCCCCCGCTATTTGTAAGGCCTCGTTGGACAGCCACTTTGCTTTCTTGCATTTCCTTTTCATTGGGATGGTTTTAGTTGCTGCCTCTTGTATAATGTTACGAGCCTCCATCCATAGTTCTTCAGGCACTCTGTCCACCAAATCTAAATCCTTAAACCTGTTCCTCACTTCCACTGTGTATTCATAAGGGATTTGACTTAGATTGTATCTTACCGGCCCAGTGGTTTTTCCTACTTTCTTCAGTTTAAGCTTGAATTTTGCTATAAGAAGCTGGTGATCTGAGCCACAGTCAGCTCCAGGTCTTGTTTTTGCTGACTGTATAGAGCTTCTCCATCTTTGGCTGCAGAGAATATAATCAATCTGATTTCGATGCTGCCCATCTGGTGATGTCCATGTGTAGAGTCGTCTCTTGTGTTGTTGGAAAAGAGTGTTTGTGATGATCAGCTTGTTCTCTTGACAGAACTCTATTAGCCTTTGCCCTGCTTCGTTTTGAACTCCAAGGCCAAACTTGCCAGTTGTTCCTTTTATCTCTTGCCTCCCTACTTTAGCATTCCAATCCCCTATTATGAGCAGAACATCCTTCTTTGGTGTCACTTCTATAAGGTCTTGTAAGTCTTCATAGAATTGGTCAATTTCAGTTTCTTCAGCACCAGTAGTTGGTGCATAAACTTGGATTACTGTGATGTTAAAAGGTCTGCCTTGGATTCGTATCGAGATCATTCTATCATTTTTGAGATTGCATCCCAGTACAGCTTTCACCACTCTTTTGTTGACTATGAGGGCCACTCCATTTCTTTTACGGGTTTCTTGTCCACAGTAGTAGATATGATAGTCATCCGAACTGAATTCGCCCATTCCCGTCCATTTTAGTTCACTGATGCCCAAGATGTCAATGTTTATTCTTGCCATCTCATTTTTGACCACATCCAACTTACCCAGGTTCATGGTTCTTACATTCCAGGTTCCTATGCAATATTTTTCTTTACAGCATTGGGCTTTCCTTTCGCTTCCAGGCATATCCGCAGCTGAGCGTCCTTTTGGCTTTGGCCCAGCCGCTTCATCAGCTCTGGATCTACTTGTACTTGTCCTCCGCTCTTCCCCAGTAGCATGTTGGACACCTTCCAACCTGAGGGGCTCATCTTCCAGTGTCATAACTTTTATATGCCTGTTGTCTTTGTCCATGGAGTTTTCTTGGCAGGGATACTGGAGTGGCTTGCCGGTTCCTGCTCCAGGTGGATCACATTTGGTCAAAACTCTCCACTATGACCTGTCCATCTTGGGTGGCCCTGCACGGCATAGCTCATAGCTTCTCTGAGTTATTCAAGCCCCTTCGCCATGGCAAGGCAGTGATCCATGAAGGAGAAAACTTACAATAACTTATAATAAGTCTAAAACCTTAACACTATAGCGTACTATGTAAAGAACACCACACCAGAAGGAAGGGAGACAGAAAGAGAAAGTAAAAACCAGGCTCCTTCTGGCCTTATTTTAAAAAATAAAAATGGACAATTGGCTCCCAAATGCTAGTGCAGGAAATATCCCAGTATGTTGAGGTAAGAGATAAGAGAACCAGTTTAAACCAGTTGTACTCCGCTTCTCTGAAGGTATAACCCAAACATCATGAACCTTCTGCTTGTTTCTTTCACGCAGAGAAGCTTCCAGTACCCTCTTGAATTTATTAGACTAGGAAAGACCCATCAGATCAATACTTTCTGCACTAAGAAATGCAAACTGACAATATAGTAGTGATGATTTCCTCTGGACATGTTCAAAGCAGCAAGAACCATTCTGTGCACAGCTGGGAGGAGGGGGCAGAAAAACCCAGCGATGAGTTCTGTCCGAGGTAGACTTTAACCTCCAGCATCTCTCCTCTTAGAAGCTAACCGGCCAATTTGGGGGTCCAAATTAATTGTTCGGTTCTTCCTTCTACATTTGCAGGTTGCCATCCAGCTGAACGACACGCATCCCGCCATGGCCATCCCTGAGCTGATGAGAGTGTTTCTGGACATTGAAAGGCTACCGTGGGACAAGGTTTGGACCCGTCTTCAATGTCGCTCCTGTTTCTTTCCAGGGATCAAGCGCTGGAGCCTGGTTGCTGGATCAGGCCAATCTGGTCCAGCACCCCGTTTTAATAGTGGCCACCAGGTGCCTCTTGGGGAGCCTCAAGAGCAGAACCTGAACTTAGCACCACCTTCCACGCTTGCAAGACCAGCTAAGTAGAGCAAGGGTCTGATTGTTCTACATGGCCAAACTTGGTCCTCCAGCTGTTTTGGGACTACAATTCCCATCATCCCTGACCACTGGTCCTGTTAGCTAGGGATGATGGGAGTTGTAGTCCCAAAACAGCCAGAGTGCCGGGTTTGGCCATGCCTCTTCTACGGTTGTTGTTGTTGTCTTTTAGTCGTGTCCGACGATTCATGACCCCCTGGACCAGAGCACGCCAGGCACTCCTGTCTTCCACTGCCTCCCGCAGCTTGGTCAAACTCATGCTGGTAGCTTCGAGAACACTGTCCCACCATCTCGTCCTCTGTCGTCCCCTTCTCCTTGTGCCCTCCATCTTTCCCAACATCAGGGTCTTTTCCAGGGAGTCTTCTCTTCTCATGAGGTGGCCAAAGTATTGGAGCCTCAGCTTCAGGATCTGTCCTTCCAGTGAGCACTCAGGGCTGATTTCCTTCAGAATGGAGAGGTTGGATCTTCTTGCAGTCCATGGGACTCTCAAGAGTCTCCTCCAGCACCAGAATTCAAAAGCATCCATTCTTCGGCGATCAGCCAGCTCTCGCTTCCATACATCACTACTGGGAAAACCATAGTTTTCACTATACGGACCTTTGTTGGCAAGGTGATTCTGCTTTTTAAGATGCTGTCTAGGTTTGTCATTGCTTTCCTCCCAAGAAGCAGGCGTCTTTTAATTTCGTGGCTGCTGTCACCATCTGCAGTGATCATGGAGCCCAAGAAAGTAAAACCACTCACTGCCTCAATTTCTTCCCCGTCTATTTGCCAGGAGGTGATGGGACCAGTGGCCATGATCTTAGTGTTTTGATGTTGAGCTTCAGACCATATTTTGCGCTCTCCTCTTTCACCCTCATTAAAAGGTTCTTTAATTCCTCCTCACTTTTCTTCTACGGTACCTTCATATTTTCATCTGAATGATGCAACTGTACGTTGGGCACCTTCTAGGTCTTTCTCTTGGAATTGGCATGGGGGCCTTCCCACATGGTAGCGCCATTCAACTGCACCCCCGTCATAAGATCTTCTCACAAAAAAATGGTTCCGGGCGAATAATATGTGCCAAGGGAAGGGTGCCACCAAGTTGAGGTCTTTCACAATGGCTCCACCTGCTGGTCGCTGGTGGTAGGGAATTGTAGAATTGTAGTGATGTACGGCTTTGACCAAACTGCGGGAGGCAGTGGAAGACAGGAGTGCCTGGCGTGCTCTGGTCCAGGGGGTCACGAAGAGTCGGACACGAGTAAATGATTAAACAACAACAAGAAGTGATGTATGGAAGTGAGAGCTGGACCATCAAGAAGGCTGATTGCTGAAGAATTGGTGCTTTTGAATTGTGGTGCTGGAGGAGACTCTTGAGAGTCCCATGGACTGCAAGAAGATCCAACCTCTCCATTCTGAAGGAAATCAGCCCTGAGTGCTCACTGGAAGGACAGATCGTGAAGCTGAGGCTCCAATACTTTGGCCACCTCATGAGAAGAGAAGACTCCCTGGAAAAGACCTTGATGCTGGGAAAGATGGAGGGCACAAGAAGAAGGGGACGACAGATGGTGGGACAGTGTTCTCGAGTTTGACCAAACTGCGGGAGGCAGTGGAAGACAGGAGGGCCTGGCGTGCTCTGGTCCAGGGGTCACGAAGAGTCGGACACGACTAAATGACTAAACAACAACAAGGTCTTGCTGGTGGAATTGGTGTGGGGGCCTTCCCACATGGTAGCACCATTCAGCTGCACCCCCGTCATCAGATCTACTCGCAAAAAAATGACTTCCAGGGCGAAGAATATGTGCCAAGGGAAGAGTGCCACCAAGTTGAGGTCTTTCACAATGGCTCCACCTGCTGGCCGCTGGTGGTAGCGAATTGTAGAATCGTAAACTTGGAAGGGACCCCCAGAGTCATCTAGTCCATCCGAAAACTTTTGCACAACTAGGCCGTCCTCTCCCTTAACAGAGAGTTAGCCTGCAGAAAGGGAAAGGGGAATCGGACAGGAGGAGTTGTTGTGGCTAATCAGATTCACCCTAATCCACACACAGGTACTTTAGAGAGGTGTTCCTCCTTGAGGGTTCCCCCTGTGTCCTTCTCTGCTTGAGTGCACAGAGAGAGAGGTTTTTAGAGAGAGATGGGGTGCAGAATGAAGGCCTCTCCCCCAGGAACCAGAACGCCATTAGCATTATTCATTGCTGCAGATCCAGCTGTAGGGATCAAAGTGTCTCTCGTATAGTCCTCTTTGCGTGCATGGAGACATAGGTCCAGCAAAGTTCAGACCGCTGGCATCACTGCTGCACCTTCAACTCCAACCCTCCTATCTACCTGCCCCACCTGCTTCTTTGTTTGCAGCCTCTGCAAGCAAAAGCCATGCAAACATACACACAAACCCATTATTTCTGCAATGCGGTCTCTAAGCAGTTCCCAGCACTGCTTATCTTCAAGGTTGGAACAAACTGCTAATGAGCTGCAATCATCATCTATTATGGTAGCTTTTCAGTCTATCTGAGTTCCTTTCAAAGGAAAGGGTAGAGCAGAATTAAGAGGCTTGGTTCTAAAAGCATTCTATGTAGTAAAGTGGCGTATGTACCGTATTGGCCTGAATATAAGCCACACTTATTTTTTCCAAATTCCCATCTGGTACAGTTGCCCTCCAGAGAGCAGCCCGGTAGCATGGGGCAATGGTGCCCATCCCGTCTGCAGCTCCCAAGCCTCCCCGAAGCCACCAAATTTTAAAGGTGCTGCTTATTTGCAGGTGCGGCTTATATTTGGGACAATACGGTATGTCATAAATGTCTAAGCAAGCATTGGCTTACTAGGTTGCCAAATGCACAAGTTAGCCACGGTGCTTCTGCCTCATTCGAGTTGCCAACTTCCTAGAACCATGTTTAAATAATACAGCGTGCCTTTTAACCTTGACACCAGCACTCTGTACCAGTGAGCGCTGTCACACACAAAAAAGCCCTGAGTTCAGGCTTCCCCCTTTTAATCTGGGCTACCTAAAATATGTATTCTATCCCCCATCAGGGATTGAACCTGGGACCTTCTCAATGCAAAGCAGATACTCTGCTGCCACTGAGCTTGTTAATTGAGAAATCTGAGGGCTCCCTTGGACAAAAAACAAGGGCACCAGCCAGGAATACCAGAGCAAAACAGCAGCCAGTCGGCTTGGTCTTTATTGAAGACTGTCGTGACAGGACTCTCACCTGCCACCAGGTGGAATAAGATGGAAGCCCTGAACAAAAGAGAACCCAAACTGTTATTAGCTGCTGATCCCCATGTTACACCCCCCCCCAAACTACATCACTAATACATCATGGTTACATCATGAAAGGGGAGGTCTGGTAGCAGTAATCTGAGCATCCTGGACCCTGCCTCATGCTTCCCCTTGCCCTCCACTAAACACCCATCAAGTGTAACAAAAAAGATCTTTACATTTCCCTGTTTCCCAGCCAAGTTCATCACACCCTTTTGTCCTCATCTGGGTTTGTTATTTCTGGAATGGCTACCTGTCTGGCACTCCGGTATCAGGATGCCAGGGATTATCACTCAGGCAGAGGGGCTGCTGAGGAGCTGAGCTCACATGTCTAGATGAATTTCTGAAGTTTTCCCAGTGAGCCAGTACAGAGAGACATTTATCAGTGAATTCTTACATTTGGTATTGTGCAGCAGAGGCCTTTGAATAGATAGGAAGAAACTGTGATGAAGTGTTTTGTGGGGACAAGTCACAAAAGTCACAAAAGTGATTGTGCTGGTTTTGGTAGTGGGCTGCATGTGCCTGATATCTGCTGGAGGGGCAACCCCCCCCCAACCTATACATAAATTCTTGCAACAGCTACTTCACTGTCCTTCTCTCACTCTCACAAATCCTAGGCCTGGGACATCACCACGCGGACTTTCGCCTACACGAACCACACGGTTCTCCCCGAAGCCCTTGAGCGCTGGCCGGTGGAGCTGGTGGAGAAACTGCTGCCCAGACACCTGCAGATCATCTATGAAATCAACCAGAGACACCTGGACGTAAGCAGGGCTGTGTCGCCGTTGTCCCCAGTTCTGGTTTTCAAGCCCAGTGCCGTGATTCGGGGGGCAGCGGAAGTGATTTCCTGGAGAGCCATTTAATGGGGCAGATGTTTTTGCCCTGCTTGCCTAGGGCGGAGCTCACACTCCCCAGTGGCTCACTGGATTCCAGGATTGGCTTTTCTCTTGCCCACAGGGTGCCAGAGGGCAGCGCAAGAAGGGCTTGCCCTCCCTCCGATTTGGCTTCAGGCATCATCAGGTATAACCGAGGAGAACAGAAGCCAAGTCAGAGTGAGGGCCATGCTTCCTGCCCTCACTCTAATGCAAAGGTCAGCAAGGTTTACTTGCCATGGGCCCCTTAACTCCCACGGAGATCGCTCTGTGGGTCACAGCATGAGTGCGCCTGAGCGCGATTTCGGTGTCTGCACATGTGCAGACGCGATTTCCGGCATGGAAGAGGCATGCGCGGCTTCCCATTGGCTGCAGGAGCTTCCTGCAGCCAATGGAAGGCCGCCCAGCTTCGCAGAAGGCGGTCCCCACTCCATTCCGCGCCGGTTTAGCGCGGTGCACGGGAGCCGGGCGGCGGGGGTCCCCGAGCGGGTGGCGGGGCTCCATGGGCTGGTTAAGCGACTCCCATGGGCTGCTTCCAGCCCCTGGGCCTTAGGTTGCCTATGCCCGCTCTAATGCAACCTTTCCTCAACCTGGTGCCTTCCAGGTGTTTAAGACTACAACTCCCATCAGTACCAGTCAGAACAGTCTTGCTGTGGCACCTTGAGTTGATATATAAAGCCCTGAACAACTTGGGTCCAGGATACTTTAAGGAACACCTGAGCCTTTATATCCCAGCCCAATCTCTGAGATCATCCTGAAGAGCGCTGTTAAGTCTTCCTGTGTGTTAACAAAAGTCGGGAATTTTGTGTTGCCTATCTGTGGGATACTGGCCTAGCCAACAATCGGCAGCCACCCTCACTATTGGACTTCCAGATGTCCCTTTTTATGCCAACTGGCCTATGCCACTGTTTAAAACCTTTTTCTTATTATTAGAGCGTTATTTTAATGAACATTTTGTACTGGTTTTTAGTGGCATATTATGTTTCACTGTATACAAAGTGGTGTACAGTGGTACCTCTGGATGCGAACGGGATCTGTTCCAGAGCCCCGTTCACATCCTGAAGCGAATGCAACCCGCGTCCACACGTCTACGTGGGTCGCGATTCGCCGCTTCCGCGCATGTGTGTGACGTCATTTTGAGCGTCTGCGCATGCGCGAGCGGCGAAACCTGGAAGCAACTCACTCTGTTACTTCCAGGTCACTTGGAGCGCAGTGAAAATATTCATCCCGAAGCTACTTCAACCCGAGGTCTGACTGTACGCAATGCCCCGATATTTTGAGAGGGTGGCATAGGAATGAATTAATAAAATAAAGGGGAAGAAACCCACAAACTAAAAAATATACAAATCGGGGAACAGAATCATACATTTGTAGGGTTGGGAGGGACCCCCATCTAGTCCTTGTCAGGAGGTCCTACACACGAGTAGGAATCTGGCAGAGACACATGCCTGGCTGGCATGTTTTCTCCCTCCTTGTCGGTGATTCAGGAAACTCAAAGTCTTTCTCCAGCCCGAACATCACAGCGACTGATACCTTAGAGGCATCAGCACACTTCCGGAACAGCAGAGTATGGGCAGTCAGCGTAACAGACTCAGTAGTGCAGCATTTTGGCTAAACTACTTTATTTACATATAATGGTGCTGTGGGTTAAACCACAGAGCCTAGGACTTGCCGATCAGAAGGTTGGCGGTTCGAATCCCCGCAACGGGGTGAGCTCCCGTTGTTTGGTCCCAGCTCCTGCCAACCTAGCAGTTTGAAAGCACACCAATGCAAGTAGATAAATAGGTACCACTCCGGTGGGAAGGTAAACGGCGTTTCCGTGCGCTGCTCTGGTTCGCCAGAAGCGGCTTAGTCATGCTGGCCACATGACCTGGAAGCTGTACGCTGGCTCCCTCGGCCAGTAAAGTGAGATGAGCACCGCAACCCCAGAGTCGGCCACGACTGGACCTAATGGTCAGGGGTCCCTTTACCTTTACACTCGGAGCATTCTAACTCAGCTCCTTCCTCATCAGCATCAAACGGGGGGCGGCGGGGAGAGAACAAAGGACAAAAATCCTACAACACGGAAACACAGTAATAAAAACATCCTGTCTCCGTCACTTCCCACAATGTGGAATGAAAACATACACCGTCATGTGATATAAACAATCCCATGACTGCAACACAGTAAAGAATCCTAACAGTCCTACTCTCTGCAGTGCAGAAATACTAGTTCTGTGACACCCCCCCTTTTAAGCTCAAGGTTCTGCTGTCGTGTGGAGGGCTCTCCAGGGAGCTTCGAAACTGGGTTGGGCATCTTCTGGCATCCTTTTGGAGCGCTATGAGTGCCTGAGCCGTCTTTCCCTCCTTGTCTCTGCTCAGAGAATCGCAGCCATGTTTCCAAAGGACATTGACCGCCTCCGGCGGATGTCCTTGATCGAAGAGGAAGGCATGAAGCGCATCAACATGGCACACCTCTGCATTGTGGGCTCGCATGCCGTCAACGGAGTCGCTAAGATCCACTCGGAAATTGTCAAGTCGCAAGTGTGAGTACGGGCGGGGATTTCCGCGGGGCCCAAGTGGGTGGGCGTGGAAAAAAATCTGGAACTAGGGTTTAGATCCAAGGTGGGCTCCAGGGTGCTTTTCCACTGGGCCAGTTGGGTGGTAGTTGAAGACAGAGCTCTAGAGCCCCTGAGCATGTGCAGATTGTGGGAGCGGGCAAGAGGAAATGTCTGCAGCCGTCCCCTGTGGAGAAAGGTCGGCTTCCCCCAGAAGGTTTCCCTCTTTCCTTCCACCTTCTCTTGGCCACTGTTTCTTTGTAGTCAGTTCCTTGACAGTTGTGGTATTGTGGTTTCCTTCCCATTTTTAGTCTGGCGGTTTCTGTTTCTGTTTTGTACTTCAGAGGAACTTCTGTAATCATCTCCTTTTCGTCTGGTGCTTTCCTACCCAACCCTTCCTCTGAACCACAGCACAAGAAAACAGAAAGTAAACCCACTGTGCAATGCAAAGACCAATAAAATGGGCGATAAAAAAGTAAATCACAGTGAAAACTATCTGTGAAATTGCAGCCCCAAAATAGTACACACACACACACACACACACACACACACACACAGTGTTTCCTATAAGATGTTGTTGTTGTTTAGTTGTTTAGTTGTGTCTGACTCTTTGTGACCCCCTGGACCAGAGCACGCCAGGCACTCCTGTCTTTCCCAACATCAGGGTCTTTTCCAGGGAGTCTTCTCTTCTCATGAGGTGGCCAAAGTCTTGGAGCCTCAGCTTCAGGATCTGTCCTTCCAGTGAGCACTCAGGGCTGATTTCCTTCAGAATGGAGAGGTTGGATCTTCTTGCAGTCCATGGGACTCTCAAGAGTCTCCTCCAGCACCTGCACCATAATTCAAAATGATGTAGCAATGGTCAACTTGGACTGCTATAAGAGAAGTTTAAGCACATACACGCAGAATAAGTCTATTGTCAGGAGTGAGCCAGCAATAAATCACATGGAGCAATTTAACTCTTTATTAGAAGAAAGAAGGTCTGCTCGCGAGTGCCAGGCCTAATAAGCACACAACTCTTCTCAATAGCTCTTGCCCCTATGAAGCAGTTGTGGAGAGGTCCCCACCTTCCCACAACTGCCTAAGTCACCTCCTCTCCCAGGTCCTTCCCAAGCAATCTGAGACTATGCCAACGTACCTGTCTTTGCTCCTCCTGCTTCACACCTCTCCTGGTCCTGGGAGATCAGAAGGGAGGAAAGAGTGTTGCAGCAAGAGGGGCAGACACCTTGACCTCTTCACCAGCTTGACTCCTCTCTGCTTCCCTCTCTCCTGCTTCCGCTTCTGATTCTGGACTTCTCTCTGCCCCTGACTCTCCCAGCTCACCAAGCCTTGTTAACCCTTCATCTTCCAACACCTCCTCTTCTCAGTCTTCTCCCTCTGACTACTCATTGTCGTTCCACCACCACCACTCCCCGGGGTCTGAGCCTTCTTCCATTGCCCCCCCCCCAGCTGTACAGTAGGACAATTAAGTAAAGACAGGTGCTGTTGCACTTACCGTATTTTTCGCTCTATAGGACGCACCGGACCATAGGAGGGGGAGAACAGGGGGGGGGGATTCTCCCCCTCTCTGCTCAGCGCCCCTTCAGCGAAGCGGGAGGAGAAACGGAGCCCCTTCCATTTCTCCTCCCGCTTCGCTGAAGGGGCGCTGCACAGCTCTCCCTCTCTGCTGAAGCCAGGAGAGTCTTGCTCTCCCGTCTTCAGCAAAAGGAACCCGAAGCCTTCGGAGCGCAGCGCGAGTTCCCGCTGCGCTCCAAAGGTTTCAGGCGGCTATCCCTGAAGCCTGGAGAGCGAGAGGGGTCAGTGCGCACTGACCCCTCTCGCTCTCCAGGGTTCAGCGAAAGTAATGCGTAGCCTCCGCAGCGCGGAGGGAGCGCTCCCTCTGCGCTTTGGAGGCTTTGCGTTGCTATCGCTGAAGCCAAGGAGCCTGCATTCGCTCCATAGGACGCACACACATTTCCCCTTAATTTTTGGAGGGGAAAAAGTGTGTCCTATAGAGCGAAAAATACGGTAAGTCTTACTCGTGAGTTTCCCTTTGGGCCATTTGATCGGCCACTGTTCAAACAGGATGCTGGACGAGATGGTTGGCCCGATCCGGCAAAAGACTCTTCTTATGATGCATTGTTAGCCAAGAAACCTTGATGATATAACAATAAGAATTTATTATTTCTACCCCACACACCTGGCTGGGTTTCCCCAGCCACTGAACTGAGAACTTCCTTCCTGCGCAGGTTCAAGGACTTTGCAGAGGTGGAGCCCGAGAAGTTTCAGAATAAAACCAACGGCATCACCCCTCGGCGGTGGCTCCTGCTTTGCAATCCGGGACTCGCAGAGTTAATTGCAGAGGTACGCAGCCCACCTGTAGTTGACTTTGCTCTGGCAGAAATCGCACCGTTTCCATCAAGGTGGATCGTGTCCTGATGTACCTTGGACAGCAATAAGGCTGCTTCTGTGCAAGCAGCTTATTCAATTTCCCTGTTAATTTCCATGTTGTATTTCAGCTTTCACATGATGCAAAAGGCACTTCTATTCTGGAATATAGCATGCATTCAGAGCTCATTTCTGTGTTATTTGGTTCCAGGACAAATTGGTCTTCAGCCCCCTTAACCCAGAAAATCACAGTAGCAAAGTGATGAAATTTGGGGCAGTATCTGAACCTAGCTTTGCCTGTCATTTTCATGCGGAAACAAGAGGCATGCTGTTTTTTAAAAAACATATTTATTTATGCATTTCACTCATAAAACCAATATATCGTGTGATTGTGAAAAGCCACAACTTCAAAACAGTTTACAAAAGATTTACGAAAGATTATAGCTAATGCTTTGGATTAAAAACGGTTGCTTGTCCACAGTAAAATCAAGGAAAATTCACAATCCTACTTCAAAACATACAAAAGTTAAAATGCTAAAAGAGGTCCAAACAACCTTAAATTTCTAAGCACGTGATGAGTAGGTTTGTCTAAACAGGAATGTTTTTAGCAGGCGCCGAAAAGAGTACAGTGAAGGCATCTACTCAATCTCAATAGGCAGGGAGTTGCAAAGTTCTGCCGCACTAAACTATCAAGTTCTTACAAATGCAGAACGGGTGCTTTGCGACACCTGTAGTGGTGCCAGTTCCACCGATCGAAGTGGTCAGGCGGGCACATGTAAGGCTGGCGTGGTAAGAGGCAGGAAAAAGTCATTTTGGGGAGGTGAGAAGATACCCCGGAAAGGCTGCTTGTCTTGAGGCAGGTGGTCTGGATGCCTCAAGCCCCCCACTTCTCTTTTACAGAAAATAGGAGAGGAGTACATCAAGGACCTGAGCCAGCTGACGAAGCTCCACCGCTTTGCCAACGATGAGCTTTTCATCCGGGAAGTGTCCAAAGTCAAACAGGTAAGCGGGTGGAGGAGCTGGGCGTCTTCTTGTCAACGCTGCAGCTGGAGAGGAGGCAGGATTCTGCTCCCGAGATTCCTGGGAGACGCTGGACTTAACGTCAAGCAAACGTGGTGGCCGGGGGGGGGGGGGCGGCCACACGGCCCTCGATCCTTGCCAGCAGCGTCACCATCAGTTTACTTGCGTTCCACTTTTCCACAGTAGTGCTCAAAGTTGGCTCACAAGATGCCAAACGAACACCATATTAAACACACTTGGAAATAATCATAATGTCAGTAAATGTGGGGAAAAGTAATTGTTACATTTATCTCCCACCTTTTCCTACAAAGAGCCCAAGTTTGCTCAGGATGGCAAACAGACACACAGTTTAAAACTGAAAACGATACAGTAGTACATTAGTGGTGGATTTGTACAGTGGTACCTCGGGTTAAGTCCTTCATTCGTTCTGGAGGTCCGTTCTTAACCTGAAACTGTTCTTAGCCTGAAGCACCACTTTAGCTAATGGGGCCTCCTGCTGCCACCACGCCACCAGAGCACGATTTCTGTTCTCATCTTGAAGCAAAGTTCTTAACCTGAAGCACTATTTCTGGGTTAGTGGAGTATGTAACCTGAAGCGTATGTAACCTGAGGTACCACTGTACTGGATTGTTTGCACATAGGGCCGGATTTAGGTTTGATGAGGCCCTAAGCTACTGAAGGTAATGGGGCTCTTTGTATATCCAGCTGTCAACAAGAAATTGTCGCTGTTTTTGTGTTGAGTATGTGCTACATGGCAATTGATGGACCTAATAGGTTGCACAAGTTGCCATGCAACCAGTCCATGCAGACTGTAGGCACCCTATATATAAAAAAGGAGGAAAGCAGTGATATTTGAGGGAGCAGGCTACCAGGCGGGCCCCATGACTTACTGTATTTTTTGCTCTATAAGACTCACTTTTCCCCTCCTAAAAAGTAAGGCGGAATGTGTGTGCGTCTTATGGAGCGAATGCAGGCTGCACAGCTATCCCAGAAGCCAAAACAGCAAGAGGGATTGCTGCTTTCACTGCGCAGCGATCTCTCTTGCTGTTCTGGCTTCTGAGATTCAGAATATTTTTTTCTTGTTTTCCTCCTCCAAAAATTAGGTGCGTCTTGTGGTCTGGTGCGTATTATAGAGCGAAAAATACGGCACATCATAGGAGCCTACACAACACCAAACACTGTTGCTGTATGCAGGTTTTATTTTATTTGTTTTTCATCTTATATTTTGGAAATGTACATCCAGTTCCCCCCCCCTTTACATTTTTTTTGGGGCCCCCACGAGAGTGGGGCCCTAAGCTATAGCTTGTTTAGCTTATACATAAATCCAGCACTGTTCACACACGATTCCACTCTCTTTGCTCTGCAGTGCTTCCCCCAAATGTTACCTTTGCGGGGGTGGGGGCAGCCTTGCATTACACGGAAGCAAAACAGGACGGAAAGGCCCAGGAAACTTCTGTGCTATGAAAAGTTGCAGGATTTCGGCAGGAGATTAAGGGACAGACCCCAGTTGGGAAAGGAACTGTATGTTGGCTCTGAAACATTTGCAGGTGCAAACGGTGTTGAAAAGGAGGGTTGTGTGTAACCGCGCCAATATTGTCATGAACGCAGAGCATCATAAATGCGCAATAAAAAGGACGTCCCGGGAACGGCATTAGGCAGGGGGCGGCTGCATCCGGTGCCCTCAGACCATGCCTTGCTGGCTATATTTGCTGCTGCTTTGAGCGATTGCACCTTCCCTCTGCCCTCTCAGGAGAACAAGGTCAAGTTTGCCCAGTATTTAGAGAAGGAGTACAAGGTGAAGATCAACCCGGCTTCCATGTTTGACGTCCAGGTCAAGAGGATCCACGAATACAAGCGGCAGCTCATGAACTGCCTGCACATCATCACCATGTACAACCGTGAGTAAGGGCACGGGGGCAGCTGGGCATCCTGGGCATTTGTGGTTAGTAGGCAGTGACAGCCTCACCTCCTAGGTGTCTTGGTGGAAAAGAAGAAGAGGAGGAGGAGTTTGGATTTGATATCCCGCCTTTCACTCCCCTTTTGTTGTTGTTGTTTAGTCATTTAGTCGTGTCCGACTCTTCGTGACCCCCTGGGGGGGGTCCTCCTGTCTTCCACTGCCTCCTGCAGTTTGGTCAAACTCATGCTGGTAGCTTCCAGAACACTGTCCAACCATCTCGTCCTCTGTCATCCCCTTCTCCTTGTGCCCTCCATCTTTCCCAACATCAGGGTGTTTTCCAGGGAGTCTTCTCTTCTCATGAGGTGGCCAAAAGTCTTGGAGCCTCAGCTTCAGGATCTGTCCTTCCAGTGAGCACTCAGGGCTGATTTCCTTCAGAATGGATCGTTTGGATCTTCTTGCAGTCCATGGGACTCTCCAGAGTCTCCTCCAGCACCAGAATTCAAAAGCATCCATTCTTCGGCGATCAGCCTTCTTGAGTCTCAAAGCAGCTAACATTTTCCTTTCCCTTCCTCTCCCACAAAAAAAACACACTCTGTGAGGCTTTGTGGGGCTGAGAGACTTCAGAGAAGTGTGACTGGCCCAAGGTCACCCAGCAGCTGCAGGTGGAGGAGCAGGGAAGCGAACCCGGTTCACCAGATTACGAGTCCACCGCTCTTAACCACTACACCACGCTGACTCTCATTTTGTGTTCTCCTTTCTCTCCCACAGGCATCAAGCGAGACCCCATGAAGCTGTTTGTGCCCCGAACGGTGATCATTGGCGGCAAAGTAAGCGATGGGTTCGCGCTGCACATTTCCAGAGGGGACAGCCTAGGATCTGCTGGGGTGCCCCTTTTGGGCTGTCCTTGGAAGTGCCTGCCTGCCTTCCTTGGACTTGTCAGTGGCCAACGTACCACATCTTGTGGGAGGGAGTTCCACCGATGAATAATTAAGCCCTGTGTGGAGGAATACTTTCCTGATGCTACTACCCGTCCAGAGTGCTAGTGTTATGGGAGAATGAGAAAAACACCTCCCTAAAGCATAATTTCATGTACTGCTAATGTGACCACACACCACCACCACAAAGGGAGAGTGTGAGGTGTTGGTGGGGAATTTGTGCAGCTGAAAAGTCTGCTTAAACAAAAAAAAAATACATCTAGAAAGCATCTGGAGGGTCGTGGCTTCAGGGAGGCTAGGGGAAGCGCAAGGATTGCCCAGCTTGAGGCGTTTCCAAAGTAAAGGAAGGATTGAACTCTAATTAATAAAATACACACAGAGGCTTGAACCCGCAAGACTCTGGGAAGGGTGCATATAATAATCTCTCCCCCCAGCCCCTGGCCCAGGTCGTTTTATTCACAAAAGAGCTTTTTACAGAGTGTTCGTAAGAACCAATCAGATTACTTCTGAGCGTTTCAACAAACCCCACATGGGGACAAAGTTAAACTACAAGCACTAGTTAAGCATGCATACTTTGGGGGTAAATGAATGAAAACTACAAAGGAGTGCGTTCAGCAACCCCGGAGGTCATAAACAATCAATACACATGATAAGAAGGATGGCCAGGAGGGCAGCGATCATTATCACCTTCAGGTGAGACCTGTTTCCTGGCCCTAAGATTAACATCCTAAGATTAACATATCAGAAAAGCTACAGCAAAGAAACTGCCCACTGTCTTTGATGACCCAGGACGCCTGCCTGTCTAAGTGGGTACGTGACTTGTCAAGAAAGAGAAATGGAACTGGGATGCAGAGGTGTGGATTGATCAAGAATCATATCAAAATAGTTGAAACCCAGTCAACGCAATGCTTTCATTTCTGACACAGATGGCTTACTCTATATCTGTTATAATTCCTCATAGCAATCCCACCTGATCACTACACCAGCTGCCACTGTTCCTTCTAAGCGCTTGCGTTTCTGCCCTCCTTCCAGGCTGCTCCTGGCTACCACATGGCCAAAATGATCATCAAGCTCATCACCTCCGTCGGCCACGTGGTCAACAACGACCCTGTGGTGGGGAACAAGCTGAAGGTCATCTTCCTGGAAAACTACAGAGTCTCCTTGGCCGAGAAAGGTAAGGCCAGCATCGCCGTCGCTGGCAAGAGCTGGTGTCTAAAAGCCTTGCATCATTTCTCCTGGCAAATGTGCCTAAGAGTCACAATGTGTTTCAAACCGCACTTGTGCCTCACTGGCTTTCCCTACAACGTTTTTCCTGTTCTTGGTGGGTCCCTCTTCCTTTGGCTAAAATGTTGGGGGCGGGAGAACATATCTGTGGTCCTCTAGATATTGTTTAACTCCAACTGAACGCCAATTGCTGGAAACTGAAGGAAGGGAGAGGGCTCTGGGGCCCATTGGGTTGTATCCAACTAAGTTCTACTCAAAGAAGAACCATTTAAATTGATGACAACGACTTACTTGGGTCCATTGCTTTTTGCGGAATCCAGTCTTCACATGACAGAGGGATTGCAGTAGAGCTTCAGTAACAGACCTTAAACATTTGATAGATTGATGGATTGCATTTATAATCCCGCCTTTTTCTCCAAGGAGCTGAAGGTGGCATACATGGTTGTCCCCCTCCTCATTTAATATCCACAACAACCTTGTGGTGTAGGTTAGGCTAAGAGGCAACAACTGGCCCGAGGTCACCCAGTGAGCTTGATAGCTGAACGGGGATTCGAAACCTTGTCTCTCCCAGGTCCTACTTCAACACTTTCTTATTCGTCTTCTTTGGCGATCACTCGTAGTCGAGTAAGATTGTCTTCCATGTTGTTGTTGTTTAGTCATTTAGCCGTGTCCGACTCTTCGTGACCCCATGGGCCAGAGCACGCCAGGCACTCCCGTCTTCCACTGCCTCCCGCAGTTTGGTCAAACTCATGTTAGTAGCTTCGAGAACACTGTCCAACTATCTCGTCCTCTGTCGTCCCCTTCTCCTTGTGCCCTCCATCTTTCCCAACATCAGGGTCTTTTCCAGGGAGTCTTCTCTTCTCATGAGGTGGCCAAAGTCTTGGAGCCTCAGCTTCAGGATCTGTCCTTCCAGTGAGCACTCAGGGCTGATTTCCTTCAGAATGGAGAGGTTTGATCTTCTTGCAGTCCATGGGACTCTCCAGAGTCTCCTCCAGCACCAGAATTCAAAAGCATCAATTCATCGGCAATCAGCCTTCTTTATGGTCCAGTTCACACGGTTTTAACAATGAGTCTGTAAATGACTGTGGAGGCCAATTCTGGATCCACACATCCTTCCACAGTGGGGACATAGGTTTCTGGGCGGGAGCTGATCACGGTGTGGATTTGCCAAGCGTGCCTTCCTCTTAGCACATTTCTCCCTTGCGTCCTGAGTTCGAGTGTCTTCAAAGCCCATGACACCTTTGGTAAAGGCTGTTTTCCAATTGGTGCGCTCGCAGGCCAGTGTTTCCCAATTGCTGGTGTTTAGACTACATTTTTTTTAGATTTGCCTTGAGAGAGTCTTTCAACCTCTTTTGTTGACCACCAGCATTACGCTTTCCATTCTTATGTTCGGAATAGAGTAGTTGCTTTGGAGAACGATCATCAGGCATCCGCACAACATGACCAGATCAACGAAATTGATGTTGAAGAATCATTGTGCAACACTGGTGATCTTTGCTTCTTCCAGTACACTGGCATTAGTTCGCCTGTCTTCCCAAGTGATGTGTAAAAGGAAACAGCGTTATACCAGGTCAGGCTATTGGCCCTAACTCAGAGTTGTCTCTTGGGCAGAAAAGGTGCTTAACAGTTTATCCCTCAGCTTTTATCATCATCATCATCATCATCATCATTATTATTATTATTAGTTTTCAATTACAATAATCCTATAATAGCCTCATTATAACAAAGCCAAATTAGTAATACCAATAAATCAGACGCCAAATTATACAATTTAGGTAGCTTCCCACGTGCTAGAATTGATTCTTTACTTTATTTCTGTGTTCCAAAATCTTTCAATTACACTCGTCAAAATAATATTAAATCCCTTATACAGCAACTGCAATTTTAACTACTTCCATTGAATGATTTATAAAGCTACAGGTGAAGCATTCAAACTACATCCTTGTTCTTCCTGTGAGTGGCAATTATTCTGTCCGTAATGTTTCTTCCTGTCCTTGTAAAATATTACGTCTATCTTTTCCTGGTTGTTGCTGTTCTCCATCATGCCTTGGGCGGAGCTAATATCCCATTGTTGCTTCAGAAATTCTCCATTGCTCTGTCCCGTGGTTCATTGTTTGCAACTTTAGCAGCAGCTGCAGAAATCACACTGTCCCAATAAATATCCTGTTTTCGCCATTTTTCTCTCAGCCTGGGAAGGAGAAGAAGCTGTCGAACTTCAAATAACTCGGTACTGAACCTTATCAACTCCTTGGCAAGCTCGCAGATTCCTCTCCCTCAGCCTTTAAATTGGAAATAGCCAGAAATTGAAACTGGGACATTTTCCCCCAGTTGCCCCACTCAGCTACGCCCTTAGAATCATAGAATCATAGAATCATAGAGTTGGAAGAGACCACAAGGGCCATCGAGTCCAACCCCCTGCCAAGCAGGAAACACCATCAGAGCACTCCTGACATATGGTTGTCAAGCCTCTGCTTAAAGACCTCCAAAGAAGGAGACTCCACCACACTCCTTGGCAGCAAATTCCACTGTCGAACAGCTCTTACTGTCAGGAAGTTCTTCCTAATGTTTAGGTGGAATCTTCTTTCTTGTAGTTTGGATCCATTGCTCCGTGTCCGCTTCTCTGGAGCAGCAGAAAACAACCTTTCTCCCTCCTCTATGTGACATCCCTTTATATATTTGAACATGGCTATCATATCACCCTTAACCTCCTCTTCTCCAGGCTAAACATGCCCAGCTCCCTTAGCCGTTCCTCATAAGGCATCGTTTCCCTTCTCTTTCCTCTGTGTGCAAGGCAGTTTGTATGTCCATATAACAAAGTTGCTTGCTTGATTCTGCATGGTTTTTTTCCTGATTACCTGCTGCGAGCCATCATGGTTGGCTGTGACAGAAATGTATAATAATAATAATAATAAAGGACTGCAGGAATGGCTAAAATTGCACCCTTCTTGGCAGTGATCCCTGCCACGGATCTGTCGGAGCAGATTTCCACGGCAGGCACCGAAGCGTCTGGCACCGGCAACATGAAATTCATGCTGAACGGGGCCCTGACCATTGGGACGATGGATGGCGCCAACGTTGAGATGGCAGAAGAGGCTGGAGAAGAGAACCTCTTCATCTTTGGCATGAGAGTGGAGGATGTGGCTGAGCTGGACCGGAGAGGGTGAGTATGGCAGAAGCGAAGGTCTCATCCACGCTTTTCGCTTTACCTGTATTTTGATTGGATTGTGCACTGATGAATTCCGCTCCCTAGTTCCAAGAGCTTTTCTCTTTTTTCTCTTTTAAAAAAATTTAAATATATTTACAGTGGTACCTCTGGTTACGTACTTAATTCGTTCCGGAGGTCCGGTTAAAGCATCCATGATTAAGTGGGTGCAAGATATTGGGGAAAATATTATGCTTGAACAGTGGGGGAAATTGTGCAAAGAAGATATGAAATTCACTGTGTGTTATATATTGAAAGAAAATTACTTTAAAATGCAGCATAGATGGTATTTAACACCTGAAAGAATAGCAAAAATTAATAAAAATTCTGGCGATGTCTGCTGTCGATGCAGCACAGAAAAAGGTGCTGTGATGCATATATGGTGGAATTGTTTAAACATCAAACAATTTTGGGAAACAATATATAATGAAATGAAGAAAATGTTCAGATATGCATTTAGGAAAACATCAGAAGGTTTTCTATTGGGAATAGTGCCAGGAAGTCTAAAGGAAGAAGACAAGACATTATGTTTATACGCAACAGTAGCCGCAAGGCTATTGATTGCGAAAAATTGGAAAAGTGTTATAATACTGACAAAAATAGAGTGGTTTGCCTAATTATTGGAGTATTACAATATATCCCATTACAATGGGAGAAATTGGAAGGATCTCAAAAGAGAAGATAGACAAGGAACTTTTCTCATTGCTCCACAGTTGTGCCTTGAAAAATTTGATCTTGCCCACTGAATTAGATCTTATCCAATTCACAGAAAATCCAGAGATTTTGCTTATGGTAAGACCAGATTTTTGACCCCTTGCGTATGTTAATGGTGCAGATCAATAATTGCTCAATAATTTGAGTCACCCTACAGTTTGGAGGCGGCTGTTATGGCAGTTCTGTTGGCAAAGTTACTTTGCCTAATACAGGTGGAGTCCGGATAAATGCAAAAACCAGACATTACTGAACAAAAACGGTATATAAATTGAAGAGGAAAACTCCCTCCGAATTGCACAGCCAGTCAGAGCATGTGCTGCCTCAGTAAATGTGATTCCTCCGTGTGAAACAATACTTCCACCTATCTTCATCTTGACTAGTTGGCTTTCACATGAACGTAATTAACCCTTAAGTTACAAACCAAATCATCCCTGCTGCTGAACTTCCAACAGATTTTCCTCACCAAATCAAGGGAGTTCGCATGTCAGCCCCTCCTGGTATAACAAAGTGAGATAGCTGAGGATGTCTTGTGACTGCAAAGCCAGGAGCACGTAACAGACCAGGCAGAGGGCCTTCTCAGTAGTGGCACCCGCCCTGTGGAACGCCCTCCCACCAGATGTCATAGAGAAAAACAAGTACCAGACTTTTTGAAGACATCTGAAGGCAGCCCTGTTTAGGGAAGCTTTTAATGTTGAATAGGTTATTGCATTTTAATATTCTGTTGGAAGCCGCCCAGAGTGGCTGGGGAAACCCAGCCAGATGGGTGCATAGCTATCAACTTACAGATTTGAAAATAAGGGACCAGCCAGCCTTGAAAATAAGGGATCAGCAGCTAAAATAAGGGATTTTAGCCAGCCAGCTGAAATATGAAGATAAAAGGGACAAGATAATTTTGGAGAACAGCGCTGGTTTTTAGCCCTTCGTTTCCAGAGGTTGCTGCTCAAGACACCAGCTGATGAAACACTGCAATTAAATAACTACAAGCAGCAACCACTTTTCACGTAAAATGAAGTCCAAGCTATGAAGATGCTGCTGCAGTTCTGTATATTTTCTCTCGTGCTCCATCTGCAGCTCTCAGTTCCATCAGGCGGGGCAGGAGGGGGGAGAAAAAGCGCCCGAAGTAAACCTGCAGATCAGACCATCTATGCTAGTCTACCACTACAAATCTATGGGAGAAGTGCTTGCGGTCCTTCCCTTGTAGCCCTTGGAGCACCTGCCCGAGCCTCCGCCTCCTCCTCCTCCCTCTGAACTGCTTTCTCTATGGTTGCCCTCGCTCTCCTCTCAAGGCTCCTCAGCAATTCATAGGCCATGCCAGGCTGCCCATCTCATCCGGCTCCTTCGGCAGCACAGCCACAGTACCGCCTAGCGGGAGCGGCGGTGGCGGCGGGCAGAGGGGAGGCCCCAGGCAGAGACACTCAGTTCGGCGGCCGCGAGGAGGATGGCAGCGGAAGGGTCTGAGGCTCCCGCCAGTCCCGGCCGGGAGGGGCTCCCGGGGGCTGAGGCTGGTGAGAGGAGGCCGGAGGGGGGCGGGCCGAGCAGCCAAGCAACCCAGTTGGAGCCTCCCTCCTCCCTGGCCAGCAAGGAGGGAGGGAGAGGAGCTGCTTCCATTGAAACCTGGGAAATTTAAGGGACATCATCAATAAGGGACAGCAGCGGGACACAGCGCTGGAATAAGGGACTTTCCTGCCAAATAAGGGACGGTTGACAGCTATTGATGGGTGGGGTATAAATAATAAATTGTTGTTGTTGTTATATACATGGCCATCGGTAATCTTCAATATGTGTGCTAAAGGTTTTCCTCTTTCCATCAGGTACAAAGCTCAGGAATATTACGAGAGGCTTCCTGAGCTGAAGCAAGCTATGGATCAGATCAAGAGTGGATTCTTTTCACCAAAAGAGCCCGACCTTTTCAAAGATTTGGTCAACATGCTGTTCCACCATGACCGGTGAGTGGAGACCCCTTTGCAGAAACCCGTTGACAGCTTTGGCTAACGGTTGCTTGTGCCACACTCTGTAACTTGCCTGGCCTCTGTGCCTCAGTTGCAGCAGGGTCTGCTTTCCCTGACCCTCCGCTCTGGAAAAAGCTTAAGGAACATAGAATTGGGGCCACCAAGGGTCATCTAGTCCAACCCCCTGAATTGCAGGAATCTCAGCTAAAGCATCCAACCTCTGCTTCAAAACCAAGGAAGGCGAGTCCACAACTTCCTGAGGGAGACCTTTCCGCTGTTGAACAGCTCTTACTGGGGTGTAAATATGTACAATTTTTTGGGCAAAGGGTGTTTAAGGGGATAGCAGAAATCACAGGGTTAAAGCTGACCAAAAGTCCAGAAGTAGCAGTATTATCAATTTACGATGGGGTGGAAGGTTCACGGGCTGTGAAGGACTTGCTCACAAATTTATTGACGGCCGCATGAATTATCACAGCTAGGAAGTAGAAGAGGCAAGCAGAAAATAAAATGTTATAATGGTACAAAGAGGTTTGCGATATAGCTATTAATGATAAATTAGCGTGTGCCATTAAGGTAAGACGGAATACGCAGGAGAAATGATTTTGAGGAGATACGGAGGGTGCTTGTAGAATTTGTACGGTTAAAACGGAAAGGGGTCAAACCATCGCAAGAGGTGCTGGAATTTTGGGAGGTTGGATAGCTATAATGGAATGGTCTCAGGGAGCACATTTTTATGATTATGTGTGATTAATTATTGATTTAATAATAAAAAAGAGAAAGGGGGGAAAGGTTCTTCCTGATGTCAGGGCCTGTTGAGGACCCTGTTTTTATTTTGACAGGACACTGGACTTTGATGGTGGCCTTTCCTATTTATGTGTAAAATAATAATACAGTGGTACCTCGGGTTACATACGCTTCAGGTTACAGATGCTTCAGGTTACACACTCCGCTAACCCAGAAATAGTGCTTCAGGTTAAGAACTTTGCTTCAGGTTGAGAACAGAAATCGTGCTCCGGCAGCGCAGCGGCAGCAGGAGGCCCCATTAGCTAAAGTGGTGCTTCAGGTTAAGAACAGTTTCAGGTTAAGAACGGACCTCCGGAACGAATTAAGTACTTAACCCGAGGTACCACTGTAATACAGTCATACTTCGGGTTAAATATGCTTCAGGTGGAGCATTTTCAGGTTACACTCTGCGGCGACCTGGAAGTAATGGAACGCATTACTTCTGAGTTTCGCTGCTCGCGCATGCGCAGACGCTCAAAATGACGTCACGCTCATGCGCGGAAGCGACGAATCGTGACCCATGCATGCGCAGACGCGGGTTGCGTTCGCTTCAGGCTGCGAACGGGGCTCTGGAACGGATCCCGTTTGCATCCGGAGGTATCACTGTAATAAAAAAGGGTCTTCATTGTTCAGGCACAAGCCCCTCTGACGCCCGCTCTGACCTCCTTCCTCGAATAGTCAAAGTCTCGCAACACATACGTCTGTCAAGACAACGTCAGTCATCTACATGTAAGGCGGAGGTGTCACTGCTGCAGGGTCTCCTAGATCGTTGGCATCTCAGAAGCATACGTCGGAATGCCTCCGACATTTAACGACCTCAGCCTTGATGAGCTCCAAGCACGTCTCCCAGCAAGCCCAGCACAGGGAAGATAGCAGTATGAGCACATTTAAAGAGTTATTTCTAAACATGCAGAACAGAAAAGACATCCTCTCTCTATGAAGCAAGAGCAGTTCACAAAGAACAAGGAAACAGAAACACAAACCACATCCGCTCCTTCCCGTAACTCCATAGTGGAATCCCAGGAAAAACAGCTGACTCCCAGCACAGTGATAAGAGCAGAATTACACGCTTACCCTGTGTACACACATCGCTTGTTGGCCAAACTGGCCCCGTTCCAGGCACCGCATAATGCCCGTTCCACATTTGTAAGAAGTGCTTTCAAGTGAGGTGCTAGGAGAGGCTGGAGGGAAGCCCAGGGGGGCCTCATACCATTACTAACCTTCCCAGATTCTCCGAAATAGAGCGACAGGGAAAGCGCCCCTGCGCCGCTGCCACCACGGCCCTTTTTCTGGAGTTCTCCCAATATGCATGGTCCTCTGGGACAGCACGGATTAGAGGAAGTTGGTCCAAAATGCAGCTGCCAGATTCCTGGCTGGGCATTCCCTTATATAACCCCTGTTTTAAAACAGCTGCACTGGTTGTCAATTCGTTTCCGGGCCCAGTTCGAGGTGCTCACATTGTCTAAACCACTGGGTCTCTTGGGCCTGTCGATTGGAAGTTCAGCAGTTCGAATCCCCGCAACAGAGTGAGCTCCTGTTGCTCTGTCCCAGCTCCTGCCAACCTAGCAGTTCAAAAGCATGCCAGTGCAAGTAGATAAATAGGTACCACTTAGGCGGGAAGGTAAATGGCGTTTCCATGCACTCTGTCCCATTGCGCCAGAAGCAGTTTAGTCCTGCTGGCCACATGACCCGGAAAGCTGTCTGTGAACAAACGCTAGCTCCCTCGGCCTGTAAGCAGTGATGAGCACCACAACCCCAGAGTCGCCTTTGACTGGACTTAACCGTCCAGGGGTCCTTTACCTTTACCTTTAATGCCGTAAATGACTCAGATCCCAAATATATAAGGACCACCTCCTTCCCTACAGACCATCTCTGGTGCGGAGTCCGGCAGAGGAGGTCCTTCCTCTTCGTAGTTCTCCTGCCCTTAGACACTCAGGGGTGTCAGCCTGGGGTGAGAGGACCTTTTCTGTGGTGGCCCCTAAGATGTGAAACTCCGTCCTCATGGAGGTGTGTCTGGCACCTTCATTATACAGCTTCCGGAGAATGCTGTAGATTCACCTCTTTACCTTGGCTTTGGACAACTGAGGTGTATTTTTTGTGGCTATAAGTTGTTTAAACCTGCTTTTAATACTATGTTTTAATGTTGTGACCTGCCCTGGGACCTTAAAAGAGAGAGGGGGGGGAAACACTAGTCTAGCCATAAATACACAAGTTATTTAGCCTGCATACTTTCTGTCTCCCACGCACACCTGTGTTTAGTAAACTGTGGCCTTTTGTAGTTTCCTGGGTGTGCTTATTAACTCCATGCTTGATCACCTGTGGTTATTTCATCAGCATCCTTGTAGCTCAGGTGTGACTCACCTGTGGTCCTCCAGGTGTTGCTGCACTAAAACTCCCTTAACTCCTGGCCATTGGCCATGCTGCCTGCTCAGGGTCCAAAACAGTTCTCCCTCCTCCCTCCTGTAGTTGAAATCCCTCCTTGTTACAATCCTGCAGGTACAGTGAAGTATTTCCTTCACTCCTATATTTTGAGATTCTTCTACATGCTGCACTTCCTATGTAGTTCTCCTCTTGCTGCTTCTTGCAAGATAACCACCTAGAACAGTGGTTCCCAATTGGTGGTCTGCAAACCCCAACTGATGTCCATGGCGTATACCCATCGACTGACTGTTTGTGGGCGCCGTGTGCTCGCACGGGTCATGTGACCCACACAGGAGCGAAGCCCGGAAGACGTACGTTTGCTCTGAGACATGTTGGCACCATTCACAAAACAAGAACTACTACAGAGATATCAAGATTTTCAAAAGAATGGGGTTCATGGCTTGGCTTTTGAAAAGCAGGGGTCTGCAGTTCCTAGCTAACTGGGAACCACTGACCTAAAATGTATAAGAATAAGAATAAATAAAATTTATTATTTATACCCTGCCCATCTGGCTAGGTTTTTTCAGCCACTCTGGGCGGCTCCCCACAGAATAGTAAAAACACAATGAAACATTTAAACTTCCCTAAGCAGGGCTGCCTTCAGATGTCTTCTAAAAGTTATGTAGTTTTTATCTGCTTGACATCTGATGGGAGGGCGTTCCACAGGGCGGGTGCCACCACCAAGAAGGCCCTCTGCCTGGTTCCCTGTAACCTCACTTCTTGCAGTGAGGGAACTCCCAGAAGGTCCTCAGAGCTGGACCTCAGTGTCTGGGCTGGACAATGGGGGTGGAGACGCTCCTTCAGGTAAAACTCTGTCTGATTTCCCTACCATCAAACTTGGGGCTGAGCTAGGTTGGAACTTGAAACAAACCGTTGCTTTGGCCGGAGGGTTTTGCTGGGCAGTCAGAAAGAACTCTGCGCATGGAAATGAGAGACTTCCAGTTGGTCGCCCGGTAATGGCAGACAGGAGCTCTTTCGACTGAAAGAGCCCCAGCGCTGTGAAGCAGGGGGAGACCGCAAGAGCAGTGGCGTAGCGTGGGTTGTCAGCACCCGGGGCAAGGCAAGTAATTTGCGCCTCCTAACCCGTGGATTTTAGCACCCGAGTGCGAGCGAGCGCCCCCCCATGTTGCGCCTGGTGCGGCCGGCACCCTTGGCACCCCCACGCTACGCCACTGTTCCAACGTTCAGCTTCACTGGATGCCCACGAGTTATATTGTACGGAGAGAGGGATAAAAACTTTCCTCTCTGTCCACTCTCTCCTTGCCATGCCTAGTTTTGCAGGCTTCTCTCCTGTCGCCTCTTGCTTGCCTTTTCTCTAAACTAAAAACAAACCCAATGCTGCCGCCTTTCCTCAGGGCACCGGCTCCATCCCCTTGCTTAGATTCCCTCTACCAAAGCTGAAAGCAGCCTGAAGTTCCTCCTGATCGTGAATGGGAAACAGCTGGCGAAGCCGGCGGCCTGCCAGGGAAGGGATCTCTTCCTAACTCCTGCTCCACGGAGCCCGTTCCTTGCAAGCGCTCCCTGTCCCTCGGATGGCGAGCGCCTTTGGAAACGCGGAGCCGGCGCTTGCCGGCGAGCAGCCCCCCCCCCGCCCCTTCCCAAGCTAATCCTTTTAAAACCGAAAGCCCCTTAACCCGCTGGCGAGAGGCTTAGCCAGGCCTCGCCCGCCCACCGGCTTCCTCTCGGAGGTTTATGGGGAGCGCAGGGCGCGGCGAGGCCCCTCTGAGCTCTCCTCCCTCCCAGTCAGCAGAAGCAGCCGCCGCCTGGGGCTGGGCCAAGGGGATGGCGGCGCGTCGGGGTGCGGAGGCTGCCCGTGCCCGGCCAGGCGTCGGTGGCGGCGTCGGCGCTGCTGCAGCGGCTGCTCCTCCTGCGAGCAGTGAGTGGAGCGCAGCCGCAGCGGCAGCGGGGCGCGCGCGCGCTAGGGCGCAAGGCTGGCGGTGGCGGCGGGGAGCCCGGCCGAGGAACTTGTCCCTTCCCTCTGGACTCGCGCCCCCCCCAGATGTTGCGCCCGGTGCGGCCGGCACCCTTGGCACCCCCCACGCTACGCCACTGCGCAAGAGCGTCGCGTTCCCCTGGAAAAACCTCAGATTGGGCGTTCTGAGGACCTGGTGATCCGGTGGGTGCCCTTTGGCGACTCCCCCACTCCCCGGTAACCAGGGGGGTTTCAGGAAGTCACTTTACAATGTTACCAAGACTGGTTTAATTACAAATAGGATGTATGTTTCTTTGTTTGTTTGTTTTAATTTTTTTGGAAAATTAATAAAAAAAATTGAAAGGGGGAAAAAGGAAATGAGATCTTTGCGATTCTCAAGTCAGCTTCTTTTCGCAGAACGCCAAGGAGTGGACCAAAATGGTGATCAGGAACATCGCCGCCTCCGGGAAGTTCTCCAGCGACCGGACCATTAAGGAGTACGCCCGGGACATCTGGGGGGTGGAGCCTTCAGACTTGAAGATCCCGCCCCCCAATGTGCCCCGGGACGTGGCGGACGAGATGCTGGCCAACGACACGTCCGAAAAGATGCACGTCTGAGTTTGCACGAGCCCCGGGGAGTTAGCTCTACCTGAGTAGTGAGTGTGCGGCCCTGTGTGCTTTGTGCGAGGCAAGCTCACGCTTGTTTAGTGACGCTAACAGTAGTTAAAAGTTGTGGGCTCTTTTTTCTTTCTGCTTTTATTGGCGTTGAAAGGGGAATCTGACTTCTTCTGTGAATTCTGCAGAAGTGCGAAGCCGGTTGAAGGGCACTTCTGAGTTTCATGAACCCCCCCTCCTCCCCCTCCCTTGGCAGCCTGGGAATTCCTAGTCCCAAGTCTCTTTTTCGAAGCTCCCAGGATGGGGCTGCTGTTGAACCTCCTGCAAAACCAGTTTCCAGGAAGGACCAATGGCAAGATCGAGTCAACAAGCTGCTCTTTTGCATCCTCATCTCTTTTTAAAAGATAAGGGATTGGTTACCCATCAGATAAACCCTTCGCAGAGGGTTTGGGACTTGTCTGGCGAGAGAGGTGTGTCGAAGATGGTGGCAGCAGAATCCCTGGGGGTCTTCATGTTGCTGTCTCAGCCATCTTATGGCCAAGGGTCTTCCCCACCAAAAAGGGATCCCTGTTCCAATTTGCCTATGACAATATCCAGACTCCCTTTCTGCATTTCAAAGCTCTGTCTCTGAGCCTGTGGTTTTATTCTCCCAGCATTTGGCAAACGCGGCTTGTTATCTGCTCTGATTTGGAATTAAAATGTGGGTTTTCCCAGGGGAAGCACTGGAACGGAAAAAAAACCCCACCCACTCAGATGCGGAGCTTTAAAGTACAGACCTGTGCCTAGAAAGTGGGGTGCAAAAGGACGTCTGGCTGAGCCCTAAAATCTGTCCTACAGTCGCTGGACCAAAGTGCTTTTAACGGATACCCTGAGGTATTGCAGCAGGTGCTATGTGTTCAATGCCATTGGTGCGCTCAGCAGGTACATGCCGGCTGCTTGCCTGCAGTGAGCAAGATGCGCTAAGAAGGGGAGAGAGAGTGTCCTGCTCAGGTAGTGCTTAAAATATCCACTTTTAGGTGCAGTAATACAAAAAGGAAGCCGCGAACCGCACATCTTTGCAAGGGCTGCATGCATGAGTTTGTGTTCCCGCCTCCCCGCTTTCTTGTCTCCCGGGTCCACGCCACAAATCTTGCATTCCTGAAAATTCACCTGGTAAAATAAAAACGAAACCCACTCTTCCTGTTCATGGCTCGTTTTATTATCTGTAGCAATTTGAACTGGAGTACGGCGCAGCGTTCCTTGCGGGTGACAGCGGCTGTTCTCTTCCTGCGTTGCTGCTGTCACTTAACACTCTGGAGGAAGTTTCTGTTTGGGAACAGGAGGGAAACAAAGGCATGATTGATATTCCTTCAACCAGGGGCCATGCTAGGTATCTACTTAGGCAGGACTGTCTTAAGCATATGCGGCGCCGGGGTGCAAATATCCACCTTACCGCTTCAGCGTCTCACTGGCTCAGTCGCCCCCAAACTCACGGCGCAGAGCCACCTGCAGCAGAAGAGCCCGCTGCTTCACTTCAACTGATGGAGGCCTCTTCCCCGGACTCAACTCTCGGGCCCCAGACTCTCAGCCTGGCACCCCTGAGAGCCCGGCACCCGGGTACCCCACACCCCTAGCACCTATGGGTAAGACGGCCCTGTACTTAGGCTGTCTTTAGGCTGGGACAGGGTTTCCCAAACTTGGGTCTCCATCTGTTTCTGGACTACAACTCCCATCATCCATGACCCACGGGCCCTGCTAGTTAGGGATGATGGGAGTTGTAGTCCCAGGTTTGGTAAACTCTGGTGCAGCATTTGGGCAGAAGAGTACACTCTGTGTATGTGGGTGCACCTATATGCCATTTCAGTAAATATGGAAGGTGTGTTTGTTTTAAATTGGGGGAAGGGAACCACTTGCAGGGGACCAGCCAACTCTGAGGATGTCTCCCCATCACCTAGGTCATGGGTAGGTAAACGAAGGCCCGGGGGCAGGATCTGGCCCAATTGCCTTCTAAATCTGGCCTGCAGACAGTCCGGGAATCAGCGTGTTTTTACATAAGTAGAATGTGTCCTTTTATTTAAAATGCATCTCTGGGTTATTTGTGGGGCATAAGAATTTGTTCATTTCCCCCCCCAAAAAAAAATATAGTCTGGCCTCCCACAAGGTTTGCTGAAAAAGTTTGCTGACCTCTGACCTAGGTCAAGTGTAGCCAATGTGGTTTCTTCCGTCTTGTATCAGACTACAACTCCGATATAACATGGAGGAAGCCACATTAGCTCTGCAAGAGCTGCCCGGCCACTGAAAACCACCACTGACCGCAGGCCCAATAATAATAATAATAATAATTTATTATTTATACCCCGCCCATCTGCCTGGGTTTCCCCAGCCACCCTGGACGGCTTCCAACAAAAGATTAAAAATACATTAAAACATCAGTCATTAAAAACTTTCCTAAACAGGGCAGCCTTCAGATGTCTTCTAAACATCAGATAGTTGTTTATTTCTTTGGCATCTGATGGGAGGGCGTTCCACAGGGAGGGCGCCACCACCGAGAAGGCCCTCTGCCTGGTTCCATGTTGAGGGAACCACCAGAAGGCCCTTGGAGCTGGACCTCAGTGTCCAGGCTGAATGATGGGGGTGGAGATGCTCCTTCAGGTATTATGGGATGAGGCTGTTTAGGGCTTGAAAGGTCAGCACCAACACTTTGAATTGTGCTCGGAAACATACTGTGAGCCAATGTAGGTCTTTCAAGACCGGTGTTATGTCTTGACATAACAGGCCCATGTGCTGCCGTGGCATTTAAGCATGTTCTCCTTGGTCATGCAATGGAGAGACATGTTCCCTCCGCCTGCCATACTGATTTCTGCAATGATCACGGAGTTATTTTAAAAAATACTGAGGTTATACTGCTAATGGGTACTTTTGAATTATGGTGCTAGAGGAGACTCTTGAGAGTCCCACGGACTGCAAGAAGATCCAACCTCTCCATTCTGAAGGAAATCAGCCCTGAGTGCTCACTGGAAGGACAGATCCTGAAGCTGAGGCTCCAATACTTTGACCATCTCATGAGAAGAAAAGACTCCCTGGAAAAGACCCCGATGTTGGGAAAGATGGAGGGCACAAGGAGAAGGGGACGACAGAGGACGAGATGGTGGGACAGTGTTCTCAAAGCTACCAGCATGAGTCTGACCAAACTGCGGGAGGCAGTGGAAGACAGGAGTGCTTGGCATGCTCTGGTCCAGGGGGTCACGAAGAGGCGGACACGACTAAACGACTAAACAACCACCACTGCTAATGGGCAGGACAGAGCAGGAGGGTTGGACAGTCTCTCTCATCAAGGTGCAGGAGCGATGAAGAACGGGTCCTCCCTCTTGCAAAGAGCCAAGGCAAAAAGCCTGGGCTAAAGGCTGCTTCTTGGGCTTTCAGCACAGCAAATTTGCACATCCCTCTTTCTGCTGGAGCCGGCAGCTGCGTGAGGCCAGCTCCCTGCTGCATCCCAGCCCCCAGAGTGTCAAAGGGAAATCGGGAGTCCGGGACCCCATTCTGCAAAAGCGTTTCTCTTCTTTCCGCCCACTTACTTCAGGATGCCAGCAAGATCAGGGTGGAAGGAAATGTAGTCGTGTCCTAAGCCCATAGCAGAAGGTAAAGGAATAAACACGACGTTCTCTTTCTTCTCCGAAGCGTTGTATGCAATCTCAAAGAGCTGTAAGGGAACGAATGAGGCAGGTTGCAGCATCTGGAGTTTCTTAGTTTCATAGAATCTTACGGGGGTCGTCTAGTCCAGGGGTCGGCAACCTAAGGCCCATGGGCCAGTAGCGGCCCACGAGGCTTGTCTAACCGGCCCATGGTGACCCCTGCCGCTGCCCGCTTTTAGCAACGCGGGGACCAACTTCTGGGTTGATGGCGCCTGTGTGGATGCGCATGTGTGCTCTCCTGACCCGGATGTGCGCTGGAAATAGCGTGTGCGCACGTGCACAGGTGCTCCTCCGACCCAGAAGAGTGCGCATGCGGACACGCTTTGGCCCATCCTCCGACAGACGGAGTGTCGACCACCCATCCTCGGATAAGGTTGCCGACCTTTGATCTAGGCCATACCCCTGCAATGCTGGAATCTCAGCTAAAGCATCCAGGATAGATCGCCATCCTATTGGTAAAACGTGTTTGGTGTTTCGCAACTTGACTAGTTGCAGGACCTTAGCCAGACCTAGCAGAGTACATGCAGAATCCATGGAAGCAATTAGCGACTTGGCTGCAGACAGGATAGACGAAGCAGGAACCAGGAACTTGTAGTTAGGTGTTGATTATATACAGTGGACTATTTACAGGAACAGAACACGGATCTTCTGCTAGCTCTCTCTGACACGACTCACAACTCCTACACTGACACACAGAACTCCTGAACTAACTCATTCCAGTTAGTAGGCCATTAATTATCACTCCCTTGAAAGAGCTTGACCAGTCAGGGAGAAGTCTGCATGACTCTGTTATCGCCAGGCAGACCTACTCCTTCAGATTGCCTTCTGGCTGTCTGCCAAACCTTAATTGACTCTGTGTGAGTAGCTGCACGTACACAGTTTCCCAACACATCCAACCTCTGCTTAAAAACCTCTAAGGAAGGAGAGACTACAACCTCTCGTGGGAGGCTGACAGTAAGAGCTGTTTGACAGTTGAACAAAGTTTTTCTGAATGCCTAGTCGGAATCTCCTTTCTTGCCACTTGATTCAAGCCATTGGTTTGAATCCTACCCTCCAGAGCAGATGAAAACAAGCATGCACCCACCCTTAAGATATTTGAAGATCGCCATCATATCTCTTCTCAGTCTCCTCTTTTCCAGGCTAAACATACCCAGCAACCCTTCCTCATAAGGCTTAGTTTCCAAACCCTTGATCATCTTGGTTACCCTCCTCTGCACACGTTTCAGCTTGTCAACATCCTTCTTAAATTGTGGTGCCCAGAATTGGACGCGGTATCCCAAGTGTTGTCTAACCGAGGCAGAATAGAGTGGGACTATTACTTCCCTTGATCTGGACACTGTTGATGCAGCCTAGAATAGCATGAACTTTGATTTTCCTGTTGCATCACACTGTTGACTCATGGTCACTAAGTCCCCTAGATCCTTTCCACATGTACTGCAAGTAAGTTAGGTGTCCCCCATCCTATATTTGTGCATCTGGGCGCTGTGGGTTAAACCACAGAGCCTAGGGCTTGCCAATCAGCAGGTCGGCGGTTCGAATCCCCGCGACGGGGTGAGCTCCCATTGCTCGGTCCCTGCTCCTGCCAACCTAGCAGTTCGAAAGCACATGAAAGTGCAAGTAGATAAATAGGTACCGCTCTGGTGGGAAGGTAAATGGCGTTTCCGTGCGCTGCTCTGGTTTGCCAGAAGTGGCTTAGTCATGCTGGCCACATGACCCGGAAGCTGTATGCCGGCTCCCTCGGCCAATAAAGCGAGATGAGCACCGCAACCCCAGAGTCGGCCACGACTGGACCTAATGATCAGGGGTCCCTTTACCTTTACCTCTTCCTGCTTAAGTGCAGAACCTGACATTTGTCCCTATTGAAATACATTTTGTTAGCTTGCGCCCAGGTCTCCAATCTGTTAAAGTCATTTTGAATTCTGGTTCTGTTTTCTGCAGCATTAGCTACCCTTCCTAGTTGGGTGTCATCTTCAAATTGGATGAGCATCCCCTCAATTCCTTCATCCAAGTCATTGATAAAGTCATTGAATAACAACAAGCCCAGGACAGAACCCTGTGACACCCCACTTGTCGCTTTTTTCCAGGATGATGAGGAACTATTAACTGCAATACATACAATACCTGTAAAAGGATCAAACTGAGAAACAGAGACACACGACTTGTGATTTTTTATTATTATGGTTTTATCCCACAGAGTTCATGGTGGATTCCAAAGGTTCTCCCCCCCCTTTCCCTCATTTTATCATCTCAATGAGGAAGGTTAGGGCTGAGAGAACTTACAGTGGCACACAGCACGTTTTGTGAGCTGGAATAGGAAACAGCATCCTGTTCTGACAGTCTCATCGCTATCCTTCCTGCAAAATGACACCTTGCATTGCAAGGCGAGGCATCGGCCTGTGGTTTCGTTTCCACTGTCGAAATCCCCCACCTCCAACTTGGCCCTGACTTTAAAACTTCTGATGCCACCATTCTTCAAAAGGTTCAAAGCATGTTGCAGAATTAAAAAAAAAATTATATGTAGAGTGAACAACCCATTCACCACTCCCTCTCAAAATGAGCACCCTGGTCCCTCTGAAATAAATGCAGGTTGCTTTGAACGTTCAGGAAATGACTAAGCAACAAGGAATTCAAGGCAGTAATTGCAAAGGATGTTTTAAAGCAGCGCATGGGGACCAGTTGACCTATGGCTGTTGGATTGCAACTTCCGCCAGCCCCAGACATCATAGCCCAGAGACAGGGGTGATGGGAACTGTAGTCCAGCAATCCCAGAGGGGACAAAGGTTCCCTAGCCCAGTTTGAAAGCGTAACCTATCTGACCTTGCATTTTCAGCCCTAGAATGGGAATGACGAATAGTCGCTCGCCTAGGGCGAGGAGAACTGTGTCCCCAGATGACCAGACAAGGAGCCCTTTGTAATTGTGAAAATAATCCATAGTTCTGCCCCCCTACCCCACCCCACCCCACTCTGCCACCATTTTACTGGCTAAGTGAGCAGATAACCATGGAGGCTTCGTTCCACGGCTCCATTGCCTTCCCACTTTTAAAAGAAACGAAGAAAGAAGATTAGAATAGTACAAAGGCTTTGTTACCTTCCTTCCATGCTGTATTGGTATGATCGCATCATCTTCTGAATGTATGATCAAGATAGGACTGGACAACACTTGGACGCTGCAGATGGAGACAGAATGCAATGAACCACCAGGCATTTGGTTATTCTGGTTTTATCCTGCATCTTTGGCCAAACCCTGGCTCCCAAAGTGGTTTGGAAAATTAGAACATGAGATGATTAGATTTATATACCACCCTTCATCTGAAAATCACAAGACAGTTTATGAAATAGGTGGAACTTTAGCCAAGAAGCTGGTTAAATCAATTAAATTTGCATGGGAGTAATTTAAAAAGTGGTTTTTAAGCAACAGTCATACTTTGGCTTTAGATGTGATGTAGAACAATCTTAAAAGAGTCATTCTTCTCCCTCTCTCTCTCTCTATTTTTTTTTAAGTGTGAGGCCAGCTACAAAGCCTTTCCTGATGGCCCACCTGGTCCAATACAATTTTTCAGTGGTAGCAGCCCCACCAAGCAGGGAACAGATTTAAGAGTCTAGAAGTACCACATGGTTTTTATTCTAAACGGCAGGGCTGGGCAGAGCAGTGACCCAGTAAGCCGCAAAAATTGTTCCTCATTTCTCATCAGGTTGATCATTTGGTGACCAGGCAGGAAGTCATAATCCCCATCCTCATCTGATTTTTACAGATCCCCTGAATGGAAGGTTGTCTCTCTCTGCATACATAGAGGAAGTCTGCAAGAGTGAGGGGTAAAACCCATTTTGGGTCAGGCGCTTTTGGCTGGCATGTGGACCCCAGTGGGGTGACGGCCAAGGGTGAACGCAGACCCCAAAACAGTTCCCCAACCTGTGCCTTAAGGATGATGCCTCCCAAATTAAATTGCAATTTTTAGTTATTTAAGAAAATTTGAATACCACTTGGTATTCCTCAAAATGGTTTACCAAAAATCTATTTTTTTTTAAAAAAAATATACAGTGGTACCTCGCATTAAGTACTTAATTCGTTCCGGAGGTCTGTTCTTAACCTGAAACTGTTCTTAACCTGAAGCACCACTAATGGAGCCCCCCGCTGCCACCGCACAATTTCATCCTGAAGCAAAGTTCTTAACCTGAGGTACTATTTCTGGGTTAGGGGAGTCTGTAACCTGAAGCGTATGTAACCCGAAGCGTATGTAACCCGAGGTACCACTGTATCTATAAAGGATAGTTTAAAAAACATTCAAACACTAATTAAAACCAACGATAACCTAAAAAACACACATGTAACTTCCACGTGTCTGGATAGACTTGCCTAAACGAAAAGGTTTTCCTCAGGCGCTAGAAACGGTACAGCAAAGACAGCTGTCAATAAGCAGTTTTGAAGTGTAGCTGCCACCATACTAAATGCGTACGAGTATTGTGCAGTGCCTATAACACTGCCAGATCCGCAGATCGACGCAGTCAAGGAAGGCACATGTGCAAGACGAAATGCCGTATTTTTCACTCCACAAGACACACCTGACCATAAGACGCACCTAGTTTTTAGAGGGGGAAAGCCCCATTTTGGGGGGGGGATCAGCTCACAGTTGTGCAGCTTCTTTTGCAAAGGGGAAAAGCCCCTTTTTTTGAGGATCAGCTCAAAGTTGTTGAGCTTACTTTGCAAAGGGAAAAAATCCTGTTTTTATGGGGTTCAACTCACAGTTCTGCAGCTTCTTTAGGAAAGGGAGCCATTTCTACAGTTTCCAGACAGGTAATCTAATCAGCCAGAGGCATGTCGCTGGGGAAACAAACAGCCTCCGCCTGCAGAACATTCAACAATGGAGGCCTGGGCAGGAGCCAGCGATCGACCACACATTCACTCCATAAGACGCACAGACATTTCCCCTTACTTTTTAGGAGGAAAAAAGTGTGTCTTATGGAGCGAAAAATACGGTACTCCATAATGTGGAATGTTGATGGATATTTTCATCTTTTTTCTATATTTATTGCCGAGTTTCTCTTTCGAATGTTTTAAAGAGTTGTTTTCACTGATGTACCAACCAAGCACATACATAGATCAGCACAGGAAGATCGACCTGGAACCATTTTGATTCCTAAACTGACCAAATGTTTTCTCTGCAAGGTCAAAGTGGGAAACCTCCCCATTGTCTCTTTCCTCACAAATCCTGTCTTAAGGGCACATTTAAGATATGAATAGGGTGTGAGCCTGTGACCTGGCCCAGGAACGAAGTATTTATCATTACAAAAGACTGGCCAGGCTCCCCAGGCAATCCAATCAAGTAACTTGCCAGACAGGAGATAAACAACAACAGGAGAAAAACAACATTCAAATTTCTGTTTTAGACCGCCTTTTTTGTGATGTATGTATGATGTTTCTGGGGGTGGTCTTGATCTACAGGGTGGCAATTTCAAAAGTCTTTAGAAGGCCTTGAATGCCATTTTTCTGGGTTCCTCCTCCTCTCCTGTGGGTGAGGGGAGCACCCTGTTGCAACAGATCAATAAAGATCAGGCTTACTAGGTGCTTTGCTTCTCAATATTCTCTGGTTGGCCTCTGTTATTTTCTCCTACCGATGGAGAACCTATGTAAGGACTCTATATGGGCTCTTGGATACCCCATAAGGGGGAAAGGGCAATTTTTGTTTACAACAACAGCCAGTGTGTGTAATGGTTAAGGGTGCTGGAGAGCTGGGTTCGAATCTCCACTCAGCCAGCAAAGCTCCCTGGGTGACCTTGGACCAGCCACCATCTCTTAGCCTAACCTCTGCCTCACAAGTTTGCTGGGAGGATGAAATGGGAAGAAGAGAATCATGTGCACCCACTTGAGATCCTTGGAGGATAGAGGTGGTATAGAAATGTTAATAACGATGATAATATTCTCTTTGTAAACTGTTTTAAGGGTTTACTTTGTTTTTACAGTTAAGTGATGCATGCCTTTTATGAAACACAACAAAATAAGAGGACACCAGTTTTGCTCAAGTGTACGCAGACTTCCACAGGGACAGGTGCCCCAAACAGAACCGCCTCGCTGCCAACGTGGCACCCTTCGGACTCACTTTTTGTCGTTCGGGAAGATCATACCCGCGAGAGCCATCGTGTCTAAGATCAGATAGTCAAAGCCAGGAAACTTGCGGTAGATCTGTTTCAAGAAAGTGCAAGTGACTCGTTAGAAGAAGTCTCAGAGAGCCTGGAAAAAGGTGGACATTTTCCATGGATGGAAAATGCCTTTGTGAAATTGCCCCAGTAAATGTGTCAGCAAAGCAAACGTGTGGGGGGCAAGGGGGGGTCTATATTGCTGCAATATCAGTGGCAAGAGGAGTCCATGTTCCAAATATAACATACTTTCTGGCTGAGGATTTATGTCAGGGGTCAGCAAGGTTTACCTGGCCTGGGCCAGCTCACTCCAGTGGAGATCCCTCTGTGGATGGATGGTGGCTAACAGAGTGAGGTTGAATCCTGACAAGACAGAAGTACTGTTTTTGGGGGACAGGAGGCGGGCAGGTGTGGAGGACTCCCTGGTCCTGAATGGGGTAATTGTGCCCCTGAAGGACCAGGTGCACAGCCTGGGAGTCATTTTGGACTCACAACTGTCCATGGAGGCGCAGGTCAATTCTGTGTCCAGGGCAGCTGTCTACCAGCTCCATCTGGTATGCAGGATGAGACCCTCCCTGCCCGCAGACTGTCTCACCAGAGTGGCGCATGCTCTGGTTATCTCTCACTTGGACTACTGCAATGCGCTCTACGTGGGGCTACCTTTGAAGGTGACCCGGAAACTACAGTTAGACAGAATGCGGCAGCTAGACTGGTGACTGGGAGCAGCTGCCGAGACCATATAACACCGGTCTTGAAAGACCTACACTGGCCCCCAGTACGTTTCCAAGCACAATTCAAAGTGTTGGTGCTGACCTTTAAAGCCCTAAACGGCCTCGGTCCAGGATACCAGAAGGAGCGTCTCCACCCCCATCGTTCTGCCTGGACACTGAGGTCCACCTCCAAGGGCCTTCTGGCGGTTCCCTCACTGCGAGAAGCCAAGTTACAGGGAACCAGGCAGAGGGCCTTCTCGGTGGTGGCGCCCGCCCTGTGGAACGCCCTCCCACCAATGTCAAAGAGAAGAACAACTACCAAACTTTTAGAAGACATCTGAAGGCAGCCCTGTTTAGGGAAGCTTTTAATGTTTAATAGGTTCTTGTATTTTAGTGTTTTGTTGGAAGCCGTCAAGAGTAGCTGGGGGGACTCAGCCAGATGGGCAGGGTATAAATAAATTATTGTTGTTATTATTAATTATTATTATTATTATTATTATTATTATTATCATCATCATCATCATCATCCGTGCGCCAGAGCGCGCGTGCGCCCGCGATTTTCTGTGTCTGCACAGGCGCAATTTCTGGCATTGTGTCTGTGCAGACGCGATTTCTGGCACCGCAAAAGCGGGTCCCCGTGCCGCGCTGGTTTAGCACAGTGCACGGGGACTCGCAGAGAGGGTGGCTCACTTTGGGGGCGGCTCATGGGCCAGTTAAATGACCCCCGGGGGCCGCTTGTGGCCCATAGGCCTTCGGTCGCCAACCCCTGGTTTAGGTTTTTCCCAATGGTAATTACCGTATTTTTCGCTCTATAAGACGCACTTTTCCCCTCCTAAAAAGTAAGGGGAAATGTGTGTGCATCTTATGAAGTGAATGCAGGATGCGCAGCTTTCGCTGAAGCCAGGAGAGTGAGAGGGATCAGTGTGCACCGATCCCTCTTGCTCTCCTGGCTTTAGGGATAGCCGCCCGAAGCCTCCTGAGCGCAGTGGGAGCGTTCCCACTGCGCTCCCGAGGCTTCGCGTTGCTTTTGCTGATCCCTCTTGCTCTCCTGGCTTCGCTTCACTGGAGAGCCGCTGTGCAGCTTTTCCTCTCTGCGCAGCGCCGCTTCAGCAAAGCGGGGGGAGAAAGGGAGTCCCTTCCATTTCTCCTCCCGCTTTGCTGGAGAGGTGCTGAGCAGAGAGGGAGAGAACATTTTTTTTCTTGTTCTCCTCCTCTAAAACTAGGTGCGTCTTATGGTTGTGTGCGTCTTATAGAGTGAAAAATATGGTGCATTTGATGGTCCAGAAAAGGCCTTTAGATCATCCTTGTTATTAATTTACGCACACAGTTTGCAAAGCACATAAACCAATGGCACAAAGGCACAATAATTTAAAAACAAAACAAAACCACACAGCATAATTTAAACACGCAACAAAGCTAGCATATATATGTCCGTGATAAGACAGACTCATTAAAACAGCACAGCAATGAAAACATGATATGCAGATTGAGAGATCAAAGGAATGCCTGTGTAAACAGACCCCTCCCGAGATGCTGGCAGGTTGCCACTTTTGACGGGGAGTCTCGCATTTCAGGACGTTCCAGCACTATTCGGAGCAACTGGCACTTGGAGGCATACTGCCTCCAACTCAGGACAGGCGAAAGAAAGTCCTCCTTCATGCAGCACATCGTTAAACTGTGGAACTCACTGCTGCAGGAGGTGGCGACCAACTTGGGAGGGCTTTCAAAGAGGATTGAAGGCTATCAACAGCTACTAGCCACAATGGCTATCCTCTGGTCAAAGGCAACAGTGCTTCTGAACACCAGTCGCTGGAACCCGCAGGATCCTTGCGCTCGGATCCTGCTAATGTGTTTTCCATTGGGGGATCTGGGTGGCCACTGTGAGAACTGGGCCAATGGTCTGACCTAGAATGCCTCTTGTCATGTTACATTTGACTTTTGCTCAAGGTACACTGAGAGGCCATATTTGGCTCTCTGGGCTGAAGTTCCCCACCCCGGCCAAACAGAATAGAAATTAAAACCGCTTGCCGGCTGGCACACCCCGCTGTTTACAGAGTTGCTCAGCAAGCTGTTTCCGTGGCAGCAAGAGGGCCACGAAAGAAGAGCGCTAAATCTTACTTTTGTAACAGGGATGGTGGCAGCTGCATCCCGGATGTTGGTGTAAGGAGCCTCCAGAACCAGGGCGTCAACTATGGTTCCATCTGCGGGGGGAAGAGGGGGGAATTGGAAGATGAAAGTGGAAGCAAACGCAGTCATGGGCTGCATCAACGCAAGTCGAGTGTCCAGATCAAGGAAAGTCATAGTCTACTTGGGGACTTCCCTGGCTTTTTTTTCTGGCCCACGGAGGACCAGTCTGGATAGTTGGCCTTGGTGAAGACTTGACGTTTTCATCCCCCCAAAAAGTTTTTGATTTGAGTTCCTACTGAAATGAGGCTGCATTTTAATGTTGTGTTTTAATCTTGTTTTTAAGTTGTATTTCAATCAATTGTTTTTATACCTGGTGTTAGCCACCCTGAGCCCAGTCTAGGCTGGGGAGGGTGGGGTATAAATAAAAATTATTATTATTATTATTATTATTATTATTATTATTATTATTATTATTATTATTATATTCTTGTCAATTGATAAGAAAGAAGATTCCTACTAAACTTTAAGAAGCACTTTTGGATGGCAAGAGCTGTCAGCAGCGGAACAGACTCTCTCAAAAGGCGATGGACTTTCCTTCCTTGGAGGTTTTTAAAAAGAGGCTGGATTGACATCTGTCAGTGATTCCTTAGCTGCGATTCCTGTACTGGGGAGTTAGATCCTTGGTGTTCCCTTCCAACACTACGATTCTGTGATTTAATTCTACAATTCTACGAAAAGCCCTTGGAGAGACGCCAGGACAAATCCCTGGAGAAGGGCAGCTTCTCCCCACCAGAAGAACCAGGACAGCAAGCTATTCCAGTCCGACAGAGACAAAATATACAGAAATCCAGGCTGACTTGAACAGTCAACTTGCAAAATTTGAGGAGGGTGTGGAGAGGGAGCCCTGTTAGCCCTCCAGAACAACTGCAAAGCGGATTCCAAGAAAATGGAGCCCTGTTTGATTGCTGCCGACACAAAATCATTGCAGGGTCGCAATCTAGTCCCCAAATGGAGGATCGCAGCTCGGAATCACATGTCGAGTTCCACTCTCATCCCATCTGTGATAGGAATTTTGAGGTCTTAGATATATGGTAATGTTCATAACCGCACGCACTGTACATAGATAAGCACAGGAAGACCGACCTGAAGCCATTTTTGATTCCTAAACTGAGCAAATGTTTTCTCTGCAAGGTCAAAGTTGTCTTTTCCTTCACAAATCCTGTCTTAAGGGTATGTCTGTGTTTGAATAGGGTGTGAGCCTGTGACATGGCCCAGGAACTAAGTATTTATCATTACAAAAGATTGGCCAGGCTCCTCAGGCAATCCAATCAAGTAACCTGCCAGACAGGAGATAAACAATGACAGGAGAAAAACAACATTCAAATTTCTGTTTTAGACCGCCTTTTTTGTGATGTATGTATGATGTTTCTGGGGGTGGTCTTCATCTACAGGGTGGCAATTTCAAAAGTCTTTATAAGGCCTTGAATGCCATTTTTCTGGGTCCCTCCTCTCTCCTGCGGGTGAGGGGAGCACCCTGTTGCAAGAGATCAATGAAGATCAAGCTTACGAGCTGCCTTGCTTCTCAATATTCTCTGGTTGGCCTCTGTTTACAACACCATCTTTCTGGGGCTTCTCAGCTTCCTCGTCACCCCAGTCTCTTCCAACCCCTATAGACCTAGGGGCAATCTATAGGCAGTTTTGAGTGAGGGGCATTGGGAAAGTGCATAGGAATGGCGTCACGAGTGAGGATTCAGCAGAAGTAGGGGAGAAAGTGGGGAGGGGGACCCAGTTGCATCTGTCATTTGTGTCGACAGCCTCTCTCTTGACTTCATACGCAAAGAGATGTTGCTTAATGCATGCGTTAACAGAGAGGTGTAAGAATAAACCGGAGAAAGAAGGGCGTTTTGAACATGCTCAGAAACACCCTTGAGGAATCCGCATCCACTGAAATGGATTTCAGGGCCAAATCTGTGGCTCATGCCCCCAATTTGCTCACCCTATGCAAAAGCCAATCTCCTCACTTCCAAGAAGAAGAAGAGGAGGAGAGGAAGAGAGTAGTTTGGATTTGATATCCCGCTTTATCACTACCCGAAGGAGTCTCAAAGCGGCTAACATTCTCCTTTCCCTTCCTCCCCCACAAAAAAACACACACACTCTGTGAGGTGAGTGAGGCTGAGAAACTTCAGAGAAGTGTGACTGGCCCAAGGTCACCCAGCAGCTGCATGTGGAGGAGCGGGGAAGCGAACCCAGTTCACCAGATTACGAGTCCACTGCTCTTAACCACTACACCACACTGGCTTAGTTTAAAGGTTTAATCACCCTGTAGCACAGGCCATTTCCTACACACAAAAGCGTGCGCAAATGGCTCTCTCTAATCTGTAGCTCAATGGCAGAGCATCTGCCTTGGCGGCAGAAGGTCGCAGGTTCGATCCCTGGTGCCTCCAAGTAGAATTTAGGAACAGGCTCCCTTGTCTAAAATGCTGGAGAGCTGTTGTCAGTCAGTGTGGACAGCACTTTGCAGCTTCTTATGTACCCACTGCTGCTGGAGGAGACTCTTGAGAGTCCCATGGACTGCAGGAAGATCCAACCTCTCCATTCTGAAGGAAATCAGCCCTGAGTGCTCACTGGAAGGACAGATCCTGAAGCTGAGGCTCCAAGACTTTGGCCACCTCATGAGAAGAGAAGACTCCCTGGAAAAGACCCTGATGCTGGGAAAGATGGAGGGCACAAGGAGAAGGGGACGACAGAGGACGAGATGGTGGGACAGTGTTCTCGAAGCTACCAGCATGAGTCTGACCAAACTGCAGGAGGCAGTGGAAGACAGGAGGGCCTGGCATGCTCTGGTCCAGGGGGTCACGAAGAGTCGGACACGAGTAAACGACTAAACAACAACAATGTACCCACAACCAGTCCCCCTTGGATTGTGGGGCCGTGACCCTTCCACACACAGATATTAATAATTACCTTTTTCTTTCAGCCTCCTAGCAGTGTTGGTAGCAATTCTGCAGGGAAACAGGAAAGAGGGATATTGTCACATGGCAGGCCCAGAAGATCTCTCCTGGATCAGGCCAATGACTCATTGAGCCTGACATCCTGTTCTCATGGGAACCGGCCATTATTATTATTATCATTATTATTATTACTATTATTATTATTTATTTCTACCCCACCCATCTGCCTGGGTTTCCCCACACACTCTAGGCGGTTTCCAACAAAAGATTAAAAATACATTAAAACTTCCCTAAACAGGGCTGCCTTCAGATGTCTTCTAAATGTCAGATAGCAGTTTATTTATTTGAGATCTGATGGGAGGGCATTCCACAGGACAGGGGACACCACCAAGAAGGCCCTCTGCCTGGTTCCCTGTAACCTTGCTTCTCGCAATGAGGGAACCGCCAGAAGGCCCTCAGTGCTGGACCTCAGTGTCCGGGCTGGAGAATGGGGGTGGAGACGCTCCTTCAGGTATACTGGACCGAGGCCGTTTAGGGCTGTAAAGGTCAGCACCAACACTTTGAATTGTGCTCCGAAACATACTGGGAGCCAATGTAGGTCTTTCAAGACTGGTGTTATGTGGTCTCGGTGGCTGCCCCCCAGTCACCAGAGTAACTACCGCATTCTAGATTAGTTGTAGTTTCTGGGGCACCTTCAAAGGTAGCCCCACATAGAGCGCATTGCATTAGTCCAAGCGGGAGATAACCAGAGCATGCATCACTCTGGCCAGACAGTCTGTGGGCAGGGAGGGTCTCATCCTGCGTACCAGAGAGAGCTGGTAGACAGCCGCCCTGGACACAGCTGCCTGTGGGAAACCAGCAAGCAGAATTCGAACACGAGCCCTCTCCCCAGCTCAAACCATGTTTCAGACACCGAGGTCTTGAGTGAGGTACCAGGTTTGTCCACAGGAGAAACAATACCACACCTGAAGGTTGCAAGGGTCAACACTGTTTCCTCAGACAAAGATGGAGCAAAAGCTCTAGTCCCATGGAAGACAGGTAACCAGAGGTTTGAACTGGTCAATCCAGTTGCAGGTAGTTCCAAAAGTGGAACTGGTACAACAGGGGTATACTATGTGTATGACAACTGTTTGTTTATGTCACTTGATGCTGCACTAGCTTACGCAGCAACGGTTACCTAAAAATGGGGCGGGGGGTGATGTTAGGATTTTTATCTATCCGAGGTGCTCCATCGAGTGGTACTATTGTACTATGTTCTGTATACATCATGTGAGTGTCTGAGTGAGCGTGAGACAGGAAGTCTGAGTACTGTTGGAAGTTATGGTATTTTTTGCTCTATAGGATGCACCTGACCATAGGACGCACCTTGTTTTAGAGGGGGAGAACAAGAAAACAAATTCTCCCCCTCTCTGCTCAGTGCCCCTTCAGCGATGCGGCAGGAGAAACGGAGCCCCTTCCATGTCTCTTCCCGCTTCGCTGAATGGGTGCTGCGCAGAGAGGGAAAGCTGTGCAGCGCCTCTCCAGCAGAGTGAAGCCAGGAGAGCCAGAGGGAACCTGAAACCTGAGGAGCGCAGCGGGACTTCCCGCTGCGCTCCGGAGGCTTCAGGCAGCTATCCCTGAAGCCTGGAGAGCCAGAGGGGTCGGTGTGCACTGACCCCTCTCACTCTCCAGGCTTCAGCGAAAGCAACGCGAAGCCTCCGGAGCGCGGGGGGAGCTCTCCCTCTGCGCTTCGGAGGCTTCGCGTTGCTATCGCTGAAGCCAAGGAGCCTGCATTCGCTCCATAAGACGCACACGCATTTCCCCTTAATTTTTGGAGGGGAAAAAGTGCATCCTATAGAGCGAAAAATACGGTAGTTTCACTTCTGTATGTGATACAGTTCTGTACTGGTGTTCAAAGAGCACAGATGTACTGATGGAGTCTCTGTATTATAAGACTGCAATTAAAGTACCGTATTTTTCACTCTATAGGACGCACCAGATGATAAGACGCACCTAGTTGAGGGGGGGGAAAAACAAGAAAAAATATATTTTGGAAGCCAGAACAGCAAGAGGGATCTGGCTTCTGGGATAACCACGCCAAGCCTCTTCAGGGCAGCGGGATGAAGGCTTCCCCTGCCCGAAGAGGCTGCGCGCGGCTAAGGCAGAAGCCAGGGCAGGCAAGTGGCTGAAGGCGTGCTGCGCAGTTCTCCCTCTCTGCACAGCGCCCCTTCAAGCGAAGCTGGAGGAGCAACAGAAGGAGACCCTTCTGTTCCTCCTCCGGCTTTGCAGGACAGGCGCGTAGCTGAAGGGGTGCTGCGCAGCTCTCCCTATCTGCGCAGCGCCATTCACTCCATAAGACCGCACTCACATTTCCCCTTTTTAGGAGGAAAAAAGTGCGTCCTATGGAGCGAAAAATACGGTAGTTTAGAACTACTGATTGAGTCTTTCTTCTGCTATGATAAGCTAGAAGACTAGCGTGCCCTTCTCAGAGGAGAGGGGACACTTATCACCGGTCTCTCTGGACCGAGGGAGATTTACGGTCAGAGAGGACCGCCAGGAAGAAGTCCCAATGACTTGGGAAGTTGGCAGCCTTCCCGGGCGTGTTTCCAACAGAATCCACAATAAAGAGGGGACCCGGAGACACGGCTGAGAACGCAAAACCTACCCAGTACCCATCGAGTGTCCCCAAAAGATGACTGTGCTGTTGCGGCTGCGGGCTTTGACCCAGTCGTAGACAAACAGGATGTCCGTGGTGAAGCCGTTTTCGCTGGGGTGGCCGGTGGAGTCTGCGTAGCCTGGAGGGAGGCATCGGATGAAGGATCAGAGGGAAAACACACCATCCGCGTGGCCCTCAAGACCCCGGCATTATTTGTGCGTCGGAACTTACCTCGGTAGTCAACAGCCAGGACGTGGAAGCCGCTGTCACTCATGGCCTGTGGAACAAAGGAGCCAAAACTTCAGAAACAGAAAGCTAAAAGGAAGTCCTTCTTCGCGCAGTGCAGATTTAAACTATGGAACTCATTGCCATGGGAGGCAGGGATGGTGGGCTTCGAAAGAGGATTGGATAAATTCGTGGAGGAAAAGAGGGCTGTCGTAGCTACTAGCCACGATGGATGGTCTGACTCCACAGTCAGAGGCAGCAATGGTTCTAAACACCAGTTGCTGGAAACCAGAGGAAGGGAAAGGGCTCTTGTGTTCAAATCCTGCTACCCTGCTTCCCATTGGGCCATTGGCCTGTTCCAGCAGGCTCATCTTATGTTCTTATTTTTAAAGGGGAAGAGGGAACATCACAACTTACCTTTGCAAAACGAACTCTGTGACTTGCTGCTCTGTAAGAGAGGTCAGAGATGAGAGCCAAGTGTTTATTCATCGTCGCCGGCGATCAAAATTGCCAACTTGCTTATTTCCAGAATGACTCATAAACAGATCACAAGCCAGCCATTAAAAGACGTGGTTTAAAGCAGGCATAGGCAAACTCCAGCCCTCCAGATGTTTGGGACTACAGTTCCCATCATTAGCTAGGGATGATGGGAATTGTAGTCCCAAACATCTGGAGGGCCGGACTTTGCCTATGCCTGGTTTAAAGTTTTAAAGTAGTTAAATGAGCAAGACTTTTGAGGCTCACATCGGCCACAGGAGGGGGAATGGCGCCACCGGGGTGCCCTTGGGCCTTGAACCTGGGACCATTCTGCATGCAGGGCAGGTGTCCTGCACTAAGCTACAGCCCTTCTGTCCCAACATCGGGACGGCGCATGCAGAGAATAACAGAGCACCGATGACGCTGCCTTTGTTCCTTTCAGTCTCAAACTCACCTGGTCCCCCCATTGCCATGGAGATAGATTATGATGGGATTATCGTCCGCCAGGGCCTCTTCGTACCAGCTGGGGCCCTTCCCCTCAGCCTCCTCCCGCATGTTGTCAGGCAAGGAGTGCCTAAGAGAAGCAAAAGGCCTATTCAGCCGCAGTGGGGGCTGCCCCACTGTGGATGGAAAGGGGGAACAGTGAGGCGAGTTGCATCGGCCCAGATCAGTGCACAAAGCGAGCCTTGAGCGCATCAGCTAAAAATACGGATTTGCGCACAGAGAAAGGAGAAAGCAAAAGGGAGAGCAAAGCTGATGAGCGCATGCATGGTGCTTTGCAGATACGGATCAGACTCAAGTCTTCCCTCTGTAGAAGCTCGGTCCTGGCAAAGAACTCTTTAATTATTGGCTCCGTCTAAACTTAAATCCACCCGGTCTACTGCCCTTACTGACACAAGACCCCCATAAAAGTGTGTGGTCCAAAATTGTGCACCAAAAATTCCTCTCCTGCGGACTCCACCCACATCAGCTTCTCACGATGGGCTTTATTAAAGCAAAAAGGCTAATTGGACAGCGTCTGAAGGACTTAGAGCAACAGAACAATCTGGCCATTATAAAGAAATTCTGTCCTTGGTATGCCTTTTTTTCCCGCCTTCTCAGTTTGATTCCCTGGCACCATATTTGTATAAATTAACTATCCCCAAATTCAGACGTGCCTTCACACTGGCCAGATTGGATGTGATGCCCTCTGCTGTACTTGAGGGCAGATACCAAAAGATTCCAACTGAGAAACGACTCTGCCCCTGTGGAGATGGCAATCTGGAAACAGTGGCTCATGTTCTCCTGTCCTGTCCCCTTTATAAAGATCTGAGGAATGAGATCATCACCCCACTCTTACTTACCATCCCAGGCCGCCCATCTGCGGCCACATTGTTCTTTCTTTTATCAGATCAAAATGATCAGACGATAATCTTGGTCATTTGATTGCCCTTTTTACCCATGGCTGTCTTTTTATTTGTATATATTGCTTGTTTTATGGGACACAGGTGGCGCTGTGGGTTAAACCACAGAGCCTAGGGCTTGCCGATCAGAAGGTCGGCAGTTTGAATCCCCGCAATGGGGTGAGCTCCCGTTGCTCGGTCCCTGCTCCTGCCAACCTAGCAGTTCGAAAGCATGTCAAAGTGCAAGTAGATAAATAGGTACCACTCCGGCGGGAAGGTAAACGGCGTTTCTGGGCGCTGCTCTGGTTCACCAGAAGCAGCTTAGTCATGCTGGCCACATGACCTGGAAGCTGTACGCCGGCTCCCTCGGCCAATAAAGCGAGATGAGCACCGCAACCCCAGAGTCGTCCGTGACTGGACCTAATGGTCAGGGGTCCCTTTAAAGGTAAAGGGACCCCTGACCATTAGGTCCAGTCGTGACCGACTCTGGGGTCCCTTTACCTTTAGCTATTGCTTGTTTTATGTTGCCATGGCCGTTGGCTAATGCGAATGAAGTTTTATCTATCTTATCTATCTACGGATCATCCTCAGCCCCAGATCAGAATGGGAGCGAGACTCAGAGGGTGACATGCAGATCAGCACACGGCCCCTGCCAGGCCAAGGGGGGGGGCCCTTACTCACCAAATCCCAATAGTGATCCCCGGTTCGGAGGTGAGATAAAAGTTCCTCGTGTGATTCAGATATACTTCGGGTTTCTGGAAATCCACCCCAAAGGGAAAAACAACTGCAAAAGAAGTTCACTTTGGAAATTTGCTCCCTGGCAAAGGCCTCACGTTCCCCATGCGCCCCCAACCCTTGTCAATGCCACAATAAGCAGGTGAGGAGCATCTCTGCTTTATGACTTCGAATGAACGGGCAGCAAAACCAAACCACGTGTGACATGGCAGAATTGGACAAAGGAAAGTTTTCTTCCCTCTCTCAGAGAACTAGGACTTGTGGACATCCAGAGGAAGATTCAGGACTGATGAAAGATTTGACCTCCTCATCCAAAGGGCATAGTTACACTGTGGAACTCCCTCCCACAAGAAGGCCACGAACTTGGATGTCTTTAAAAGCAGATTGGAAAAATTCATGGAGGAGGAGAGGGCTACTAGCAGGCTCAAGAAGTATTGAAAAGCATTAAAAATACTCAATTAACCAAGGTTCTGCCGCCCTAGCAGAAGCCTGCCCCCCATAATGTCGTCAGGGTGGGGGGAGTCTCCCAATTAAAAAAATCCTGGCTGTGCTCATGGAAGAAGCGAGAGAAGCAGCCAGATGTGGAGTCGCATCCATAACACTCACTCAAAAATCCAGAGGTTTCCACAAGCCCAAAAGGGACTGGCAGCCTCTGGATTAAACCATCCATTTCTCCAGCCTAGACAGAACACAGCAGCAGCATGTTTGCAAAGAGCTGCAGAATATGCGCACTGCCTGGGCGGCACTGGCTCCCGGTGGAGTACAGGGTCAGGTTTAGCCTGGTGCATGTTTAGCCTGGAGAAGAGGAGGTTAAGGGGTGATATGATAGCCATGTTCAAATATATAAAAGGATGTCACATAGAGGAGGGAGAAAGGTTGTTTTCTGCGGCTCCAGAGAAGCGGACACGGAGCAATGGATCCAAACTACAAGAAAGAAGATTCCACCTAAACATTAGGAAGAACTTCCTGACAATAAGAGCTGTTCGACAGTGGAATTTGCTGCCAAGGAGTGTGGTGGAGTCTCCTTCTTTGGAGGTCTTTAAGCAGAGGCTTGACAACCATATGTCAGGAGTGCTCTGATGGTGTTTCCTGCTTGGCAGGGGGTTGGACTCGATGGCCCTTGTGGTCTCTTCCAACTCTATGATTCTATGATTCTATGATTCTAGGTTTAAGGTGCTGGTTTTGACCTTTAAAGCCCTATGCGGCCTTGGACCCTCGTACCTATGGGACCGCCTCTCCTGGTATGCCCCACGGAGGACCTTAAGGTCCACAAATGACAACACTTTGGAGGCTCTGAGCCTCAAGGTGGTTAGATTGGTCTCAACTAGGGCCAGGGCCTTTTCCGTACTGGCCCCGACTTGGTGGAACGCTCTGTCACAAGAGACCAGGGCCCTGCGGGACTTGACATCTTTCCGCAGGGCCTGCAAGACGGAGCTGTTCCACCAGGCCTTTGGCCAAGGCACAGTCTGACCCCTACGTTTTCCCTCCCCTTACGGTTTTGCTTTATGGGCTACTTCTAAAATGAGGCTGCATTTTAAATTGCATTTTAACCTGTATTTTAAATTGGGGTGTTTTTTGTCCCCGCACCCCCCCATTATGTTTCTGTTGTAATTTTACTGGTGTTAGCCACCCTGGCCGGGGAGGGCGGGGTATAAATAAAATTTGTTGTTAGTAATACAGTGGTGCCCCACAAGACGAATGCCTCGCAAGACGAAAAACTCGCTAGACGAAAGGGTTTTCCATTTTTTGAGTCGTTCCGCAAGACGAATTTCCCTATGGGCTTGCTTCGCAAGACGAAACGTCTTGCGAGTTCTTGCGAGTTTGTTTCCTTTTTCTTAAAGCCGCTAAGCCGTTAATAGCCGCTAAGCCGCTAATAGCCGCTAAGCCGCTAATAGCCGTGCTTCGCAAGACGAAAAAACAGCAAGACGAAGAGACTCGTGGAACGGATTAATTTCGTCTTGCGAGGCACCACTGTAGTAATAATAATAATAATAATAATAATAATAATAATAATAATAATAGATGGAGCAATGTCCTGACTCGGCTTCCTATGTTCCTTTGCTCCCAAGACAAAGCCTGTTAAGATCTTCCTCTCCTGCAGCGATGACTCAGGCTGGCAAAAACCTTCCTATTCAGACAGGCCTTTGGAAACAGACATGCAGGAGATCTGGACCCCTGGGCAGCTGTCAGCGCAAACCGGCTTAGTCTGAGATAAAGACGATGCAGTTCGATCCCAGGCAAACCCTGGATCAGCAATCAATTTCCAGAAGTTCAGCCAGCCTCTGGAGAAACCTTTCGTGCGGCCCGTTTAAAGATCCCAACGCAAGCAACAGGCAAAGAGAATACTTACGGAAATTAAGAAAGACAAACTTTTGCAGCAGCGAAGGGAACATGCGGATGATGAAGGGGATGGAGGCGTACAGAATAAATACATTCAGGATCAGCGTCTTGATTTTACTGGCTTGGAACCAGTTCAGAAGCCCCCTAAAAGATAAGGAGGTAAAGAAATAATGATATTGGAAACTGCTATATATAATTACTAAGAAATTCAGATGGAAGAGATTTGAGGAAGTCAAATAATATGTTTATGAAGATGGATTTTAATTAATTAATTAAGTGTTAGTGTAGTGATGATTTGTTGTATTTTATGTTTTCTATTCTTTTTTTCTTTTTCTTTATTACTCTCAACTTTTTCTTTTGTTATATCTATGTATGGAAAATAATAAATATTATTATGGGGGGGGAGATAAGGAGGTAAAAAGACTTAAATGAGCAAAGAAAGGACAGCGATAATTATTTCCATGTTATTTTTATTTTTTGCATTTCTATCCCCACCCTTCCTCCAAGAAACTCCAAGCGGCCTACGTAAGTTTTCCTCCTCCTCATTTAATCCCAGCAACAGCCCCGCGAGGTAGTTTTGGCTGAAATGTAGTGACTGATGAACCAAGGTCACCCACTGACCTTCATGGCTGAGTGGGAGATTTGAACCCTGGTCACCAGGGAGATTTGAACCCTGGTGTGTTGGCTTTCTTATCGCAATTTTTTATTTTTAAATGATGAAAAATTGATGAAGGTGCGGCCATTTGTTTAAATTTTTGTTGACAAGGCCAGGAATATTACTTACACCCGAGGAGTACATATAGCTCAATGAGGATAAAATTTGGTGGAAACCATGTGTTTTAAAGAATTAGTGGTTTATAAGCAATAGTGGCTTTCTCACAAGCATACGTCTTTTTTAAGAGTAGAATAAGAAGTCAGAGAAGTTTTAATTATAATTATAATTTAATTATAATTACTAGTCAAATTTGTCTGCCCGGGCCTCTGCCTGGCTCTGCAAGGCCCTGCCTAAATCTGCCCTCGAGTGCCACTCCTGCAGGAGAGCGATGACACGAGACGGGGCCTTCTCAGTCGTGGCACCTCACCTGTGGAACTCCCATCAGAGCGACATTCAGTCTGCCCTCAATATTTGAGATACTAAAGAGGAGGCCAGTGGCCGTTTTGTTTGGCCAGGCATACGGACCACACAACAGACGTCAAATAGATAAACAACTATAGGACTTTTAGAAGACATCCCTGTACAGTGAAGTTTTTATACGTTTGGGGTTTTATACTGGCTTTCTTTAAAGCTGCCTTGGGCAGCATCTAAATTATTGTTCTTGTTCTTGTTATCATAGAATCATAGAATCATAGAGTTGGAAGAGACCACAAGGGCCATCGAGTCCAACCCCCTGCCAAGCAGGAAACACCATCAGAGCACTCCTGACATATGGTTGTCAAGCCTCTGCTTAAAGACCTCCAAAGAAGGAGACTCCACCACACTCCTTGGCAGCAAATTCCACTGTCAAACAGCTCTTACTGTCAGGAAGTTCTTCCTAATGTTTAGGTGGAATCTTCTTTCTTGTAGTTTGGATCCATTGCTCCGTGTCCGCTTCTCTGGAGCAGCAGAAAACAGCCTTTCTCCCTCCTCTATGTGACATCCTTTTATATATTTGAACATGGCTATCATATCACCCCTTAACCTCCTCTTCTCCAGGCTAAACATGCCCAGCTCCCTTAGCCGTTCCTCATAAGGCATCATTTCCAGGCCTTTGACCATTTTGGTTGCCCTCCTCTGGACACGTTCCAGTTTGTCAGTGTCCTTCTTGAACTGTGGTGCCCAGAACTGGACACAGTACTCCAGGTGAGGTCTGACCAGAGCAGAATACAGTGGCACTATTACTTCCCTTGATCTAGATGCTATACTCCTATTGATGAGGCCCAGAATTGCATTGGCTTTTTTAGCTGCCGCGTCACACTGTTGGCTCATGTCAAGTTTGTGGTCAACCAAGACTCCTAGATCCTTTTCACATGTACTGCTCTCAAGCCAGGTGTCCCCCATCTTGTATTTGTGCCTCTCATTTTTTTTGCCCAAGTGCAATACTTTACATTTCTCCCTGTTAAAATTCATCTTGTTTGTTTTGGCCCAGTTCTCTAATCTGTCAAGGTCATTTTGAAGTGTGATCCTGTCCTCTGGGGTGTTAGCCACCCCTCCCAGTTTGGTGTCATCTGCAAATTTGATCAGGATGCCCTTGAGTCCATCATCCAAGTCGTTGATAAAGATGTTGAATAAGACCGGGCCCAAGACAGAACCCTGTGGCACCCCACTAGTCACTCTTCTCCAGGATGAAGAGGAACCATTGATGAGCACCCTTTGGGTTCGGTCAGTCAGCCAGTTACAAATCCACTGAGTGGTAGCATAGTCAAGACCGCATTTTACCAGCTTCTTTACAAGAATATCATGGGGCACCTTATCGTCGTTGTTTGGTTTTAAATTACCGTATTTTTCGCTCTATAAGACGCACCAGACCACAAGACGCACCTAGTTTTTGGAGGAGGAAAACAAGAAAAAAAATATTCTGAATCTCAGAAGCCAGAACAGCAAGAGAGATCGCTGCACAGTGAAAGCAGCGATCCCTCTTGCTGTTCTGGCTTCTGGGATAGCTGCGCAGCCTGCATTCGCTCCATAAGACGCACACACATTTCCCCTTACTTTTTAGGAGGGAAAAAGTGAGTCTTACAGAGCAAAAAATACGGTACCTGTATAATTGTTTCCTTTATTTCTGCAGTTTGCTGCCTTGTGCTCTAAGCTGGACAGGCAAGATACTAAAGAGTTTTGTATAAGCAAACAAAATAAATAAATTCTTTAGCTGCAATTCCTACACTTTAGAGGGTTGGACTAGATTAGCTAACCACCTCCCTCCTCCGTCTTGCTAGATTTTTACACAAGAGAGATGCAGATAATGCTCTTAGCTTCTGATGCAACAGTTGGCTCAGCAAAGGTCTGGGCCCACACATAACCCAGCTGATGAGCGGTTTCGCTTTGAGGGTGCTTTGGCAAGGCATCGAAACACACCCAAGAGAGGCAGCAACTCACCTTGCTGTGATGCAGCAACCAAATCACAACCGCAATAGTCAGCTTCCAAATAAGCAGAACTCGGTTGAGTAACACCTGAGAACAACACCCCCAGAGCTCACATTGCCCTTGCTCCCTACCCTTAGGTATTGGCGACACCACAGACTCCAAAAAGCTGCCAAAGCACTTGCACACTCCCAGCATGTTGCAACAGAGTCAGCTGCAGCAAGTGCCTATTGCCCAGTGCCAGTGCCGTCACTCGCGCACGTCTTCCTCTCTCATCCCTGGAGGCAGTTCTGCAGCTGTTCTCACCCTTTTCATTTACTGAAACAGCTACAGGCCGGCTGTCGTAATAAACAGCAAGGGGTTTCGCGGGATAAAAACCGAGAAAATAAAACGGCGAAATGTCACAGCGAATCCCAAGCATTGCTGAATTTATTTACTGTACTTAGTTACAGTGGAAGATGCTTTAGTGTGTGAATGGAGGGCCAGATCAGAGTGGCCTGAGAGTTTTATTGTTTGTTTGTTTCTTACGTTTATATCAAGGCGGTGTACGTTGTTCTCCTCACAACAACCCTGTGAGGTAGCTTAGGCTGAGAGAAGGTGAATGGCCCAAGTTCATCCAATGTGCTTCATGGTTGAGGGGAGATTCGAAAGCCAGTCCTGGGTTCGAATCCCCACTCAGCCATGCAGCTCATGGGGTGACCTTGGGCCAGCAGAAGACAACACAGTTTACATAGTAAACTGATCAGGGCTGTGACTCTTGACAGGCCCAGAAAAAAGTTGCTCATGAAGGCTCATTATTTTAATTACAGCTTATCACCTGGGCCTATCTGTAGGCAGGTATTTCAGCATTAGAAATAGCCCTGGAGCCCAGCTCTGTGTGTTTGTATGGAGGCAGGGAAGCTGGAAGAAGGGAGATTATTTCCCACACAGTCTGGCTGCCCTGAGGTGGAAGGAGCAACAGTGAGAGGCTCCTGTAGGAACCTCAAACTTTTGTAATAATAATAATAATAATTTATTATTTGTACCCCGCCCATCTGGCTGGATTTCCCCAGCCACTCTGGGCGGCTTCCAACAAAGATGAAAGATACACTAAAATGTCACATATTAAAAACTTCCCTGAACAGGGCTGCCTTCAGATGTCTCCTGAATGTCAGGTAGATGTTTATCGCTTTGACATCTGATGGGAGGGCGTTCCACAGGGCGGGCGCCACTACCAAGAAGGCCCTCTGCCTGGTTCCCTGTAACTTGGCCTCTTGCAGTGAGGGAACCGCCAGAAGGCCCTCGGAGCTGGACCTCAGTGTCCGGGCAAAACGATGGGGGAGGAGACGCTCCTTCAGATATACTGGACCGAGGCCGTTTAGGGCTTTAAAGGTCAGCACCAACACTTTGAATTGTGCTCGGAAACGTACTGGGAGCCAATGTAGGTCTCTCAGGACCAGTGTTATGTGGTCCTGGCGGTCACTCCCAGTCACCAGTCTAGCTGCCGCATTCTGGATTAGTTGTAGTTTCCGGGTCACCTTCAAAGGTAGCCCCACGTAGAGCGCATTGCAGTAGTCCAAGCGGGAGATAACCAGAGCATGTACCACTCCGGCGAGACAGTCTGCAGGCAGATAGGGTCTCAGCCTACGTACCAGATGGAGCTGGTAAACAGCTGCCCTGGATACAGATTTGACCTGCACCTCCATGGACAGCTGTGAGTCCAAAATGACTCCTAGGCTGCGCACCTGGTCCTTCAGGGGCACAGTTACCCCATTCAGGACCAAGGAATCCTCCACACCTGCTCGCCTCCTGTCCCCCAAAAACAGTACTTCTGTCTTGTCAGGATTCAACCTCAATCTGTTAGCCGCCATCCATCCTCTAACCACCTCCAGGCACTCACACAGGACCTTCACCGCCTTCACTGGTTCTGATTTAAAAGAGAGGTAGAGCTGGGTATCATCCGCATACTGATGAACACCCAGCCCAAACCTTCTGATGATCTCTCCCAGTGGCTGCATGTAAATGTTGAAAAGCATGGGGGAGAGGACGGAACCCTGAGGCACCCCACAAGTGAGAGCCCAGGGGTCTGAACACTCATCCCCCACCA